TAGTAAAATAATGTTCACAACACAGTCATACGTACAATTTAATTGCAGTGGATGGTGGTAGTGAATTTAGCCACGTGAATTGTCTATACACTAGTGTATTGAGTTTTCATGGGGTTACCCTTGAGTTTAAATGGGATTCTTTTCAATAGGCTGCAGGTCTAGTATTTTGTTCTGAGATAATGAACTATGATTTGGCCTATAGGGAAATTTTAGAAAGTGTCTGGCAGATGCTTCTCGTTCAAATCGACATGGATTATGGGGTTGGGCAGCACAAATTTAAAGGAATTGTCCAAATGATGCATGGAAATCCCTCGATATGACCCGATTACCTCCACACATAGCACCATATGCACAGCCAGTGCCGACACTGACCTTTTAGGTAAGGATAAAGGCATCTAGCCCATTATAAAATACATTAATATTGAACAAAGTGTGCAGTCGGAGAATTTAAGTGATTTGCAAGCAGAAGTGTGAGTTGTATTAATTGCTTCTATGATGTTCTGATGCCCTTTAGCTGACCTATCACCTCAAGGCCAACGTGGTGGAAAACGAATTTGGGAATGTATTTTGTTATTATTACGAATACATTGTAATTGGCGCACAATAAAGTACAGTGCTTACAAACTGCGGTTTACCCTGCCCATTCACTTAAACTGTTTGAGTTGACAGAATGTCGGAATAATTCTAATTGATAGGCTATAAATAAAGAGTGTATACAACGTCCAGCCGCATCTTGTGCAAAGGGAAACAAATAGGTTTTGACATTAGGATCGTCTTTTCTTCTACTACCACCACAACATGAAGGGTTATAAGATACGAAGCGCGATTCATGTTTATTTGCATGTTCTATGTAATGCCGTGATGAAATTTGGCTACAAGTTTGTCCCTTCAGTGTGCCAAAACTGTCACATGTTGACTTAGCTGCACTCTGCCTATTTTTCTCAAGCTAAGTACTTAATTTTGTTTTATTTTCCGTACATATAAATAACTAGTGGGCAGCCTATCCTACTGACGGTGACATCACACTCAAATTACACTTCCCTGACCCGTTTGGAATGTTCACTACTCTCCCGACCCGAACCACATAATTGTCATCAGTCACCAGTCATCTACTCACCTGAGCCTCACCAACTCATGTGACTTTCACCACTCACCAGTCATCAACTCTAAATGACCCTCACGATTCACCAATTTATATGACACGGGTAAAGGCTGGCTGCTCCCACCCATGCAAACACCCCTCCCCAAAGGCACATGCCTACCAGTTGCATGATTTTGAAATGAGGCTATGGGGCTCAGTGCATTCCTGGTTGTAATGTGAAACGATTTCGCGGATAAGCAGCGCTGGGGCCGATAACCTGCATAATCAGGTAAAAGGGTCCATTTTGTTTGTAATTTTGACCTCATTGGAAAAATCTGTGCATCGTAAGCTTCCAAATGACTCATCGTCCATTGAAATTGTTGAAGCGGTCTAGGAGGACTTTGCTGTATAGACATGCATCCAGATTAGTTTCTCATGTACGAATGTGCATGTACAGGAGTTGTGTTCATCTACTGCTGGATGAAGGCCTTCCCACGCCATGCAGGTCCGCGATGGTTATTGGACCATAATTCACCATGCTGCTCAATGTAGGTTGCTGAAGGTTGGAAACATGTACCGATACTTGTGAGAATAGAAGCACAATGCAACAATGTATTTTGTTGCACTGCCCTCTGTTGCCCACAATGTAGCCCCACAATTCTGACAACCTTATTGTTCATGGTGGTCACCGATCTAAGTTCCGTCCATGCTCAGCCCTGCGAAGCTTCTGAGAGCTGATGGGACACATGAGCAAGGTGGTGATTCATATGCAGATTGCAGTTTATATAGGAATAACCACGGATCAAATTTTTTTTTACCATTTTGCACAATATAACTAAAGTCTTTCATATTTATGTAGAGTACTGTTAGGTTTTTTCGGTAAAGTCACGTAGGAAAAAAAAGATAGAGATAAAATAATAATAAATCAATTAAATCCCGACGTTTCGGAGGCAACACAAGTCTCCGTCTTCAGGTGGGACTGTCACAGCTAAATTTACTGTATCAACTTGATGCCTCCGAAACGTCGTGATTTAATTGATTTATTACTATTTTATTTCTATTCTTTTTTATTTATATTTTTTACCTGCGTGACTTTACCGAAAAAACCTAAGAGTATGAATCCTTGCAGTCACGAAAGCTTTAATTCTAGAAGTATTACATCCTGTTGTATCATGTGCCGCTTTACCTTGCGTACATTTTGGCCATAACTGTTCAGTTAAACCTTGTGTTGGCCTTCATTGTGTGCCATGAATTAGCTTCAAATGTTCAGCGTCGTCTAATGTCATACAAACTTTTAATTAACAATGATTCAAAACTTATATTAACATTTAAGCAATTAACTCAAGCCTTTATCGCATTACTGAATGTTCTAAAGATTGGCGCTGGCCGATCTATATTTAACCGCATTGTGTTACGGAAGTAGGGCGAGCCATCAGCAAGGTCCAAATTGGAATGAGAAAGGCATGTGAATGAATATGGTAATACACTACAATGGCATCAAGGCTGATACCTATTCTTTACGTGTGATCTTTTAATTGGCCAATCACTTATCCTGTGCTCATGTGCCCAGAAACGGTGTTGGCAGTGGTGCAAGAGAATTCGTACGCTCAAGATTGATTTTCTGTAAAATTAAGCAAGAATGGGAAAAAGGTACTGTATAAGAAACTAACAATACACAACTGGCCGCTGATCATAGCTGCAAATATAGATATCCTTTCATGTATGTATGTATGTTTAAAAAGAAATTCGTACCTTATGTAGCCAACTGCGCTAATCAGAGGTGCGGGGTAAGGACAACAATATGTGCGGTTTTCTAGAGGGTTTGGTTTTTATATGAAGTCAGCGTTCACCTTGTTAGTTTATCAGTTGGTATATCAATACTTTAAACAATAATGCCTACCTGCTTAGTTTTGTCCCCGCAGAGAAAATCTATTATTAATATAGATAAATCTCAACCGGCACCCATTTTTCGACTCATTTGCTCCATACGGCATAAAGAATCTTAATAACCCGTCGTGTCCATTTCCTGTAAGTGAGCCCCGGTGGCTGGGGATGTGACAATGCACAGACTAGAGTACCATCTCTCCGGCTAACTCCCTCCGGACACGTGTACACGCAGTGCACATATGCACCTCTATGCAAACACACAGGCAGCAGCTTTTGTATGCCGCTGTAATCTCTCGAGGCTTGGATTGGACCATTGGCTTGCACATATTGGGCCCCTGAGGGTTTTTTGGCTGGTACATTATTAATGAGCCTCAGTACCTCAAAGGGGGAGAGTTGAGAACGTTTCTTTGCACACGTGAGAGATCCCTCTGGTCCCTTGGCAAGAGAGAGAGACAGCGTGTACTGCTCCCGTAGACACATGAAGAACATTTCCTCCATTCATATCCTCATCATCACTGTTAACCATGCTTTATCCACTGTGGGATTAGAGCCACTCCCTAAGCTATCACTGCCTCTCATGGCCCTGTGTTCACTCCTTTGGCTGCCACTTCATCAATAGCTTCAATGGACATCATCGGATGATGTAGTCCTGCCTAATTACTTTATAATCGGTCAATACGATGTCTCGAACTTGTACATATTTTGTAATACAAATGTACCTCTTTGTCTCTCAGAACATCTACCTCTATGCTTCTTTGCACACTTTTCATGTAATATGCACTGATAAAATATTATCTCCATTATGCACGTGGATATTTAACTTTTCGTAATTAAGTTCAGTAGTCCAAATGCCTTCCATCCTGCTGTTGTCCTCTTCTTTATTTCATCATTGATTCATGCATGTAGCGCAAAGGTCCTCCTACGTAAACATTCCATATGCAGCGATATAGTACCTCCTATATGGGCACAATTATAATATTCATTATAATTTATTAAGAGCGAAAGTAAATTGTGATGCGGGGGTATGGGATGGCAAGTTAATGCCATCATCTCTTGGGAACGATCATGAAGCTAGAGTGGAATGCCTCGGGCCTGGCCTGCCTTTGTCTTATCAACACTTTATTATAAAGTGTCTGATTAACTTGTGCACAGCTAATGCCATGGTACTTTACATAATTTGCAGTAAGCAAAATAAATATCCCGAAATAGTTAGGGACAGTTTCAGTGGATTAAATTGGGAGTGGTTCAGGAGTTTTCAAAAAATCCTCGTATTTAAACCACTTCAATATTTCAGTCGATAATGTCAATGCACATTTTACTTTAGTAATTTCAATAATTCATGGATTGAAACATTCAAATGAACCCTGTGTAATGGTGGTGCATTTTTTTATTTTTTAAAACGGGTTCACAAGCCTTTATTGCCATCAGTCAAATGAGTGTGCAAATGCATTTATACACATTGCACGGAAAGCCAGTAATGTGGGAATCGGGGGGATTTAGGTTTGACTTGGAAATACATTTTAAAGCGCTTCAGAGTCCTTGGTGCAGAGCTGGCTGTGGGACATTTGAGACAGAGATAAAATAGAGCCTTGGATCGTTGGGGACAATCATTCGGCCTCAATTGTTAACGAGGGACTGTGCGGACATCCGCCCTGTGACCTTCTGCACCACACGGTTGCATCGTTAGATTGTGTGCCGGTACATTTCCTTCTCTAACAGTGCAGTCAAACAATGTCCATGGGGCAGACAAAAGCAGCAAAGCTGGGTTTGTTTGTCAGTGCATGGAGGCCATTGAGCTTCCTGGTTGAACAGAAAGCATTTTAACAGAATGGGATTTTCAAAACATTGCCCTTATAGTTTTCCACCGGCAAACATTGAAACACCCAGGTGAATTCTCTCGCTAGCAGAAGCTGTCACAATATAAATGTGATACGGCACAGTGTTGTTCTTTGTGTTGTAGTGGCAAGTTGTAATTTTGTGACTTTTGCAGACATACAAGGCAGTTTTTTCTCAAGTATTCTCTTAATAGATGAGTTTTATTTGCGGTCATACATTGTTGTACTGAATTATGAATGAAAAATTCAATAAGTGTTTGGTATTTATACTATGTAATGGAAAATATTACTTTGATTTTAATTCTGTATTTAGTCAAGTAATGCCATGGCAGTACATATGTCGGCTATAGCCTGTAAAAATTAGGATAACATAACATGATAATATGAAGTTGTGTTTATACTTAACATAAATCTTCTCAAAGCCATGTAAAGTGTTGCCATTTCAAAAAATATACAAGAATATGTTTGCAATGAAAATCACATTTCGCCATTCTTAGCAGTGAACATTTATGTTGATTTACAACTGTTAACATAGAAGTGACTTATATGGACAATCTTCCCCTTCCACATACTATCATCTATGTATATAGTTAGTATAGTAAAGTCTGTCACGGTTACATGACTTGAAGAATCTGAGTACAGTTCTACATTATTTTATAAACATTGCATATTTTCATACATTTGACTATGCACTCAAATGTAAGCAAGCAGTCAAGAAATACATATTTTAAGTCTTCTCCAGCTGTTTGATTGGCAGCCATGCATGTACGGCATGCGTGCACGTTTACGGATGTGTACAACCTTCTGGAAACGGTTCAATTCTAAGGCGGGCGTGAGTTACTGGACACGAGTACATCGTAAGGCACGCGCGAGTTTTCATTTGGCGTGGCAAGCCACGTTGGTTAACTGCCTCTGCCCGCCACGGCCACATATCTCTTAGCGGCACGGAGTGCTGCTAGCATGCGGGAGGAGACGAGCGGCGCGTCGAGGATGTCTCTCCACGCCAGGGCTTCCTTCCCGCCGCCCCTACCCTCCTCGGCCACCGCGCTACCTCTGAGTAAGCGCCATCGAACCAGCCGGCTGGCCTCCTTCGAGGGGTTCCACCATGTGTGGCTCTGCCCAGGTGTGTGTGCATGCACCGCGCGCTCGGACGTGATTACATTTTCGCCACGACATTCGCTCTGAGCTGCACGTTCGCCCACATTCCCAACCGCTTCCCTTGCCTCCCTTCCGCTGTGCAACAGAGCCGTGGGCTCGGGCAGGGCACGGTGCTGCTCAGCAGATGTCGGGGTTGTTTTTTTTCCCGGCGCACAACCCAAAACTTGCTGCTGACGTCACATTATCGTCTCTTTCCTCGTATCGAAATAATTACCCTCGTCGCTGGCCTTCTTGGCCTTAAGCCAGATTCAGGTGTTTCGTGAGCCTAGAAATTTACCGGTTTTGTAATGGCCTGGCTCGTTAATTGCCCAGATCGCCGGTATAGTTGGGAATCCACTATGCCGTGATGGCCTTGCACTGCCGTGGCTCATCAGGGCAGACATTGGCTGCCGTAAACCTAAAAAAAATGTTTGCGTTACTTCAGCAAGACTACACTCACATTTTGAGACATGAGGAATTTGCGATCTCGTCCTTTTTAGCAGTCACAGTGGTGGACACAAACGGCTGTTCGCTAACTCCTGTGGGCAGTAAACGTCAATTGGACATGCGTGCCAGGGACCAATTCCTCCATTGAATGTCTAAATGGGTTTAAGCAGAGAATAGCCAGCATTGACATTTGTAGCACAATGTGAACAGTGATGATGCTTACAGAACAAAATTTAGATTAAATTTGCATAAGCACCAATTAATGGCAGGAATAGCTGAATTAAATAATTACGAAACACCACCACGCAATGATAGTCACAAATCAGATAATTGCATTTTCCTTTTTATATTCATGGGTGTTAAATGGAGCAGCATGCATCATTTGAAGTACAACCGTAATTATTGTTATTCGAGAGTACTGATGCAATGTTTAACACGTGGTGCTCTGAACCCGGAAACCTAAATGTGTATCCCGACCACGGCTAACATCAGTGGTGAGTGATATACGGACTGGTCTTGGGTGACCCTCTTAACCAGCTGGCTAGGATGGTGAAGTATGGTCACACATCGCCCTTGACGGACATGGTGTGTGGGAAGCTGCCATCTAGAAGTGGATTAACAAAAACATGAAAATTGCAATAACAGTGACCGACTTTCACTTCACAATTGCAGTTGTGGATTGCACAGTACTGCCTGCGTTGCTGCTGGGGGTTTTCATGAATACGATGAGAGCGATTTCCAGGTCACCTTTTTGGCAAAATTGGCGTGCATGTAATGGAGGCTGTTTAATATGCTCCGTGCATTTCAATGTCACTTAATTCTCAGATGAACTTAAAGGAACTTTTATTTTTGCAATTAAATGAAGCCAGTTTTGTATGCTCAGAATTTGAATTGCACATGCTTTAATTTACTCGGTGAAAATGTTTAATTGTCATAAGCGCGATGAGTGCATGTATTTTCTTGTGCAATACACACTGTTTCACGAGGTTCATTTGTTTCACGTAAATACTCTTCTAGAACCGAATGTTCTTATTCCATTTCCATAAAATTGAAATGGAAATGAGTATTACATTTATTATATATCTCCCTTCAAAGTTCATTACACAGAGAGGGGGGGACCTTTTATTAACATATTGATCCGTGTATAAAATATTATCTCACTTTAATCAAACTCATTAGTCTAATTCATCCGTGTCGCACGATTGTGTTCTTGAACTGCGTTTATCCGGACCCTAAGAAAAAATTCTAATTTACTTCGTATTGCTGTGTCAGCATTGGGGGAAAATCGATTACATTAATTCTATGAAGAAAAAACAAACATACGGTCAATGTTTTAGCCCAGAGGCATTGGTCACTAATCACTGATGAATGAGGAGCCATTGTTCATGCAGAATGGTGACCTCGTGGTCCGAACATTGACTATTGCGTTTTTTTTTTTACCCATTTGCTGTTTTGACATCTTTTTTATTTGAAAGAAAATCACGGAAATATACTCAGTTATTATACATTATGATATTAATGCTCAGGCTTTAGCCTAAAAGGTCAGATCCCTCATGACATTGAGCCAATAGATTAGCTGTACTCATTACTGTAGTCCAATATGGATGTGTTTATAGCGTATAAGATAATTCCTTTGTAATGTATATTTTGATGGTAATATCACAGCGCTTAGTTGTAATGGGATGCTGCAGTCAAATTGTGAAATGGCAGTGGGAAAAATGCAAATGGTTCATCCGTGTTGTTATTCACAGCATTTTGGTGTAAACGTGTTCTAGGACTAGGCTTAGCTGTGGCAGTTGCTTAAATGGCACCTTGTGAGCAGGATTTAATGAGTGTCCTGCCTGCCGTGTTGAAAAACGGCACAATTTAAAGTGAAACGCTAATCTCAGATGAAAGTTTGAATTCTACTTTTCCAATCGCCACCTATTCTGTTTAACGGGTATTCATATTCCACATACGTACAGTGCCTACAGGCTGTGAGATTATACTAAATGGATCGCACACCTTTCCAAGATGCACTGCAGTGATTGAGTATTGGATCAGAATTATTCATTTGTGTTCTTTGTCGTTGATGCTGTGGATCGTAGTTTGTATTGTGTTGTGCGTATCTGGGTATTTATTGATTAAAAACTCCATGTTCTCAATGTTGTGTAAGTATTGATTTGTAAAATAAAAGCAGTTATCTTATTACAAGTGAAATGTTGGCTTGAATATACATGATAATTTATATTGACAGTCATGTTTGGGTATTTACCATAATCGATGCACTTTTTTGTCAACACTTTTTTCCTTTCAAATGAATTAAAAATGTAATATCCACAACTGAAATGTACACGTGACTAAATAATTCATACCACGTAGCTCGTGCTTGTATCAACAAATCAATCACTGCTTCTCAACAGTTGCTTGTGCCCCTGCGTGTGTTGCCTTAAGTTTTTATGTCAGGATTAACTTTTTCCGCGCTCTTGTTTCTCGTGCCGCTTATGAATTGTGATGAACTGACGTTCGTTTGTGTCTCACCGTTTACCAGGGAGTGAGAGGGAGAAGGAGGAGTCGGACATTTCCAGGGACGACTCCTTCACAGTCACAAAGAGCAAAGTGAGAACGACCGTTCGTTCGTCATTAAAATCGTGCAACGCGTTTTCGCACGCGATGTTTTTCCTATGTATCTGCAATGACAAAATATTTCATCTGATCTCTTGCAACTTCGCACACTGTTTAATAAATGCGTGGAATGATGATTGTATATTTTGTGGTGCGTTGTAACGCTGGAGAGTACGTTTGCGTATTTCTCTTCTTTGTTCCCCCACTCCGCTTTTAGTCGGAAAGCGGCTTGTACAATGGCAATGAGACGTCAACCCCAACAGTCAAGCTTACCAAAAAAGAATCTCTTAAGGTAGACTTTTTGCTTGTTAATTTATCCTGCAAGAAGATACTTCTTCCGTTCTTTGATTGTACTGTGCTCGTCTTTCCTTTTGCCACACATCTACAAATCTAAGGTTGATATGGAATGAAAATTCTTACTGGTAGGAACCTCCTGGTTCCACCAGCCCACAGGGGATTATTGTGTCCGTCTGTCATGCATCAAAAAATGGGGCTGGGTAGGGGAGGGTGGAGAGGGGCTGGGTGGGGAGGGTGGGGCTGGGTGGGGCTGGGTGGGAGGGAGGGGTGGGGCTGGGTGGGAAGGGGCTGGGTGGGGAGGGGAGGGTGGGGAGGGGCTGGGTGCGGCTGGGTGGGGAGGGTGGGGCTGGGTGGGGAGGGTGGGGCTTGGTGGGAAGGGGCTGGTCACCCCGTGGTGCCCTTATAAAACTCAAAGTTTAACCTACTCACGCCGGCTTGTGCCCACCCTCACAGTCGGGCATATTTGCGGAATACACCACGCCGCCGTTGACCCTGGCCATTGACCGAGCAACCCAACGTTCCTACCAGCTCCCTCCGCAGGAGGAATGTGTTGACATCTGTTTGTGACATCCAGACATTAACATCGCTTGATCGGGTAGTTTTCTTTTACAAAACCACGATTAAAAATACAAATTTGACATAATAGCAGCAAAGGGGATATTCTAGTGCGCAATAGTGCCGTGCGGTGGTGGTGTTTGGAAAGGGATTGTCGCAAGAAGCTTGAAGCAGAAAGCCAAGTGTGTGCATGCACTAAGACTCGGAGCACTTGAGTGGATGACTAAATACCATCCAAACTTTAATCAATTTATCAAAGGTCCAGAGATTCGCTGGAGAAAAATCCACAGCGATTAGAAACATTACTTTTTTTTAATAATCGCTGTAAAGTGCCTTGGATAATCTAGGTAGGATAAGCCACCCCGCACATCTCCATTGTTCTGACATATAATTCGGCCTTCCATTGGGATATTCAAGCCCTCTCTCCACTTGTGATTTTGAACACTTGGCTCCAAATCTCGCATCGCTGGGTCTGTGGGGGTCACCACGTGTGAAGTTTCCACAAGTCTCACGGGGTCTGATTTGTGCCAAGCAAGCACATTTCTGTCAAGCTTGCCTTGTCTGCACCTGTCGACTCCTTGGGGAAGGCCATTATACATCTGGAAAAGAGATAAACTTACGTAACACAAATGTTTTATAATGTTCAGCTCACGTAATTTCCATAAATTTTTCCTCATATATTAAATAGACAAATCACGGTTGTGTAAAAAATATATTCTTTTGTATAGTAATATCTGTAGAATAACTAATTACAGTTGAAACTTGTGTAAATGACGTACAAGAAACCTCCTAAAAATACCATTTTGCTCAAATTTTCAAATAGGCGCTACGAAAGTAACGACCAGTCTGATGTGTATAACATGTCAAGGATCAGACGTGGGGTTTCACATGGTCTTAAAAAGGCAACGGAATTGGAAAATGCATCGGATGAATCACACTCTGAAGTAGCAAAACTTCATACAGAAGTTTTGTGGGCTACACATTTGATGTTGTCAAAATAATGAACACTTTGTTCCTAACATGCCACGGCGCTTCCTTGGATTTTATTTTAATGGCTCCACATGCAACCATTTGCACAGGTCCTTTGTCGCTTTAATAGCAAAACATTATTTGCAAAATACAATAAAACTGCAGTCGATGTACTATAATTCAATTATTTAGAATTGAAGAAAGTTAAAGATCTTTGATTGTTATTGATATTTTTTTATTGGCTGATGCTGATTTTGACTTGTGTTTTCACATTTTACAAACCTCAATTTTCAGGTTCAAAAACAGAATTACAAGCAGGAAAAGAAAAGGGCTACTAAAGAGCTGCTTAGCAACCTGAAGGACCCCACCGTGGTGATCATGGCAGACTGGCTGAAGGTGCGTGATTCACTGATTATTTCGTTAACCAAGAATTTCTACATTATTCGGAAAATATTTTAATGAATGTTATCGTTGGAGCACTGCTTAGAAGAATAATCAAAATGTTTCTCGTGCAAGATATATTTGTCCATGACAAATCAACAGGATGTAAATTACCCTGAGTTTTTTAAATATATGTTTTTATAAATTGGGTATTGTTTCGAGGCCTCGCTGATCATCTGCACATTGGCACATATTACACAGCACCAACAAAATTCTGCGCATTAAAACGACATTCCCAAATAACCGGTGTTGCTACTAAGAAACATGCATATGTGTCTTCTTGGTTCTTTCGGTAAAGTCACGTAGAAGGGAAGTAATAAAATAATAAAAATAAAACATAATAAAATATTTTTTATTATTTTATTACTTCCCTTCTACGTGACTTTACCGAAAGAACGAAGAAGATAAATACCTGCAGTCACGAAAGCTTTAAATCGAAATGCATGTGTTTTTTCTATTTTGGCAATTGAATAGACTGTCTGAGGCACGGTGCCAAATTAATTATTTGTGTTGTGAGGGGCTGAGCCGTCAAGGTGGGTTAGTCCCAGTGGTTAAAATTAATATTGCAGAAAGATTTTTTTAAGGTTTTTGGGGCGAAGGACTCTTCTCGATTTGAAATGATTCATTGATGATGGACGGACATTTTACGTTGTGTGTGCCGGTCTTCTCTTTTCCATTAAAAATGGTGCCATCCACGATTCATTTCGGACGATTGATTGCACAGGTATCAACTGGGCACATTTTAAGTAGAGCTGGAATATACCAATGATTTAAGCAATCAAATAAACCAGCGAACATCGGTTCACTTGCTCAACTGAGTGGATAACACCATTTTAGTTGGGAAAAAATTCTCGCCGCCACATGTGCCACGGGACAGGAGGTGATGGGCAGCGCTTTTAACATCTTGGGCATCATTAGCCACGTCACGCTGGGCATGGTTTGTTCGGGTTTCCCACCTTCTGCAAAACAGGATGTCAGGGCACCAATTTTGTACCACAAACAAAGTATTCATTTCAAATTGTTTTCAACTGATGAGCAAAATCTTGCAACGATTGGCGTAACAATTGCATTAAAGAATCTTTTTAAAAATATTCTCTCGTATTCTGATTTGCAATATACAAGTTGCACATCCTCATTGATTGCGTGAGCCAACATTATTTTCAGAATGATCAACAAGTAATTTTATACATCTTTTGGCACTAATTAACACTACGGTATTTGTGTTCGAAAGGGCCTGGAAAACGGCATTCTTCATTGCTATTTTTTTCAAAACGGTAATGTCATTTGACTGTGTTGCAAACATGATGCTTTCGCTTTACTTTATGGCTCAATGCGTGCTTCATGACCACATGCGACATTTAACACTGGAATGGAATATTACTAAATGTGTTTTGCTAATTAGGCAAGTTAATCCGCTTATTTTGTTGCGAGTGTGCACAGTTTTCATACTGTATTTTGGAGCATGCTAAGCACTTTGTGATGCGATGCATTTCTTCAAACTAATTGATGCCAGTGTGTGTATGCACACGTGATAGAAGATACAATCTCACTGCTGGAATTGGTTGTTTTTATTAAACCATATCAACACAGGGTTGAAGAAACAATATAAAGTATAGAGTTAAGTTGATTAACGTGAAGCACCTTAAAGCTTTGCTCCACTTACTACTGTTGGAAGCATTCGCTCAAAATGGCATTCACACCAAATTATTTTGTCTTATCTTTTCGTATAATTTGGTGTTTTGATTTTCACTGTTGAATGTATTGTTACTACAGAGTGTGCATTGCTTCAACATCTGGATGGCTAAGAGGTCAGAGCATTGAGCCTGGTGCTGCTGAGATCCTAGTTACGAATCCTGGTAGCCACCTGTGATTGAAGGTGCAATAGTGTGATTGTCTTAGCCGAGTTACCAGTTATTGCAAGAAGAACCAATCACATGATGATTTTTTTTACTTCATTTGGATAAACTCTTGTTTTGAAAAAAAAATGCAATGATTATATCTCTTCTGTAGGGTATGTGGATTAAAATGTTGCTTGAAGGAATTACAGAAATATTTCCAAGTTATATGATTCTGCAAGTAAGTTTCTAATATTTGTGGTGATCCACTGTTCTGAAAAATGTATGAATGGATATGCCACCTCAGGACATAATTCTGCTAGTGCAATTATAATAACATTGGGAAAAAGCCAAACACATCTTGGTCGGGGTGTATCCATTTAATATAGTAGCCATTGCATGCAGGATGAGCACCAAATAGACGGTGAATGATGGAGAGCAACTGACAAATCGGTACTTCAACTGTACGAGAGACACATTCGGTACTAAATGACGTGTAGCATCCTCGTTCATGGCACGGAGCATCAAGCGGGATAGATGTCCACCTTCGGTAAACAGCCTGCGCGTGGCAATTTCAAGGGCGATGTACGACATCCTGCTGTTGGCTGCAGATCCGTGGCACGTTGAAGAGCTGGACCAAGCTGTGGTGCGTGCTCAAACCCGGCGTGCTGCTCATATACAAGAGCCCCAAGAACGAGCACTGGGTGGGCACGGTGATGCTCAACGTGTGCCAACTCATCGAGCGGCCCTCCAAAAAGGACGGCTTCTGTTTCAAGCTCTTCCACCCGCTGGATCAGTCCATTTGGGCCGTCAAGGTAGACCTGTTCATAATCAACGTTTTTGGGTTTAGATCGCGTTATTTATAAATGTGTCGTAACCCTCCACAACCCGACACGGCCAATCAGTAAAAAAAGTGTCACGTTGACAAAAGACAAATAGTTCACTGCTTTAGCCCACCGGTGTGTTGAAGCGTGAAACCACAACATTTACAATTTGAGTACGACGTTTCGCTGGTAATTGCCTGGCTCACTGACCTCTCTCACAATCTGCCTGTGCCGCCAGCCTCTCAACCCCCGTCCCCTTCTCTGTCCTTATGCCTCTCTCAGTTTTCCTTCAACGCCTCGTGTTTACGCGAACCACCCCCCCCCCCCTCCGTTTCATTGCTTCAACCTGGCCCGGCCACTGACCCCGCTGCACCTTGCCTTGGATGTCTTTTCAAGTTTGTGAACGCGGTGGTGCTTTGCCTGAAACCCTCGGGTATTCCATTAGCGGTGTATGAAAACAAAATGTATTTTACCGACTTGGCAGGGTCACGACAAATGTCATGCATCCCCGTACGCAGCGTTATTTCACGTGCAGGGTGAGGGTATATAAATACGCACGCGTGGTCCGCTGCACAAAAGGTGAAGCCAAGAAGTGTGATAACCTTGGGCAAATGATGTTAAGGTGGTTAACGGGGAAGAGATTTTTAATACCCTTTGTTGCGCATTTTTAAAAATATAGTTTAGTGCTATCTTCGTTCCGCCGCAAGACTAAAAATATATATTTTAAATGAATATTAAACGTACCCATGAATTTAGATTGGTGAAAGGCCAGTGGAAAACTACTGTAATGTTTGTTATTCATCCTGAATGAGGTGTTGATCGGTCAAGTCATTGGGGAAGGTGACATGTAATGAGATGTGGCCACAGGATTTAGGGGACTTGATGAGATATTTTAAGTTATGTTGCAGGAGTGTGTGATCTAAAGGGGGGACATTTTGTTCTGTATAGTGTGGTAGGGTTTTCTCGGGCTTGGTTAGTATTCCTATAATGGTGGTTTGTTTGGGCGTGCTCTTTGCCAAATGAAATGTTTCCTTACTATCTTTTTGAGATTATGTGTAAACGTAATTAGTATGATAGCAACGCCCCCGACCCCCATCCAGGTCATTAAGGCTTCATCCATAGGGATCAAAATGTCAATCTTTTCCTGAAATCAGGCAACATGTACACATACCTCTGTTGCCTCTTTGCCTGCCTGCGTATTCTTCCACGTAGTATGTTCGCCCGGCCTTCGGCGAACATATATAGACGTTCTGTGTTCCTTGAGCGCATTGTCCTGCAAGTGTGCGCGGAGTTGTTATTCTTGCTGTCGAGGATGAATGCGTAGAGGATGATGGGGACAATGTGATGACATTTAACATGATGAAAAGAGACTGGCATCCATGTCATTGCTAATTCCCAAATATATAGGACCATGCCATGTAACAGCTTACCCAAATGTGTTAAATGACAACCCATGATATGTACTGGATAATGTATTCAATTTGTGCAAGCATTGATCATCACTTATAAATCGCTTATTTTCATTCAACAGCCTGGGTAGTGTCCGGTGAGATATGAGAGTTATAATAAACTTCTATCCATTTTTCCGAGTGAGTGCTTTCCTCGTAATGTAAATCTTACAATGAAATTTGCTGTAAGCATTTCATTCTATAGTATAGTCATCGTATGCAAGTGTATATGTGTATGTTTTAAAAGTGTATGTGTGGCATTAGGTTTTAGAGATTGAATTTCATATAAATGATGACTAAATTATCGTGTGCAAAATGTTCATCAGAAAGATATGCCCCTAATCTGAACTCCAGTTTATCTCTATAGTTATAATTGCTGCAAAGCAATACTTTCCACACGGACAATGATAACATCACATACAATACAAAGACAAAGTCCCCCTTCCCTCCCATATAGGCTTAACAGACTGTTGGGCCAAGTTCTTTTAGTGAGAACGTATTAAAGGCCAGCATGGAAAACAAGGGGGTGGGTGACCAGTACCAAGCCAGACTCTCTTATGTCTCCCCAGTGCTGATGTTTACACACCACACCAGGTACTCATTTAAGGCTGAATCAGCATAAGTGGCAAATATCTGGTGTGCTGTGTAAACAGTAGCACTGGGGAGAGCAAAGGCGGCCAGATGTGGTGCTGCTCACACCATCCCCTCGCATGCCGTCCCTGGCCCTAATTGGTGCTTGCAAATAACACTTGCCCACGCAGTCTGTTAAACGCTATACAGAGGTATCTTTGCCTTTGATGTGCAGCACGTACACGCATACATCGTCGTAAATCTCGCCTGATATTTGTGATAAAATGGTAACATACCCTTCTCGCTGCAGCACATTTTTGTCCAAAAGCAATTATCTCTGTTTGCCCTTGAGCAAGCCGTGCTGTCTGCCCACACTGCTAGGGCCCGGAGGGTGAGACTGTGGGCGCCATCACTCAGCCGCTGCCTGGCAGCTACCTGATCTTCCGTGCCATCTCCGAGTCAGACGGTGAGCCCACGCTGCGCCGCACACGGCGATGTCCTTGCACGCGTCCGTCTGGTGTACCGAGCACCCCAATTACACTCGGGATCATCGTTTGTGCATTGGCGCCAAGTTCGTTGTGAACTGAATGAGCTTTGATCATTTCCTTCCTGTGTGGTAATTAACTTTTATTTTTAGATATGTGTGGGTTTTGTTCAGACTTCATTCCCATGTGTTGTAGTTAAGTGGGAGAAGTTAACTTCCCTGTTTATATTGACACACAAATAGTGATCAGAATCCGAATCGTTATTTATACTGGAGGAATCTGATTAGCTATACAACTTTTTTTCATAGATGTCCGGAAGGGGCAGGTCAGAAAATTACAACAATAATACAACAGGAGTACAAGAAAATCACAAAAAGATCATGTTTTTTTTTATTTTACCAGGTCAGCCCCACTGAGATTATTTTTCAGACTGCGACCTGGTAGCAAATGACAGCTCAACGAAAGTGGATTATCATGTGGAAATGTATAGCAGCCAAATAATAATAAGCAGAGTACAGAGTGACAAAGAATGGAACTTAAACACGGAGACCTGTAGATATGCGGTTGTTTACTGACGGTCACTTCAGTGTGATTTAACTATTGATAGTGGACTGGGTATTGCTGTGTTCACAACAAGCACTGCCTGAGGTCGGTTCTCTTGGCATCCATCCTCCTTCCATCCACATGGGTAGGCCGCTCACAACATCTACTGTATATGTTATTCCTTTTTTAATTTTTCTGCTATTTTATCCAAAATGTCCAAATGTCGCCATGTCGTGAAATATCCTGTTGCATCGCGAGCAGAGCATCACACGCTGCTTGCTCGTGAATGGCCCACAGAAGTGGATGTCACAGAGCTGCCTCTGATCTCTATACAGTAGACGACAGCCCTTTCCCACCTGCTGTGCCACACAGGAATTGATGTTCATCAGATGATCGTGAAATCGATATTATTAATTCCTAGAGCTGGATTTGATCCAAATTATAAGCAGGACCAAATTTATTCTGATAGTTTTTTTTCGTCTTCTTCCAGCTGAGACATTTAAATCACTTGACTTGAAAACGTGGTTTAAATACGGGTGGCTACCAGGAATTAAAACTCAAACTCAGATCTTAGCTCTGCCGGTTCAGAGCTCTGAGCCACCCAGCCACCTCACAATCACCTCTGCACATTTGCACGCTTTTTCTACGTCCTTCCCTCCGCTATGTGCACGCACGTATGTATGTGTGTTGCACTTCCTTTGCACCGTACGTAGCTAACCGCGCTAATCAAAGTTGTCATCTCGCTGTAGGCCGCTGCTGGATGGACGCCCTTGAGCTGGCGCTGCGTTGCTCCAGTCTGCTCAAGCGCGCCGTGGTCAAGGATGGCAAGGAGGCTGAGCTCAACAACTCGGTGGATGGAGGCCACATGGGGCTGCTGCAGCTGCTCAGGGCCAGCGCCCCATTCAGCCCCCAGGAGAAGTACGGGCACGCAGTTTTGATAATGGGAAACTTGGCCTGATAATGGGCAACTGGGCAATCGGGTGGTGGAGAGGGTATCAAGAAAGCTATAGCCTCATTTGGTAACTTTAAGTGTGTTTATAAGATTAAGGTGCGGCTTGCCAACCAACTATGCCACCTTATCCTCAATTGATTATTCCAAAGCTGCTCTCTCCCAGGGGGATGGATTTATATTCTCCAAGGTTTCCAGCACACAGTGCAGATGATATCTTCTTGTTATTATTATAGCATAGGTAGAGTAAATTTGTCAGATTCTTGACATTGTGTGGATTGTACAATTGGGGCGTAATTGGTATAAAAAAAACACATTTGGGAGAGGAAAAATTTGAGCACAACTTAGCATTAATTCAGCATTATGAATGTGTGCGTTTGCATATCTTGAATATATGATTGTCATTACCTACTTTGGCACATCACATAATTTCGAGCTCTCTCCGATTGTACATTTACAAGCAAATTTCTTACATTGACATGCTAATCTCTCACAATACAACGGCCCACCCCCACAGCTTCGTTTGTCAAGATTTCTCCGATCTTACATTTGCATGCAAATTTCATCTCTAGCCCCACCCACTGACCCTTGGGCTCCACCCATCTCAAACCTTTATAACTCCCTGCCTTAGCAGCACTCCCACCATATATTTTTCTTGCCTCAGCAGCTCTCCCACTATATTTTTCACCTGATGACGATTGCTTGTGTTGCGATCGAAACGTCGTGATATTGTTATTATTTTATCAATTTTATATCTACGTGGCTTTACCGAAAGACCCAAAGAATACACATCACAGTGATGACAGACATCGTGCTTAACTGTGGAAGCTCATATCGTTCCGTACCAGGCCACTGCAAACCACAGCGCCATGGGGGCATTTCGCGACAATGTCATCTCGCTCTCGCCACGGCCTCTGATGTCACGACGCATCACGTTACACCTCGCACCGAGTCTCGGCCTGTCCCTTCTCTTCACGTCTCTGGCATCGAGGCTTCGTTAGCAGATGTGCCCTTTAATATCCCCTCCCACAGGATCTGTGCTCAGCTCATAGAAGGAGATGTGATCTTTTGCAGTGGGTTTTCCCATCATTGTACAGGGAGGTAAAAAAGAAACCGATGAGTGCGTTTAACCATAGTTACGTTACAACCGGCATACATTTTATTTCATAATGTTCTAGTATACAAGTTACTTCCTGAAGATGACTAATCTTGTAATGATTAATCCAGCACTTGTTCTTAAATGATTATTTTAAACGTATATACTTATATGCTTAACAATATGTATCATTGGTGTTTGAAATGACATTGCATCAGACTGACGTGTTTTATTACAGTATCAGGTTACATTGCAAAAACATACAACATTAACCCAGTTCATTACACCTCTCCCCCGATCTCATGTTTATTATATTTATACCCCTATTTAAGGTGGATTAAAACATGTTCATCGTCTTGCCTATTTTTACCGTGACATTTCATTTTTTTTTTTATTGTCCTGGGATACAAAATGTAGGAACATTTTTCAGAAACATAAACAGGTCACACTTGCGGCACACGAAGCCTATATTTTGCAGTGGGCACTGCTTCATAAACTCCCAATGTCATAAACATCTCTACAGAACCATTTGACCATTCATGAGCAGGCCAAGCAGCATGCACTCGTCCTGGCGGTACTGCCCAAATGCTCGTGCTTGAATATCATGTTGCGTTAAAACGGGAATGGTGCAATTATAACGGCTTTTCTGTGCATCAAAATCTATTGCAAAGCCAATATTTCATTACATGCCTAATTAGAGCTCGATGTTTTTGCAGACGAGTAATTCGCTATTAATACGTAAGCTTTCAAGTTAATGCAGAATCATCGCAAGCAAACATATTTTGCCGACCGTTCAAAGGGTGCTCCGGTGTTCACCTTTGCACGTTCCACAATTACTAATTGGTCACACAAATGGGTTACAAGACCTCAAATTTATGGGTGCCCCTCTGCAGCCTCGACCCACGGCATGACCCTGTGTTTAATCGCGCTAACATGGCAGCCTTGTCTGCACCTTGCTATGCACTCTTACCCCACGTGTCACTTCTGAGTTGCGAGTTGTCCGTAATTATCACTTTCTACGAGCAATTCTCTTTTTCCCACAGCTTTACCGCGCCCCTACCCAATGATTTATTTTTTTAAATCTTATATTCTATCAAAGGTGATGAAAAACACGTTCATCATCACCATGATAAATGTTGTGCATATTGAAATGCATGTATGTTATTGTGCTCATGCATTGTACACATACAGTGCATTTACAGTTGGTGTAGGCATTTTTTACCATCTGTGTAAATCATAACTGTTTCTACTGTAACATTTTATTTTATGTAATTTCTTAAGGTCCTTAAATCTCAGATTCACTTAGCTATATTGGTCAGTGTGCCCCTTCAAATTTGCCTGGGGCCGTTAACATCTCTGTTTGATGTCCTGAACCAAATTTAGAAATTCCAAGTAAATCTGGCAACAGCCCCCCAGGAAAAAAACACTCTTTATATACAAAATCAGGAGACAACCCTCAAACTACAAAGACAGGCTGGCAGCCCATTTGCTTTACTTGCCACCTTCTAGTTCAAGAGGCTGGGAGTCTCACAGCATGATGAATTCTGCGTGACCCACCCAAACCCACCTCCAAGGCACCGGATTACCGGCATGCATCACCGATGCCCGTTGTATTTTGTCCCCAATATCTTCCTTGCGGAGATATTTTGTTCCATCTCAATTTCTTTGTTGCTCTGGCCCCTCCAGGCTGCGCTGCGTAGGACGAGTGGCATAAATGATAAAAATATGACCGACGTTTATGATCGTGATGATATGGCATTGATCCGTGCTCTCATCCCTCCGACTGTCCACCTCGCCCCCACGTGCCTCCCCCCGTTCCTCACGCGCCATTCCGGGTGGTCGCAGCTTGAACGAGAGCGAGATCGAGAGTGCTCACTTCGGATCGCACCACCTGCCCTGGGAGGGCTCGAGCCGCTCCAACGGCGGCGACGGCGACGGCCAGCGCGAGGAGTCGGACGAGGACGGCACGGCCGACAAGACGGACGACAGCGACTCAGACGTGTCGGACCGGCCTGACGCCGCCGTCGTCACCGCCACGCCAAGCAACGGCTCTCCTGCCAACGGCTCCCCGGGGAACGGCTCCCTGGGAAACAGCTCCCAGAGCAATGGGTCCCCCCCGGAGCCTGTGGTGGAAACGGGTTATGTGGCCGAGCTGGGCGAGGAGTTTGGGGAGGTGAGCAGCCCCCCGCCCCGCCCCCTCCCCCGCTCGTCATCGGCTACGGTCGATGATTGCAGAACCGCACCGATGACGACACAGAGCATCGCGCTCATGTTAACGCGGAAAGAGAATGATACTTGTCAGAACGCGTGGAGCATTAAATATTGTTCCACCCATCGGAATGCTTTTTGATTGTGCAAATGATTTGCAAATAATACATAAATGTTAGATTTTTGGATGAGGGAGAAAACGTTACTTTGCAAATGGGAGTGAAACAATTCTAAACAATCCAATGAATCTGTCAAAAGAGGGGAAAAATGAATGGATTCTTCAGTGGAATCCTATTCCCGAATCATGACAATTCATCATCATTGCGGGTGAATTGTTACACGCCAACTAATTGGTCTGTAGAAGTCAATGCGCAAATTAGTTGTTGACTCACTTGCAGTCCTTAGAGAGCTGTCTAGCTCGATGCATGGGCTTTCTCTTCGTAATTTGGTTTTGCCCACGCAACAAAAAAACACGTGAAAATCTATGTAGAATCCTCCTGAAAGAGACTTGTGCACATTTCCTTTAGCAAGAGACAGATGTTTGAAACAAAACCCCACCTAACAAAATAATCCATTATCGTTACTCCCACAAGTACAATGCTACCAAAAAAAGAAACCCTGCAATGGCAGCTGTGGACGAGCACAAATAAAATATTCTTCCTTACAACATAAAATATATCATAGGCCAACATGTTTGGCAATTAATGTTCTTTAGAGCCAGTGGCACTTCTACCTGAAGGACGGGCCATCACTTGACACATCTGTATTGTATTTTTCTGTTGTAATGTGCTGTTTGTGAATAAAAACATGGCTGTTTTTAAATCCTTTATATTAAGTTTGCTTGCTTGCTTGCGTGCTTGCTTGCTTGCTTACGACCGTGCAAATCTTTCGGTCGTTTTTTAACCCACTTCCCGTGATCCAATCGAGCTGACATTTTGCACACAGACTCGTTGTGCGAGACAATTAATGTTCGTGAAATTTTTTTTCCAAAATTTTACACTGTTTAGTGAAAACAAATTCAATATTTAATTACCAATTGCTTAATACTGGCAGACAATCATCTGACCCATAGGTGGCAGCCATCTCAAGCCAGAGGACGAGAGGACTCTAGCCGCCACGCATATAAAGGATTTATAGTGAAAAACTTTGTTTTTACGGGTTATACTTATTTTGACTTGCGCTGCAGAAGTGTGGGTGATCAGCGTTTGCAGTTTGACCTCTCAGTTGGGGTGTTTGCGCGCATGCAACACAGGTTGGCGAGGCGGCTCAGACCGAGACCGTCTCGGAGGAAAACAAAGGCTTGATCTGGACACTCTTGAAGCAGCTGCGGCCTGGTATGGACCTGTCCAAGGTGGTGTTGCCCACTTTCATTCTGGAGCCGCGTTCTTTCCTGGACAAGCTCTCCGACTACTACTACCACGCCGACATCCTGTCGCAGTGCGTACTGCATCACACGGGGAGCACACCCCCCCTCCTCCCACACAGTGGCCTGATCTCTGCATACATATGGAGAGACGCAGATCCACTTTGCAGATTGAAACTTCGTTCCCCCCGATGAGACCGGGTCTTTGTTTCATGTAGTATGGGCACACAATGAGGGATTTAACTTCTATGCCCTTGTGGGCTCATGGTGAGTGAAGTGAAACGTCGCAGCAGCCCTGCAGCAACTGAAGCGTATTAAATGTACATCCCCTGCCTGCCAACTCAATTTGTTTCAGAATATTGTGAAAAAATTAAACTACACTGTTGGCCAATTTTGTTCAGGATGTGCACAGAATTAAGTCTTGACGCATCACTAAAAATCTCTTTCGAGTGTTGTCCAAAGTTTTACTCGTATGGCTATGCATACGACATGAAGTCCATTCATGTTGATCTACAAGGCAGTTGTCTGACAAATGTGTCTATTTCAAGAGTTTTATAAACTTGTCTTCACATCCGTTTCACCTGTCGCATTTATCTTTATTTTTTCCGATGTTTATCGTTGTTTTTTCCCCGTCTTTTCCAGAGCTGCTGTGGAGGAGAATGCATATGATCGTATCAAGCAGGTGGTGCGGTGGTACCTGTCTGGCTTCTACAAGAAACCCAAGGTATGAGTCATGTTGTTAATCTCACACAAGCAGCTTTATTTCGTTTTATACTGTTCGGCCAAGTGCTGTTAGTACACACCTATTAAAGATGGCACATCAACACAGGGAGGGGGGGTGTGATCAGCACCATCGGTACAGCCAGCTGCCTTTATCTCCACAATGCTGATGTAGGGATGCAATACCAAGTACTCATTCAGGCTAGAAAGGGACTCGAACGATGTTCAGATCACAGTTGCTTTTGGTGTGCTTGGTCAATACATTTGTAGTGATGTATATTAAGTCACTGTGGTGTTAGTATTAGCCACTGTGAGAAGAACTGTGCATCTTTGAGCCTCTCTCTGTCAACAGAGTGCGTATGGCATACGGGACAGAATAGGTGAACCCGAGAGGGCACGTGACCAGGAGAGGATAAGGATGGGGGCCAGAAGGGGACCGAGGGGACACGTGATGTGAGGTCCCAGAACCCTCTGGGAAGATCCCGAAGGGGGCGTGGCCGAGGGCGGCGCAAGGCCACACTCAGGGGATACGAGGGGATCCTGTGAGCCGAGCGGGCTGTTCTCTGGGATCAACTCTTCGTGCTACTCTCAGTTCTTTCGGTAAAGTCACGTAGGTAATAAAATAAAATAATAAAATCACGACGTTTCGAAGACAACACAAGTCTCCGTCATCAGGTGGGACCGTCACAGCCAGATTTTCTGCATCGTGGTGATTTTATTATTTTATTTTTATTACCTACGTGACTTTACCGAAAGAACTGAGAGTATGAATCCTTGCAGTCACGAAAGCTTCAAATCTTCGTGCTACGCTAATCGGGCTTCGCTCTTAGATCTTCGCCACATGACATCGTGGACCAGGCAGCGTGTTAGCTGACCTGGTCCGATTATCTCGTTATCCCATCGAGTGTGTATGTAGTTACCCTGTTGGGGTGCATAATTGACGTGTTGCCTCCAAGTTAGAAGTGTCTGCCTCCATGGAACCCATGTCATATTTTTTAGGAAATTATGTAAAAAATTCCTGTAATGCTTTGAAAACCAAGCCAGGTATTTAGGCCGCATTCCAGTATGCAATACTATGTGCATACTTGTGTGTTTGTTTGTGCCCCATGTGTGTTTGTTTGTGTGTCATTGTCCTGTATGTCTGCTCCTTGCAGGGTCTGAAAAAGCCGTACAACCCAATAATTGGCGAGACATTCCGTTGCATGTGGATCCATCCGCAGACCAGCAGCAAGACTTACTACATCTCTGAGCAGGTGTGTGCAGGGTTAGACGTTGGAACGCGCAGCTCTGGAACAGTCCGCAGATGTGGTCACGGCGAAATAAATGCAGGTAGCATTCAGCTTGGTCATGGCTAAATCACATTAAGGTTGGTGAGCTCGTTCAGGCCATTCCTTCAACTCCCTATTTACTTCCAAGTTGTGGAATTATACGTCACTGAGCGTTTATAAACCATGCGCTTGGCAGCAGAGTTCAGTGGAATTTTCACGAGAGCTGAAGTGAAGCAGTGTATTTGTTTGACATGTAACACTGTCACAAGAAAAGGCTTACTTCAGTTGAATAGACATTGTAATGTGCTGCTCACTGGGCTATAAGGCTCTTTTTAGCAGCGACCTGGCCACAAATGATAGTTCAACAAAGTGGCTTATGTGGAAATGTATAGCAGCTAAATACTGAAAACGCATGTTTCTAAATGTGGAGGGTAAAATTATTTTGAGAGTGTATGGTTATTTGAGTTTGTACACGAGCTGGTGAATGAGATTGCAATATGTTATTGTTTTAATGCTGAGATGCAGGGAGCAAATGAAATGAACAGTGTTAAATCTTGTTGTGTCCTAGGTCTCGCATCACCCTCCCATCTCTGCCTTCTTCATCAGCAATAGAAAAGACGGCTTCTGCATAAGCGGAAACATCTTGGCAAGATCAAAATTTTACGGTGAGAACCTTTAACACCTTCAAATGCAAAGCATGAAAACACATTCCTGCGGAGGGAGTTGGTAGGAACGTTGGGTTGCTCGGTCAATAGCCAGGGTCAACAGCGGCGTGGTGTATTCCGCAAATATGGCCGGCTGTGAGGGTGGGCACAAGTCGGCGTGAGTAGGTTAAACGTTGAGTTTTATAAGGGCACCACGAGGTGACCAGCCCCTCCCCACCCAGTCTCACCCCTTCCCCTCCCCACCCAGCCCCTCCCTCCCCACCCAGCCCCTCCCCACCTTCCCCTCCCCACCCAGCCCCTCCCCACCTTCCCCTCCCCACCCAGCCCCTCCCTCCCCACCCAGCCCCTCCCTGCACGACGGACAGACACAATAATCCCCTGTGGGCTGGTGGAACAAAGTGGGTTCCTACCAGTATAACCAAAACAAAATAATATCTTCAGAAGAATAAGTGTCCTAACGGTGCATATTAAAATGTAATATATGAGCATGAGCAGCATTCTTCGTTATCTCGTCTGTATTTCCGATGAGCTGTCCAGGTTTATATCTGCACGTCATTTGACTCGGGCTTATTTTTTCAGGCTCGTCGTTATTTTACGACAAGCTTTCTGTTGAGCTTGGAAGTTTCGACGCTGCCCACGTTCAACCGCGTTTTGCCCTTTCTCAGGAAACTCGCTCTCTGCCATTTTGGATGGTGAGGGGAAGCTGACATTCCTCAACCGGGGCGAGGAATACTTAATGACGATGCCCTATGCGCATTGTAAAGGTGAGGCATCGTCGCCCGGTTGTGCGCACATACTTGATCAGCTGTCATTGCATCCTCAAGTAAACCTGCCACAGTTATTATCCCAGCAGAACTGCTTGCTTTGGCACGTTCTTCAATACTACACCTCGTGTGTTGATTTTTTTGTTGCTGGTACAAAACACGATGTCCCCCTAATCATCTTCGTCATACTCATTATCAACAAATAAACTGCAGAGGGTCTTTCACAGCACAAATTGAGGAACATTTAAATATGCATTATATTGTTCCAGAAAACCATTCTATCGTGTAACTCTGTTAACCCTGCCTTCATTATTACCTTCACAGAAAGTGCCCAACTATGTTTTGGGATTATAATTACTTGTACTTTTATGATTATGCTTTACATTTGGCCTTTGTGCAGCACACTATTTCACTCGGGTTCTGGAGAACGCGATTTTTATGCAGTCATGTCCAGTTGTGCCTAGGACACACTGTCAGTATAACTGTAAACATTCCATAACCCCGTGTAATATTAAATGGCATTAAGCACTTGTTTTGTAATGATATTCTTCTGCTTTGCACCGCCGAGAGTAGCATGCCAAGCAATTGTGCACAAAGCGCTTTTGAAATTATCACCCAGCCTTTGGTTATAGATTAATAAGTATCTGCTGTGAAAGCTGGTGCGGCGTCTTGGGATTAAATGGAATGTTAAGTCGATACTGATGGGCAGCTCATAGCCATTCAGAAATGGGGCTTGAGTTGCATGCGAGCTCGTGGAAACTTTCCTTTTGAACCCACAGGCATCCTTTACGGCACCATGACGCTTGAACTTGGAGGCAAAATTGTAATCGATTGCGAGAAGACCAACTATAAAGCCGAGATTGAATTCAAACTCAAGGTAAACAATGTGTTATCTATCGATGTAAAGCTTTCGTGACTGCAGGGATTCATCTTCTTGGTTCTTTCGGTAAAGTCACGTAGAAGGGAAATAATAAAATAAAAAATAAATATTTTATTATGTTTTATTTTATTTTATTATTTCCCTTCTACGTGACTTTACCGAAAGAACCAAGAAAATGTGTTATCTATAAACACCAATACAATAGTTGTGGAAGTGTGTTCACGTTTATATTTTTACCTTGTCCGTACGGTGATTTAAAGGGATTTGGCGCGAATAAAATCTTTCCCATAATAGTCTGTTTTTGGGTGGTAATAACCTTTTGTCTTTAATTGAAAAAATAATTGCAGGTTTTGTATTTTTCGTCTCGTTGACATGCAATGTTGATGAAACGTACCTTTTTATTTTGGTTCGCGACACTAAATAACAGTTTGGTAAATGTTAGGATTGCATTTATGGTAATATCGCAGAGCACCCAAAGGTTGACCACGCATATTCTGTGATGGTTACTTTTCAAAGCTCGCTTTCAATGTTGACTCGTTATTTTATCATGTGTAATTGCTTGAAATCTATTTCAGCGTGGTTAGTAAATTAACAGGTTTTTTAATCTATTGTTTTGTAGAGGATCAGATTGGCAGTGGTGCAAAAGCACAAAAAAATTAAACGCACCACGTACCTCATTAACACTGGCTTGTAACGGGAAAAAAATGTGAAAGCTTTAATAACCCGGCACAGTTTTTATCCAGCAGTGGATTGACAAGTGGCTGTAAATTAATATTGTGCATGCCGGCTCTGTTATGAGACTATTCATGACCCATCTGGTGAGTCATTTTTGTGTGTGTTTGTGCACCGCTGCCAATGGCAGACCCTTACATTGATTTTATCTGGCAATAGTGAAATATACAACGGGCCAACTTTTTTTAGGACAATGGCACTCTGGAGGCACTGAAGAAGTACCATTGCCTGAGATTACTAGCCTACTTTTTTATGTTTCTCTCATAAGGCGGTGTTCACGGTAGACATGGTGCATTGTTTGCGTGCTTTGTCACAATTCATTCCTGCAGCCATTCCTGGGGAGCTCGGACAGCGTGAACCAAGTTTCTGGGAAAATAAAGCTTGGCAAGGAGGTGTTGGCCACGCTGCAGGGGCATTGGGTGAGTTGCTTCTTCATAATTACAGCAGGCACTGAAAGTACACACACACACGGACCCTAGGGAGAGACCTTTTTAATGACTTAATCACTCTGCCAGCTGGCAGTAGTACTAAACATTCTGGCTTTTATAACTCTCCACGTATATTTTTTGTAAGCAATATCTGTGGTTGAAGCTTCACCCATTACATTTGAATTCGGGAGTTTTTTTCTATTATGGCCTATGAAGTGTTTAGGGTGAAATTATTGCATGTCAGGTGGACGTTGTCAGTCTGGTGGTATACATCATCGCTGTTTTCAGAATGGATTACCTTTTGGTGCGATTGCAGCTGTTCTGGATTGGAAACAAATATAAGGAAATATGGCCCAAATTTCGATTTAAAGCTTTTGTGACTGCAGGGATTCATATTCTTGGTTCTTTCGGTAAAGTCACGTAGAAGGGAAGTAATAAAATAATACTTTTCCCTTCTACGTGACTTTACCGAAAGAACCAGAAATATGGCTCGCCAACAGATAATTATTATAATAATTGTACTGTAAGTAAAAATGACTCGCGATTTTTAAGGGATTGGCAAAATGGCCAATTTGGGTGAGAAACCTATGGTTTATGATGTTTTCGTGACTGAGAACCATTTAATAACAAGAGTTGCTGACAAATCATTGAACTACAAATTAATCTACCATTAATTTAACAAGCACCCATTAACTTACATAATCTGCTATCGATGGCCTGTTCTTCAACTCTAAACTTGACTAATTAATTCCACTAAGCCCAGTAACTGTACAAAAAACTGTCATACATATATTGTTTTATGCCTACTTTGACACATTCCAATTCTAAGGACGAGCACACTTCATTTTGATTGGTATGCGACAAACAACGCTTGCAGGGCAAGTAGTCAGAATCAACCATGTACAAATAAGAGGCAGTTGAAGAGACTTTGGAAGTATGTATGCGGTAACTTATTCTCAAAGGCGTGACTCTACCATAAATATATGCTGGTTTCTGCAATGGTCCCTAATGAAAGATGCTGTAATTTGGAGAAAAAATGTTAGAGCACTTGTTCGACAAAGGGAACTTATTCTCTCACAAGGCCACGTGATTCCTCAACATTAGCCCCACTGCGTTCCACGAGGCCTATGACGACCAAACAAAAATTTTAATTTGTGCAACGTCTAAATATGGCCGAATCTCAAGATGCTTTCAAGAGGTCAAAACGTACATTAAGAAAGAAAGGGAATTGGGTTTCGGAAGGGAGGGGAGGATAGGGCAGAGAAACTAGAGATAAACGATGGAGAGCAACACCGTGGCACAGCCCTGGGACATAGCAACGAGAACCAACACAGGGGATCGGGGACAGCCAGAGGATATCCAGGGCAGCACTGACAAGTCCCAGGACATCCACTGGGGTCCCGGACAGGCAAGGCAGCATGTTTGAGGGGCCATGACAGCCTGAGTGTTGAGCATCCTTGAGCGGCCTCAATGTTTGTTCTCACCCCACTCAGGACCGGGAGGTGCTGATCCACGAGCTGTCGTCTGGGGTCACGGAGGTTTTCTGGCACCCGACGTCAGATGTGCGGCACCAGCGGCTGCAGCGACACACGGTCGCCATGCACGAGCAGGGCGAGTTTGAGTCGGAGAGGTGAGGCCGCGCGAGGCACGGGGGGCGGCCGTGCCGCCTGTAGCTTTTTGAATTTTTCTTTGCATCTTCCTTTCACATGGTTGTGAATAGCGCCGGTGTAAATGAAAAAAAGTTCACAATTGGAACCTCATTTGCCAGTAAAAAATATGATAATTGTTTTTTTACCCTTTTATCTGGCAACAAAACGGACACTTTTTTTTTACAAGGAGTCATGTTTGCCTAGACCACAATATCTGTAGTAATAATGCAAACAAAAAACATAACTCTGGTAATGTATGCACTGTCCTTGAAGTTGATTGGTCCACACCCGAGACAGCTTTATTTAGAGCCTAGTCTCACATGGTGTTGGACCAGATGACGCCAAAAGACTGCAGGTATTGTGGTCTATGCAAACATGACTCCTTGTAAAAGGGTAAAAAACCAATTATCATGAAAAAGAGTTATTTTATGGGACTGGAGATTGCCTGGGGGGTTGTTTTTGGGATCAGTAGACATCAGTAGACATCAGAAGCTGCCTCACTTGTACTCGGGCTCCCGTTTAAAAATAATTTGAGACCTTTCCATAATACCAGTTTGTGCAATTATTCAACACTTCAAATTTGTCAACTGAATGTAACTTATATTTCTACATCCAGTTGGTGTATTATTGCAATCATTGTGGTGTTCTATTTAATTGGGAAGAACCAGAAAAACTCACTTGAGATTAAACATAATTTCCACAGGTCCTCCTGTGTATTGTGTAATTGGAAAACAGGTGGTATTAAAATAAAACTGAGTTTTTTTTCATCTCTTTGGTTCACTTATTCTTTGTATAATTCAACCCTCATTTACCAATGGTAGAATATATTGGAGTAGCGAAAGTGTGTGCATGCTGCTGGTCTAAATGTTGACAAGATCAAATTTCCCTTTCACAGTAAAATCAAGTGGCACTAAGTGCCTTCAAATTAGGAACAAAAAAAGTCAATATATTTTGTGATGTAGACATGTTGATGCTTTCTGAAGCAGTTTTACCTCATTGTAGTCAAAGGATAAGTTACAGTACAACGGCCACATAGTTTGAAGCTGTTTGCATCAGTGAAAATGTTTTGGCAAAATAAAGGGATAGGGAATAAACTCGTGTGGATTTAAGAGCCATCTGTAAATTATCTCAAAGCCAAATCCTTCCTGGACTCGAACATTGCGGTATAATGCTGTACAGACGAAGAATGTCCTCCTGAATGACTAATGTGTTGTATTGTGCAAAGTAACGTGTTGTATTTTTGTATTGTGCTGCGTACTTTGTTATCTGTGGTTTCTGAGTGTGTTTTGATGACTGTTAGCAAACCATGCATTAGTTCCTCATTGTCTTTAAATGCAAAAAAAACTATAACATTTTTCCATTGAATTGTTAACAAGCTGATGAATAATCTCCAATTAATATCATCTCCAGGATAAATAAAGATTCTTATTTTGTAATTTAAAAAAATTATGTAATAATTAATTGTTGCTAGCTAGACGCGACCTACAAAACCACGATTGTAACCACGATCTGTGCTGCATAACATCTGTACCATCCCTGGACACCCATGATATAGACCCTAACAGCTCATTTTGCCCTTTCTGTTGAAATAAATAAAGTCTTAAAGTAAATGTCAAATATAAAGCTGTATAATGTGTTTTTTTTATTTGGATGCGACTCTATTGACGTGTCATGGGATCTCCTTTGCCAGTACCAAAATATACTAATAGGGTTTTTCCCCTTTTTTCTGGCAACAAAACTGACACCTTTTGCAAGGAATCATGCTTACATTAACCACAATACCTGCAGTCAAATGCAAACAAAAAACAATACTCTGATAATTTATGCATTGTCTTTGAAACTGATTGGTCCGCACCAGAGACAGCTTTCTTTGGAGCCTAGTCTCATATGGTGTTCGACCAGATGACGCCAAAAGGCGCACAGTTCAAAGACAACGCAATACCAGAGTAATGAGAGCTCGGGGTGAGCAGCTACATCATGGGATCTCCTTTGCCAGTACCAAAATATACTAATAGGGTTTTTCCCCTTTTTTCTGGCAACAAAACTGACACCTTTTGCAAGGAATCATGCTTACATTAACCACAATACCGGCAGTCAAATGAAAAAAATAAAAAAAAATACTCTGATAATTTATGCATTGTCTTTGAAACTGATTGGTCCGCACCAGAGACAGCTTTCTTTGGAGCCTAGTCTCATATGGTGTTCGACCAGATGACGCCAAAAGGCGCACAGTTCAAAGACAACGCAATACCAGAGTAATGAGAGCTCGGGGTGAGCAGCTACATCATGGGATCTCCTTTGCCAGTACCAAAATATACTAATAGGGTTTTTCCCCTTTTTTCTGGCAACAAAACTGACACCTTTTGCAAGGAATCATGCTTACATTAACCACAATACCTGCAGTCAAATGCAAACAAAAAACAATACTCTGATAATTTATGCATTGTCTTTGAATCAGTTTCAGTGACCAATCAGTTTCAAAGACAATGCATAAATTATCAGAGTATTGTTTTTTGTTTGCATTTGACTGCAGGTATTGTGGTTAATGTAAGCATGATTCCTTGCAAAAGGTGTCAGTTTTGTTGCCAGAAAAAAAGGGGAAAAACCCTATTAGTATATTTTGGTACTGGCAAAGGAGATCCCATGATGTAGCTGCTGACCCCGAGCTCTCATTACTCTGGTATTGCGTTGTCTTTGAACTGTGCGCCTTTTGGCGTCATCTGGTCGAACACCATATGAGACTAGGCTCCAAAGAAAGCTGTCTCTGGTGCGGACCAATCAGTTTCAAAGACAATGCATAAATTATCAGAGTATTGTTTTTTGTTTGCATTTGACTGCAGGTATTGTGGTTAATGTAAGCATGATTCCTTGCAAAAGGTGTCAGTTTTGTTGCCAGAAAAAAAAGGGGAAAAACCCTATTAGTATATTTTGGTACGGGCAAAGGAGATCCCATGATGTAGCTGCTCACCCCGAGCTCTCATTACTCTGGTATTGCGTTGTCTTTGAACTGTGCGCCTTTTGGCGTCATCTGGTCGAACACCATATGAGACTAGGCTCCAAAGAAAGCTGTCTCTGGTGCGGACCAATCAGTTTCAAAGACAATGCATAAATTATCAGAGTATTGTTTTTTGTTTGCATTTGACTGCAGGTATTGTGGTTAATGTAAGCATGATTCCTTGCAAAAGGTGTCAGTTTTGTTGCCAGAAAAAAGGGGAAAAACCCTATTAGTATATTTTGGTACTGGCAAAGGAGATCCCATGATGTAGCTGCTCACCCCGAGCTCTCATTACTCTGGTATTGCGTTGTCTTTGAACTGTGCGCCTTTTGGCGTCATCTGGTCGAACACCATATGAGACTAGGCTCCAAAGAAAGCTGTCTCTGGTGCGGACCAATCAGTTTCAAAGACAATGCATAAATTATCAGAGTATTGTTTTTTGTTTGCATTTGACTGCAGGTATTGTGGTTAATGTAAGCATGATTCCTTGCAAAAGGTGTCAGTTTTGTTGCCAGAAAAAAAAGGGAAAAACCCTATTAGTATATTTTGGTACGGGCAAAGGAGATCCCATGATGTAGCTGCTCACCCCGAGCTCTCATTACTCTGGTATTGCGTTGTCTTTGAACTGTGCGCCTTTTGGCGTCATCTGGTCGAACACCATATGAGACTAGGCTCCAAAGAAAGCTGTCTCTGGTGCGGACCAATCAGTTTCAAAGACAATGCATAAATTATCAGAGTATTGTTTTTTGTTTGCATTTGACTGCAGGTATTGTGGTTAATGTAAGCATGATTCCTTGCAAAAGGTGTCAGTTTTGTTGCCAGAAAAAAGGGGAAAAACCCTATTAGTATATTTTGGTACTGGCAAAGGAGATCCCATGATGTAGCTGCTCACCCCGAGCTCTCATTACTCTGGTATTGCGTTGTCTTTGAACTGTGCGCCTTTTGGCGTCATCTGGTCGAACACCATATGAGACTAGGCTCCAAAGAAAGCTGTCTCTGGTGCGGACCAATCAGTTTCAAAGACAATGCATAAATTATCAGAGTATTGTTTTTTGTTTGCATTTGACTGCAGGTATTGTGGTTAATGTAAGCATGATTCCTTGCAAAAGGTGTCAGTTTTGTTGCCAGAAAAAAGGGGAAAAACCCTATTAGTCTATTGACGTGCTTTATTTATTGTCATTACTGTGCATTAAAGTGGAGTTGCTGCCATAGGGTAATGGTTAGCTCGATAATCTTGTAATCCTGAAGATCACCTGTTCAATCATCCACTGCTGTGGTTGAAACAGTGGTGCAAGTTTTTCAAATGCCACTGCCTCTATTCGCCCAGCAGTATAAATGGGTACACTAAAGTCGGTCGAGCGACAGTTTGCATATGGTGGGTTAAAGTGTGGTGCTACTCTTATCTCTTCCAAGACATTTGATCTGCATGAAAGAGTAGGCCAGATATCCTCTGGAGGGGCTCTCTACTTCTCCCTCTAGTAGCGGCCCTTCTGTCGGCAGTGGCGTGACCAAGAAATTTGCACGACTGCACCTCTTTACATTGATCACTTTCTGAAATAAAGGACATTTCTCTATGGAGACAAGTCCAAGTGTGAATGACTGAGCGTGCCGTGTCGACACGCCAGGCTGTGGCAGCACGTGACCAGGGCCATCCAAGACAGGGACCAGAACAGAGCGACGCAGGAGAAATTTGTGTTGGAAGAGGCCCAGCGAAACGCGGCCAAGGAGCGCAAGGAGTCGAACTCGGAGTGGACACCCAAACTGTTCCGGCAGGACCCCATCACAGGCGCCTGGTGTTATAAATATGCAGAGTGAGTGGCCTTTTGCAACCTCGTGACTCTGCGACTTTACGTGTCGTACCATCAGCACACGGACAATGTTTACTTCCATATTACGCTATCTTTAAAACATTCACAATGTCCTTCATGCCAAGGATTGACCATTGCCTGAAGCATTCTAATTGGTAAATATTGTGTCATTTTTGATGGGCAATAGTTGAATTTCAGATTTGAATGTCGTTAAGCTATCCCCCTTTGACTATAATAGCCTAAATTTTATTATGAGACTTTGTAAAACTGAACAGGCATGCAGTAAATGTTAAGTATGTTATTTTCACATTGCTGGATATACTCTCTAGCCCTTTGTATTGCAGGCTTTAACTAAATGTAATAAAAGCAATGACCATTTCTTCTAAAATCACTCTAGGCTATACAAGCACACACACGTGCAACCACCACCGCCATGTTGTGGAGCCATTCCCCCCACAGATGCATCCAGCCACACCGTGCGTCGGTTTTAATTGGGCGCCGTCGGGCACGGGGGTCTCCTGTTGTTGTGGCTGACAGCACCAGGCCCTGGGATATGCTCAACGACATGGTGCAGTTTGAGAGAGACGGCGTGATCCAGACGCACATGCGGCACAGGGCGGCGCACAGTGTGGTGAGCCTCGCCGTGCCGTCGGCATCTCACAAGGGCTTTCAGGCGATGGGCCCGGACCTCAAACCACTCAAGGGTGGCCTGCGACACCGGAAAAACCCCTTGCCAGACCACCAGCACTTGGACTCGTCCGACAACGATGGTACAACGCTTCATTCCTTGCCGTGCGGGCATCCCTGTCGTGTCGGTTTGGTCAAAAGTAGAGCTCGTCGTGTATGTTTTATTCTTGAATGCTAAATGATCAAATTAAGTGGTTTAAATGCTGTATATCAATCGGGGTTAATCTAGATCATTGCCACTCAGTTGTCTCATTTGTATTCGTTTTGAACAAATGCATGTCGTAGTACCTTTCCGTCAGAAAATAACAAAATAAATATGTGCGCGTAGTTCAGCTGTTTTCTGCACAATTGTCGATTGCCATCTATTGGCTGCAACTATTTCTTCTCCCTGTCTGCGAACAGACGTGAGGTCGCATGGATCGAGGTCTCGCAGGAGGCATGGGCTGGTGGAAATCCACGAGGCCATCGATTCAGTCCGGAAAACACAGGAAGAAATTAACAAGTATGGCTTTGGAGTGTCATTGTTGGGCTTGGGATTCAGGCAGTGATAAATGACAGCTTTCAAATCCTACGTTTCCCCTAGATCAGTAGTTCCCATCCTGTTGGAACCCATGGACCACTAACCACTGCTTTAGACCATATGCTAAAGGAGGGGGGGGGTGAGCTGTTGGTATGAATTGCGTAAATACAAACCTTTTTTACGTGTGATTATGCATTCATTAATTATCAGGTGTGCGTCATGCCCACCGCAGCATTATACACTTATTGCAGCAACTGCCTGCAGGTGCAGTGTTCATTGCATTTTTATTAACCTTGCAGTTTAATTTGCTCCAAGCGCATTTTACTGCAGTGGATAACATAGCTAATCATAGTTTTCAATTTGGTGACGCTAATTAAATTTGATATCTACTTGTTTTTATTCTGTCACATTTGTAGGACAGGTGCTAAGTGATGTGCCCACTGATATGAGTGCTAAGTAAATATTAACAGTTTACATTGTTAACATATGGTCTTACAGTTTACATTATTAAAAGGTCGCCGGCCGTACTACTTTCATATTGTGAATTTTAATCGCATTTTGTGGCTCCATATGTATGTGTGTGTATCGACGCCTACATGTGTGCAAAGATTTGCATTAAATCGCGTGGCTCCGAGTCTAATTGCCTCCACACTAACCATGTGTCCCGTGTGCACGCACAGGAATCTGGCCTTCCTCGCTCGCAGGGTGCTGCCCAACCACCCCGCAGAGGAAGAGAGCCTGTTGCAGGCTCGAGACTGGATGCTCATCTTCCTGCTGTTGCTTTCCCAGCTCCTCATCACCTACATTCTCAAATAGGATGCTCGCCACCCTCTGCGTGCATGCCGGCAAATTCCCAGACACGTGCCCCACCCCCCCCGGGCTGCTGTGAGGTGGAAAGCGGCAGCCGTCGGAGCTGAGTGGGCTGAGCCCTTAGGCTGAACACAGAGTGGATCCTTGACTGCGCGCGAGAGCGCTCGTCCAGAGCGGACGTGTATGCCGGTCTGCCGGGGACTTATTAAGCAGTGCACGGTGGAGTCCTTCGACGTATCAAGGGGAAGCCTTGAGCGGAGCAGGGTGGAACGCTTTGTCAGTGGCTGTCTGCAGCAGTCATAATGTCCAAGGCCTCTGCTGCGAAAGGAAAATTACGAAAAATGGAGCAGCTGTGGCTGGACCCTTGCCCTCTAATAATGCCTGTGCACACTTACAAATATAATATATATTTTGATTGCCAAGAGCACATCTTTTACACTCCATTTGCGAGTTATCGCATCAACGTCAATTAATATTGCAGTTAATGTTATTGCGTGGTTGTCTTCGTAAGTGTATAACTATATTATACAATGTGGAGGCTGCTGATCCACCAAGTGGGCGTGTGTGGCTTCTCGATTCTCTGAGCTGTTCGTTGCTCATCACATTTACAGCGTATATGTACCTGGTATATATAGGGAGCTTTGCATATATTACACCCATGTTGCAGCAATCAAGTTGTCTTTCAAGTCACAATTTTTATAGTTGTGATGTAACTAATATATGAGCAAGTGGAATGAGTTGGGGTGAGTTTAAAATTACACGAGGAAGAAAACACGCGTCATCTTTGGTAACGAACGTTCATTCTTGTCTTGTTAATTCTTTTTTGTTGGCAAAAACACTGTTTGCCAAGGCTCGAGCTCGGAGTGGAACAAAACGAATTCACTAATTCCCATTGCTCACGCCGGTTTTTATTTCAGCGAAGAAATGAAGGTGCAAGTGAAATAAACGAATATGTCTTCCTTAGTGCCATTTTAAATCCCACAGTAGCTGGTGTTTTCGAGTCGACTGTAATATTTATCTTGTCATGCCGCCACGGTCAATACGCTCAGCCTGAGCGTGCTATCTTGTCTGGCAGTTGTGCGTGTGTGAGCGCGTTTCAGCACTTGGTGAGGTGGGCTACGGATGATTATCAATTTTTGGTATTGCCCATCTTCCCCTGCCTACAGATGTGCATCAAAAGGATCTCAAGTAGAAATACTCTTCCATTTGCTTCATTTCCCCACTTTTGAGTGCTTCAAGCCTTACTATTACCTACTTTACCTTTTACAATTCTAATCCTATTACGATTATCAAGTCAGCCGCATGTTATACGTCGTTACTGAACTCTGCATACTGTGTGCATTGGCAGTGATTGTATTTTAGGTGTCTGGTAAATGTGTCAATTATATTTATACATTTTTCACTGTTTGTGGCGCTAGTAACAGCTTACTTTAATGTAATTAGCCATCACTGCCAAGAAGTCTAGTTACAGAAGGTTTATGACATACAGTAGTAAATACACTGTCACACATTGCACATGCACTAGTAAAACACAGCTTGAGCGATTGTTGGCCACCAGTATTGCAGTTATTGTGCAGTCTGGCAATACTTTGGTTAGGGTGTGTATGGTATTAAAACGAGACACCCTGGATTTCTCTGAAGACCTGCAAAGCCATGTGACCAGTTCACATAAGTGTGTGTCTGTACAGTTAATGTTAACTTTAAACGGTACACCTACTTAATGTTTATTTTTTTTTTGCAGAATCCTGGGTGACTCGTTGTGACACTGACTATAAATTAAAACGCTTTTACTTTGCACCAGAGGATAAATGTGATTATTTGTACGTACAATTGGGTCCACGTGTAGTCTTAACCATTTGTCTTAACTGATCAAAACACAGGAAATGTAATTTAAAGAGAAGGAAAAAACGATGTAAATACTTGTATACAAAAAGGTGAGATGGACGGGATTCCTGTGTACATTTTTTACTTGCCATCTGTTTAAAAAAAAATCTGTTTAATGTATTGTTCCGCTGGTATATTCATCTTGCATATGCCACATTCTGGTTACCGTGAATATATAAATTAATTATTTGGAAATTCCGAAGTTAATAGACCAGATCTCACTTTACCACTGATATAAGGTGACGTCTCGTAATTATAATCATTCCTCGCCATGCTGTGTAAATCCGTGTCTAATTTGTCACTTATTTCGTTTTTGATAGAAAGTTACATTTTAAGAGGTAAAGAACATGATGTTAAAATTAGGTTATCTTGCGTCCCAAAGCTGGAAATCCTTGTACTTAAGTGCTGAGAGCTTGCCTTTGTGCGTGTGAGAGTGAAATGAGCTTTGCCCAAATATATGCAACAGGCAATAATATGTTACATGATCACCTGGATATATTTTCTACTTGTTACATTTACTGTTATATTGTGCTTAATGTTTGCATTTTTATTTTCACTCCGCCACTAATATTTAATAAAAAGTCACAACTTCTGTTAACAGCAATAGGGTAAATCTTGATTGTAAGCCTTTACTTTGTTATAGTACGCAAGCTACGCGATGACACATGCATAAACGGTGGACACTGTAAACATGCACACACACTCGGTCATGCTTGTGCTAACCTCTGCAGGACCCCCACAAGGGGATTATGACCCACAGAAGAGGACACACCACTTCATTCACCAACATTTTTGCTTAAATTTGAATAAAAATAAAGCACCCCATGACCATTGAAGTAAACGTTTTTTTTGTCTTTCGCTCAATTCACGAAAGTGCACCGGAAAGTTTACGGAATATTGCTAGAAAATAAGTTGGTACTTCACAATTCTGATGGTGGCACAAGAGCTGGTCTTGAATATGTATGGTGGTGGCGATGATGGTGATGAAACCTTTGTGCAATAGCGGATGTTATTCCATTACTCTCGCTTTGACTAAATAGCACAAGACGCATCCACGTTGTTATTGTAATGTGTTTTGCCGGTGAAGTAAAGACGGTTTTTTTTAAAGAATGGAGTTGATGCTGAACTTTGTGCAGCCTTGTTGATATAAGCAATGTGGCACCACGCCTCTCCGAGGATATCTCCAGTCTTGCACATGTAATGGTGAACTTGTAGGTTTTGCCAAACAGCCCATTTCAAGTACTCAATCTCAGTGCCTTGTTTTAGTCAGTCTAAATATAGAATAATGGGGGTCTTAAAATAAAACATGATGTTGTATAATGCACCACTTGTCTTCATAAAAAAACGCAATGCTTATGGATTATGAAATAACCATCATAAATTGTTACAGTTAAGGTCGTCGATGTACATTTAATGCAGTACTACAAGGTATATTGTATAAATGACTTTAAAAAAAAACGTTTACCATTATTGTGAGAGAATATGTACACTGTTAAGCTAATTTTAAGTAATGCATGCCATTCAAAATAACATGTTGACATTTAATAAATATTAAATACACCTGATAGTTGTCTACTGTGCAATTAAACAGTTGTCTTACGTGAAGGGGTTTTCTCCCAGTGGCGCTTGTTGGGAATATATTAAATAAATATATTTCCATAAGGATGTATAGATATGCATCTTACGGGTGTCATGTTCAACAGTGGTATTTATTTATTGTGAATCAAAACCCAAGCTAGCTTACAAAATATAACTAGTTAAAAAAAACACGAGATTCAGATTACTATTTGTATTAATGTGTTTATTAAAAGCTAAATACCTGTTTTAACGTGAATTGCATATTCGCATGAATTGATGAAAATGTAACAAACATTGGAACACGGTGCTAATTTGAATTTAAATTGGAAATATATAATCAGCCAATGTCAATCCACTGCTGGACGAGGGCCTCCTCAATTGACCGCATTCTCTCAATCCTGCAATGTTTATCATCCACCCAGCACCTGCACAGATGGGCAGATTTAATAGTTCCGTCACATCAGCCGACGTCCTCTCGTGCATCTCGTCCCTTCGCTGCAACTCCGTGGCCCGTCTATTCCTCTTCGTCCCCAATCTTCTGTCTCTTTCTCTCTGTCCCTCCTCCGTGCCGTTTTCGGTCCTCCCTCCTTGCAACTCCTCCACTGGAATCAACTTCCCTTGTACATTTAAGGAACCCCCCCCCCCTCCGTTATTTACCGCATTTCATTGTTCATTGCTCTCTCAAAGCCTCAGCTCTTTATTGCTCATTCTCTTCCCTTCACTCCTTCCCATCCCTCCTCTACCCTTCGTGATCCCTATCGCTGTCACTCCTTCCTCAATCCTTGTATGCCCCCTGTCTTCTAAATCACGTTCTGTCCCCGTTGTGTAAAGCTGTCAAGCGCGTTGAGTGAAGCAGCTCTAAAAATATTCATTTTATTGGGTTATTCTTGACCATCTGATAACATTACCACTGGAGATGTGTCCTCCTGCAAGCCCCACTCACAGTTTGAATGATATAAGTATGTTCTCTCATCATGTGGTTCCTCTTTCTGTTTCACTGTAATACCATGCTTCTCTGCACACTTTAGTTTTAGTTCAATGTCTATGTCGTGACCTTTCTGAACCACGTGTCATAGCCGGCAGTACACAGCGTTAAAATATACTTGGGTTTTATATTTAGCGATGTTTATTAAAATAACTTTAAGACAATGGACATGCTTTAGTATTCACTCATACGGCCCAGGGTGTGTAAGGAAGTTTAGAATGTTACTAAATTTAGAAAGGGTGTGTTTGATATCTGTGAATGTAAAGCACAATACTCATGCATGTTTGTGTTATCTAAGCTAAACTATTTTAAACTATTTTTTATTTTACCACGTATGTCCCACTGAGCTCTATATCTCCTATTCTAAATCGACCTGGCCACAAATCATAGCTCAACGAAGTGTGTTATCATGTGGGAATTGACAGCAGCCTTTATACTCTAAACGCATGATTCTAAATGTGGAGGGAAAAACCGGAGAAAAATCCACGCGACCACAGGGAGAACATGCAAACTCTAAATATATCGGCGTCAAGGTTGGGTTTAAACCCATGACCTATATACCAGGCGAGGTAGTGAACATCTCGTCGCCGTGAAACTTCGCGGTGATCTCGATCTAATTCATCACGGTGGTCAGATGATGGTAGATAATTCCTGCTGATGTCACCCGGCTATTGTGGTCTCATGTGAAGATCCGCTCATCTTTGTCATAACATTTGTCTGAGACTCAAACCATAAACACATGACACGGACAAGATGTTGCAGGTGTACATATTAACACGATGCAATTTGGTTGTAATACTTTAACACCTATTTTAGGAATGTTAAACACCATAAACATACCATTAATTCGAAACCATTGAGGCATTCACAACGTTTCATTACGCTGTTATTCATTTCACATCCTGAAGCCAAGAATAGTTTCTCAGTAGCTTATATAATTACATGCCATGCCAAGCCTTATTCCCTCTGCATTAGCCCACAGTAAACTTGAGTTTAACATTAACGTCTTTATTAACGATTTTTCAGAACTGGTTAACATTAACCACAGAGTGAAAAACAGCATTCGGTCTCATTGGACTTTCGCCTGGTGAAAGGACCGATTCAGCAAATGGTCCTGGTTGTGTGATGATGTCCACAGTTTTATCGCCTGGCCCAGGAGCTTTCCCTTTGTCACAATGTGAAGGTGGAAGAGTTTACTTCTTCGAGAGTGACATCTGGAGCTTGGTCATCTGCATCTGAGAATTGGTTTGATTTCTGGGATGTATGGATGTTTTACTGCCATTGAGATTTATCTGAATAAGTTGTCCACTAATTAAAATAATATATCTGCCAGTTGCATATTTCTTCCTAAGTCTTAGCATTTGTGAGTTGCCCATCATCAACCTTTTTACTGATTTGACGCTCCAATTATTTGCTGTGGCATCTTAAGTCATCTTTGCGTTGTAGTCGGATTCATTTTCTCATGTTTTTCCTAATTGTCTTTTTTGAGATGTGTTCAATATTTTGTTTGGCATCTCTATTAATGTGTGTAGCTCTTTTCCTAAACAAATTTTTTTAAATGGATTTAGAGATTGCTATCTGCTTTCTAAATCTTTACCCCACTCTTAATATACTATATTATCCATAATATATATTATGCTAGTTGATGAATTATTTAATCTATGTATTATGTTATTCTCCTCGAGGAATTATAATATTTTGTTCTGGATTCGTCTAAAACTTTACTGATGTTCATCATCTTGGTTTTCCCTGAAATTATCTTTGACATCTCTGGCAATGTTCAGTTCAACTTTATTTGTTTCGCCAGGAGACAAGGATTGAGTCTCATTTGCAAGCGAGACCTGGGTCACCAAAATGACAAAATAAAATAAAGCATAGCAATGAAGCAAATAGAAATAAGAGTAAAAAGAAGTCACGTGAGAAATAGAAAATATTCATGTAAAACAATGTTAAATATTAAATTCCCTGTCGTGTAAGTTGTCTCGGACAGATTATTTGACTTAGTACGTTGACAAACAAGTTACACAAACATTAAAGAGATTTTGCGTGACCTACAGCATGTGCAAACATACACGGATATATGTAAAATGCAATTGTAAGTGAAGTTATCTTAAATAATCAATAGTTTTGAGTCATGTTGGGATGGCGATGGGAAAGTAACCGAGGACATTTTTCAAGGGATGGAATTGCAGGTGTTTGGGACATTAACGAAGAACAAGTGAGAATCATGGGAATTTTTTTTCCTCCCAATTTTGAAATGTAATGTGTATCTCACCAGTCTGTGATCACATCGTGTGTGAAATGTAAGGACACAAACGTCTCTGAAAATAAGGGTTTACCCATCGGATTCAAGTCATTCTCATTTCTAATGTCACCGTTAGGGCTTCTCCGTGTCAACTCCCTAGAATCCTTTTTGAAAAAGGAATTCATCATTTCATGTTGCTGCTGCACGCCCTAAAAGATCCTCACATCCTCATTGCTCACTCCGTTGCCAGACTTACCAGTCACCCCGTTTCTGCACATTTTACTTTAGATTAACATCACCTTTTGGTGTTCGAATGTATTTTATCCTAATATAGTAGTTGGGTAATTGCTTCATACACTTTATCTGCTTCGTCATCACGGCTTGTTGCTGGAGCACCTTTTGAATATTTTGTTGAACGTTGTTGAACTTCTTTCGTACCGTGATAATCAGAGGTGCGGGGGAAGGACATCAAATAACACAAAAAGCAGTTCGAAAGAAAATCTTTTCAATTTAGATTTTTAAAAACGCAGTGGTATAGTAATCTCTACAACCCACTTTTCTTCTCAATGGGCTTTCACATGATATACAGGCTGCTTCAATTGATTTTAACACTTCGGAGAATTTGCAACAACCCCACAAGAAATGTGCCACCGAGCTCTGGAGACCACCTGGAGAAGATTCCGGGCACGCGTTGACAATGATGGTGAACAAGTGCAGACTCTTTGAAGCTATTAACATCCATTTGTTATCATGTTACAATGTATTATCCGTTATTTTTCCTTTAAAAATGATAGTCCCATGTAAGTGGTTCAATCTTGCCCGAAGACGACCGCTTGTGTTGCGATCTAAACGTCGTGATTTGTTTTATTTTATTTCTAACTACGTGACTTTACCGAAAGAACCAAAGAGTATGTCCCATGTAAGTGTTAAAAAAAAATTTGAAACACCCTCTATGAAGCACAAGTTATATTGGCGTGGAGTGGTGACGTAGACGTTAGTGCACTGCACTGTGAACCCAACGATCTGAGTTTGATTCCTGGCCATGGCCAACACATGGCAAGTGGTATAAGCCTCCCTACTAACTGACAGTGACCAACAATGTGACGTATAGTCAACAAACCCCCATGATAGACACATACATCATACATCAATGGCGTCAATCTTAAATGAGACATTTTCACAGGAAGCCCTAATTTCTCTTTAATAAAGCACTCGCCATGAACATTTATATAAGTGATATTGTAATTAGTATTAAAGAACTGTCATCTCAAGTGTGCTTCAATCCACCTTATTTTTAATGACCGATTACTGAAATCTATTAGGCATACTGTTTCTCAACGTGCTCTGTCATCGTTCAGAACAGATTGTTATTATTGGAACATGTTCATAGTGAGCTCTCGTCTGACGTTAATAAAGGGCCGCCTATTATCAGTACTCCACTTGTGGTATTGCAATTACTATTCACCACATGGTTTCAATGTCAGCTGTCTTAAAAGAGAACTTTTTCAGTGATCTTTCACCAGTATTTAATAAAGGACTCAGTGTTGTCATTAATGGTATTGGAATGACTGAGCAGTGGTGACAGCAGCAGCAGCCCCTGAGTTTTAATCCAGGTCACGGCTAACATCTGTATCTTAACCAATCCTGGGCCTCCCTTCGCTTCCCCACACTAACCAACGTGGTGAAGTACGGTCAAACCAAACCCATGACCAACATGATGTGGAGAGGCCTTTGTGCAGGAGTGGATTGACAAAATATTGTAAACCATTCATAACAATTATCAGAATCAATCAGAATATTTATTTGCACTGGAGAAATCCGATTTACTCCAAAGCTCTTTTTCACAGATGTCCAGTCGGGGTGGGTCAGAACGTTACAACAACAATACTAAAAACATGATAGGAGTCCAAACTACAGGAAAGGTAAACAAATCACTGAAAATATAGAAACATTTTTTTTTACACGTAAAGCCCACTTAAGTATTAACTTATTTTACGGAAGCGTCCTGGCCACAAATGATAGCTCAACAAAGTGGCTTATCAATTTGGAAATGTATAGGAGCAAAATAACCTAAATGATCTCAATGCAAATAATTGAAATAATTATGAGTTACGATAATAAACACGTCTTCTCAATGGGCTCTCACCTGGTCATACGTGGACATTCGCTTGGCTTGTTGTCAAACCCACTGCTGGATGAAGGCCTCACACAGGTGCAGGTCATGGGGGTCATTTGACCATACAGGCAAAGTGGGAGCAGACAGGTAAAGTAAATAACTATTGCTGCACTTACTTTATGTGGCTCACAATGGAGCCCCAAAGCAAACTATAACACAACCTATGTTATATACTGTAAATGTAAAAACGATGGTTGCCAAGCATCTCAGAGTGGCTGGGAGTCTCTACAGGAATTGGCATGGGTCTCCCAGTGACTATTAAAAGCAATCCAGAAGATTGTAATTGGATAGTTTAAGAACATTTGTGCATTAAACAATATATATCCCTTTCGATTTAAAGCTTTCGTGACTGCAGGGATTCATCTTCTTGGTTCTTTCGGTAAAGTCACGTAGAAGGGAAATAATAAAAATAAAGCATAATAAAAATAATTCTCACGACGTTTCGGCCACAACGCAAGCAGCCGTCCTCAGGTGAAGAACAGGTCTGTCAGACACTGTCTTTCCGACAGACCTGTTCTTCACCTGAGGACGGCTGCTTGCGTTGTGGCCGAAACGTCGTGAGAATTTTTTTATTGTTTTATTTTATTATCTCCCTTCTACCTGACTTTACCGAAAGAACCAAGAAGATGAATATATATCCCGTACTAGCTTCAGTCAGAGTTGGCAACCTGAGTAAAAACTGTTCGTGATTTAATTCGTAATCATACTCTATGGTATATAACGTTCTGTCCCAACTCTCATCCCCACTACGTCTCTATCCTCTGCATGTACCGGGAAGAAGGGCCATTTCCCTAAATGTTGCTTATTACATACTTTTGAAGGCCCCTGTGTTATTGACGAACGTGTTGAGATATTGTTTTGTTGTGTATGTATCCAAGCTCAGCAGAATTGGCTCAATACAAGCAACGTCTTGACTGCTTTCGTCACGTATGTCAAAAATGGTCCAGGGTTTGATTGCATTGAACGAGCCGTGCTGATATTTCTCCACTCCCAGAAGGCCTTTGTGGTTGATGGGAAGTGTTAAACATACTTGTATTCTTCAAAACGATGCTTATGATTATATTGTGTTTTATATGCAGATCATGTGGTCGTCAATCCAAGCCACTATCCGAAGCTCAACCTTGCTTAGCTTCCAAGATCGAACGAAATGAGGCGCATTCCTTGTGAATTGATCGCAGGCGGTCATGCGTAAAGGTCGACATTTTTCATCGAGCTCTTGTATTTAATACATTTAAAATCATGAATGTTGGCGGTATGAGACCTGTCGCCTCGTCAAAGTAAGTGCCATCTCTTTTATAATGAGATATTTCTCAGTGAGCTCTCGCCTGGACTTAATGAACGACTAAAAATAACTGCCCACATTCGACAATAGAGTGCTTGGTTTTTTAGGCAGTGTTATAGACGAATTTGTTGTTTTGTGCTGTTGTTGTTGTTATTTGTGCTTGTTCACCACAGCTGCCAACGCAGCAGCAATCACCGAACATGAAAAAAGACTAATGATTATTGCCACTAATTGTGTTGCAAATTACAATAAGCGACCTGTCATCCTAATGGGCCCTCACCTGGCTTGTAAAATACAACGCAAGGCGCGTGTGTGTGTTGTGTGTTGCGTGTTGTGTTGTGTGTAGTGTTGTGTGTTGCGTTGCGTGTTGTGTGTTGTGTTGCGTGTTGTGTGTTGTTGTGTGTTGTGTTGTTGTGTGTTGTGTTGTTGCGTGTTGTGTGTTGTTGTGTGTTGTGTTGCGTGTTGTGTGTTGTGTTGTTGTGTGTTGTGTTGTTGTGTTGTGTGTTGTTGTTGTGTGTTGTGTGTTGTGTTGTGTGTTGTTGTTGTGTGGTGTTGTTGTGTGTTGTGTTGCGTGTTGTGTTGCGTGTTGTGTTGCGTGTTGTGTTGTTGTGTTGCGTGTTGTGTGTTGTTGTGTGTTGTGTGTTGTGTTGTTGTGTTGTGTGTAGTGTTGTGTGTTGCGTTGCGTGTTGTGTGTTGTGTTGCGTGTTGTTGTGTGTTGTGTTGTTGTGTGTTGTGTGTTGTGTTGTTGTGTTGTGTGTTGTGTGTCGTGTGTTGTGTGTTGTGTTATGTTGTTATGTTGTTGTGTGTTGTGTACTCTGTGGGCCACCCACGCCCTCGTGAGCCGTTCCAGGCTTCATCGGTGCTCGCTGACAGCACTTGCCCCAATAGTCTATTAAGGCTACACGGGGGATCTTTGTCTTTCGTGGGTTGGGGGGTGTGGGGGGAGGGGAGTTGGGGGGTGAGGGGTGGGGAGGGGGGTGGCGAGGGAGTGGGGGGTTTGGGGATGTGGGGGTAGGGTGGGGGGTGCTGTGGTGGGGGGTGGTGGTGGGGGGATGGGTGGTGGTGGGGGGAGGGGGTGTGGGTGGTGGGGGGAGGGGTGGTGGGGGGTGTAGGTGGGGGGAGGGGGGTGTGGGAGGTGTAGGTGGGGGGAGGGGTGGTGGGGTGGTGGGGTGTGGGTGGAGAGTGGAGGGGGTGGTGGAGGGTGGTGGTGGGGTGTGGGTGGAGAGTGGAGGGGGTGGTGGGGGGGGGTGGTGGGGTGTGGGTGGGGATCTTTGCTCTGCGCGCGTCACCGCGCCCCCAGGCGGCACCTGTCAAGGCTGCCCCCCCCCCTCTACCTGTCGCACGCAGCTCGTGTCTCTTTAAACAGCAGCGGCAGCAGCAGCAACAACACCCACTTAATAACACAATTTAACTCTTAAATAGTCTTACACGAGAGAGAAAACGACGCAACGAGGACCACCAACACCACCATCATCATCGTCATCAGGTGGAAGTGGAGCGCTGACCGACCGAGTGGATTGAAGGTAACTTCACCCCGAGCAGCGCCCGCACTCGGGTTCCCGTACAAGCGGCTCGCTGTCATCCCCCTGCCCGCACACTCACCCACTTGTTAGCGTCTCACGGCGTGTTGTGTGTCGCGTGGTTGTCGTGGTTGTTGGTGGTGGTGGTGGTGGTTGGAGTCGTGAGTGAGACGGTGTTTTTTTCTTTCTAGTCGAGGAGTCGGACAGACGGGGGACTGACTGCGTGGGACGATGTCTGCGAGCTCGCCACTGCTGCTGTTGTTGCTGTTGCTGCTGTTCGTGTGCGTGGGGCAGCGTGGGGCAGCCCGGGCAGGTGAGAGAGCTTCCACGAGGGTTGGGACTCCCAACTCGCACGCACAGCTACCACCAACATCACCAACATCACCATCACCACCACTACCATCACCACTACCATCACCACCAACATCACCAACACCATCACTACCATCATCACCACTACCACCATCACTACCAACATCATCACCATCACTACCATCACCACCAACATCACCAACACCATCACTACCACCAACATCACCACCACCATCACTACCATCATCACCATCACCACCAACATCACTACCACCACCATCACCACCACTACCACCAACATCACCACCACTACCACTAACATCACCATCACCACCACTACCATCACCACTGACATCACCACCACCACTACCATCACCATCACTACCATCAACATCACCACTACCATCATCATCACCACTACCATCATCATCATCACTACCATCATCATCACCACTACCATCATCACCACTACCATCATCATCACTACCACCACCATCACCACCACTACCATCATCACCACCACTACCACCATCATCACCACCACCATCACCACTACCATCACCACCACCACTACCATCATCATCACTACCACCACCATCACCACCACTACCACCATCACCACCACTACCACCATCATCACCACTACCATCACCACTACCATCACCACCACCACTACCATCACCACTACCATCACCACTACCATCACCACTACCATCACCACCACCACTACCATCACCACCACCATCACCACCACTACCACCATCACCACCACCACCATCACCACTACCATCACCACCACCACTACCATCAACCACCACCATCACCACCACTACCATCACCACCACCACTACCATCACCACCACCACTACCATCATCATCACTACCACCACCATCACCACCACTACCATCACCACCACCACTACCATCACCACCACCACTACCATCACCACTACCATCACCACCACTACCATCACCACCACTACCACCATCACCACTACCATCACCACCACCACCACTACCACCATCATCACCACCACCATCACCACTACCATCACCACCACCACTACCATCATCATCACTACCACCACCATCACCACCACTACCACCATCACCACCACTACCACTATCATCACCACCACCATCACCACTACCATCACCACCACCACTACCATCACCACTACCATCACCACCACTACCATCACCACCACTACCACCATCACCACTACCATCACCACCACCATCACCACCACTACCACCATCACCACCACCACCATCACCACTACCATCACCACCACCACTACCATCATCATCACTACCACCACCATCACCACCACTACCATCACCACTACCATCACCACCACCACTACCATCACCACAACCATCACCACCATCACTACCATCACCACCACTACCACCATCACCACTACCATCACCACCACCATCACCACCACTACCACCATCATCACCACCACCATCACCACTACCATCACCACCACCACCATCACCACTACCATCACCACCACTACCATCACCACCACTACCACCATCACCACTACCATCACCACCACTACCACCACTACCATTACCACCACTACCATCACCACCATCACCACCACTACCATCACCACCACCATCATCACCAAGATCATCACCACCATCAGCACTGCTGATACAAACACTACAGCCGTACTCGCATTACAGTGATACTACAGTGATACTATATACAGCCATACTCACTACAGTGATACTACAGTGATACTACAGTGATACTATATACAGCCATACTCAATACAGTGATACTACAGTGATACTATATACAGCTATACTCACTACAGTGATACTATATACAGCTACACTCACTACAGTGATACTACAGTGATACTACAGTGATACTATATACAGCCATACTCACTACAGTGATACTACAGTGATACTATATACAGCCATACTCACTACAGTGATACTACAGTGATACTATATACAGCCATACTCACTACAGTGATACTACAGTGATACTACAGTGATACTATATACAGCCATACTCACTACAGTGATACTACAGTGATACTATATACAGCTACACTCACTACAGTGATACTACAGTGATACTATATACAGCCATACTCACTACAGTGATACTACAGTGATACTATATACAGCCATACTCACTACAGTGATACTACAGTGATACTATATACAGCCATACCCACTACAGTGATACTACAGTGATACTATATACAGCCATACTCACTACAGTGATACTACAGTGATACTATATACAGCCATACTCATTACAGTGACTATTGACTTTGTTAAGCAACTCACACTCAACTGAATTACACTTTTATATACCAGCCACCCCCCCACCCTCACCTCCCACTCAAACTTGTCAACTCCGAGCTCTTATTCGGCCCTAACTTAACACATGGCGAGGCCGCTGATCTACCCACGTGCTCAAGAAGCTACCCGGTCCCCATTCCCAGAGTTATTGTTGAACTTCTTAAAGTCAAACAATGTTCGTGTAAAGTCTGGTGGCAGGCAAGGTGGTGAGAGCTTTAGTTGAGTTAATGAGTCGTGAAATAATGATGTGGCAATTATTGCGTTGACTGTGGTGCACAGGTAATAATACAAACTCAACACATTTGCCAATAACGCTGCCTTAAATGAAAATGTGTAATACGGTGTACCTACTATAATCACCCAGGAATGTATGTCATTAACGCTCGTGACGTCACTTCACAACGACCAGCCCCCCTCATTAATATTCATGAGCAGGTGACGTCCTCCAAATGGACCCCCCCCTCCATTCATAATAACTAGCGGGTGACGTCACTACACATGGGGGGGGGGGGGCGAGGCGCCTCCTCCCCCCTCCTCGGCGTCCACTCACAACCCTCACTACAAAGGCAGAACCCTCACGTCACGCTGATCTCCGTCACGCTGTTGAGACATCGAAGTAAAAAGGACGTCATGATGAACAAGGGATTATAACCTTTAAATGAAATAGGTCTGAGTCACCGCGCCCTTACAAATTGCACATTAATGCAATGAATATCACGTCCCGGTCTGCTTTTTGCTTGCAAGTTTCAGATTTGCTGAAAAAGGCTAGTATGAATATGCTATGAATAAGGACCATTGCCCGAAACGTCGCCTGACATATATTATTTTAAAGGCAGTGTTGTATACATAAAAGCACATCTTATTTCTTACCATTCTGTCTAGTGGCTCACGTTTGTTGAAAGATGGTTTCACGCTGTGTCGCAACCCCTATTTAAACAAGGTCATGATACAGGACTGTCTCAACACACACAGACACTCTACTGAACTCGTGTGAACTTAAACTCAACGCTCATTCGCCTCGTTTATCATCTCCGCCTCGACTCAACCCCAAATCACACACTCGCTGCTCAACACCCAGCTCGTGCCGAAATCTTCATCGACTCGTTCACTTCAACTGAACTCTTCACGAAACTAAACCTCGCGTACTCCTGATCCTTATTATCAACGGGAATTTCATCCATCATCACCCACGAAAATCCCATCTTTGTCGTTTTCATCATAAACTGTACACTAAACAGTTTTTTTTTTATTTTACTCGGTAATGCCCACTGAGCTATACAGCCCTTTTTCAGAAGCGACCTGGCCACAAATCATAGCTTATCATGTGAAATTTATAGCAGCCAAATACTCTAAACGCATAATTCTAAATGTGGAGGGAGCAACCAGAGGACACGCAGACAAATCCATGCGACCACGTGGAGAGAGAAATGCAAACTCCACATTTCCAGGCGTCAGGGTCGGAATTGAACCCATGACCTCCTGTATACAAGGCGAGGTCGTTAACACCTGACCTTGAATGAAAGAGGGGTAGGAGACCTCAAGTAAGGCCAGGTTGTCATCTGGCCTTAAACCATCATCAATATGCCTTCACGATGATATAATTGCCATCATCAGTAGTATCAGAAATATGACTTGCCTTCATTATCATTATCGCCATATTAACTATCTGCATAAAATTGGTCATCATCATAGTCATTACATCGTAGCAGCAGCATCAACACAACTTGCGTCAGTTCTCATCTATAACATACCACCATCTTCATGACTACATCTCAATTATTATCAGCAACATCAAACTAGGACCTCCATTATCACATTCTAAATAAGTGTACAATTTTCGATACAATAAATGTACTTTTTAAAAATAAAATCGATAGCCATATAAAACACAGTACAGTAAAATTAAGTTATTTTAAATGCCTGTGTTGAATGAAACTATGAGCCGGCAATTATTTCTGTCTCCTACCCCTCTTTTGCATCTGCTTTAAATGTTTAAGAAGTTAAGAGGACATGCTTACAATGGGACTTGGCTAATGAAAGGGAATTGAGAATATTTGTTAACCTGTAGGGGACTGTTTGGAAGCATAACATGTTTAAAGCCCTGGGGTCTTGAACCTAGTTTGGAATGTTCTTGTCTTAGCAGACTGATTAGATAATTCAGTACCAGCTCTCCGTTGGGATCAAAGCATTTCGAATGGTAGAGCCTCATACGCGCACACGCACAGCGCATAGATCACGAGTTTTCTCGCTCGCTGCCTGTGTGCCGAGATTGGCTGAAAAGCAGTGGAGAGAGAGGGCACTTTTCACCATCTATCTCCAGCTGTCTGCAGCCACTTGTGTTTGAGGTTGCTCATTAAAATGGTCAAAACTTCTGAGCCTTTGTGAAATTAGTGGCAGGCTCCATGAAACACTGGATGTATCTGGGCAAATTAAAAAACCCACTTCTGTCGAATTTTATGAGCAAAAATAGCGACGCAGGCCATACGCTTGCGAAACATCGGAGTGACTGCCTTTCTGTAATTAAAAGTTGCTTGAACGTTATTGAACGTTTCTTTGTTAAAGTTCAGCAATGGAAAGAAAAGTGATGGCTAATAGTAAATGATAATGGAGTGGCGGACAAGGCATGAAACGTGCTTAAAAACACGTCCGTTCAGGAGATGGAGTAATGAAATCGGCTTGTGCACAGGTCAACGGTAGAAAATGACATCGCAGAATTGTGATCGATGGCGTCGACTTGCGCAGGCCTTCGTCCAGCACTGGATTGAACTTGGCTGATGATCAATAAAAGTATAATAAATTGTACTCTTTGGTTTTTTCGGTAAAGTCACGTAGGTAAAAAAAGGAAAATTAATTAAATCACGACGTTTAGGAGGCAACGCAAGCTTCCATTTGTACCTGGGTGTACCTGAAGACAGAAGCTTGTCACGAAAACTTCAAATCTAGAATACAGTAAATTGCTTCATCATGTGTTTTGTGCACCTGGTCACATGCTATAAGGTTTCACGACTGATGCCATGTTGCAAAGTCTGGTTTAGCAAGATTACCCCCAATCAATGTAAGCTCTTTGTCTGCACTGTACTTTCATTATATTGTTATCAGATTGAAGGTGTAAGATGAAGGCTGGTTTGACCCTGACTTGGCCAACACTAAGCACTGCCGTATGCACAAGGCCTCAGAAAATGTGGCATTTGTGTTGCACATAATGTGAATGTACTCTCACACTACTCTAAATTGTATTAGCTTATATATGAAAGGGGTAGCACATTACACGGTGTTGATGCATATGTAAGTCATGTTGCCTTTTAAGCCACGTTTACATTAAACCATGGCTCTTGTTTAAATAAATCTCCGAGCTTGATGCATTAAACATAATATTATGGTGATACTTCGTTGGCAGTCGTTCACAAGCACAAATAACACAATAAACTTCAGCACTGTTTAAAAAAAGAAACGTAGAAAAAGGCATATTATAGAAATAAAAAAGTATATACTTGGCATATCATATACTTTTCTTTTTCAAGGCAGTTACTGACGATCGTGTTGAGATTTAAAGCTAGAAGAAAGATCACCGCGTGAAAAAAGCAATACTCAAGTTGGTGGAGTCCACTGAGGTTTTTGGACTTGAAGGGCACAGGCAATGATGTTGGTGTATTATTTTGATAGATGGAGTCCTGGAATCTGCTCGTGTGCAGGTGCTAGATGGATAGCTGCACTGCAAGGCTGTGATATGGCAAAGGCTTGAGGAGGCCTTCAGCCAGTAATGCCGTGGTCATCACATTATGGATGATTGGTATATTTCTTCAACATTTAATCTGGAGGAGTTGAGTTACGTTTCTAAACTGGGTCTGTTCAACGTAGATTTAACGAGACGAGGATCGCTTGTCATTAATGTTTATTTGTGTTTTAGTAATTACAAGCGGATCAGCATTACTAATCTGCAAGTGCCTTTCAATGCTGCGAAGCAGAGGTCGCAACCGGGTACCCGATACCCGTACCCTACCCGATACCCGGCTACCCGTACCCGGCCGGGTACGGGTACGGGTAGCCGTTTGCGACCCTGGTGCGGCCGGGTACGGGTAGGCCGTGAGCCACTGGTGAGTAACCGTTTGTCACTCATTTCCGGTAGGGTACGGGTAGGGAACGGGTACCCGTACCCGGCCGGGTACGGGTACCCATTTGCGACCCTGGTGCGGCCGGGTATGTGTACGGGTAAGGAATCAAAACCCGTTTGCGACCTCTGCTTCGCAGCATTGAAGATCCCGAACAAAATTAGCACATAAAGTTATTTGTCAGAACTGCGAATCTTAAGTACATTTAAAAAAAATCATTAATTGGCTTTTCGTCATTTAAGTCATTGTGGGATTATTGAGTTGATAATAGCATTAACATGCATTAAGAGTGGGTTTCAGGAAATGACCTTATGAAGGGTGGATTTTAAAAATGTGTTTTTTTTTTATCAAGCAAACCCTTTAATTAATGATCTATGAAAATAAGTATTTTATGGGATTAATTCCACTGTATTTTATCAGATTATTGCCCTGTTAAATTAATCAAAAACATTTGCTTCATGATCTATAAGGTCCCAAGTGGACATATTGGAACTGTCATCTAATTTTCAGTGTGCTTTCTCACAAGCACAGAAAAAAACCCCGTCTTTGATCATTTACCTGAATGTTCTTGAAAGTTGCCCAGAACAGCTCTTCATTGTGATTCATAATAGTTCTTTTAGAGTAGAATATTAACGAGCAACGGCATGTCATGAATGTGGTAATGGATAACTGATATAAAAAGGTAAACCATAGAAGTATGCGACTTTAGAGAAACAAGTAAAAATGACGTTTGTATAGACATGTATTTTTTTTGTTATAAACATTTAATTATTTCGTAAAAAATAAATATATATAAGAGTTTAGTAACATTTGTATAGACATACTGACTTTGTCAGTAAAAAAAGTTAACACATTCATCAATAACACTGTTTTGGGAGAAAATATATAAATAGGCGACGTTTTGGACAATGACCTTCATAGCACATGGTTTATGTGCTTGCCCAAAATGTTGCCAATTTGAGATTTATTTTTCATTTATTGATTGTGTTGAGTTTGTTAATTCTGCTTGTGCACCACTGCCAAGGCACCATCAACAGATACGATGTTTATACCTGGACCATACAATATTTGCGAGTGTTCTTAGAGTTGACTTTTTCATTTGAACCGTAAATGATGTTTTGACACTCACATACCCATGTTAAGGCATTGTCAGGGTTGAAAGAAACGAACAACATTGTGGCAGATGTGCATGATAGAAGATGGAATGTTCAAGGATGCATCTAATGGTGCTGCCAAAACAAATTCGCAGTTGATCCATAAACATAAATAGTTACACATACCAAAGGTGAAACCCCAAAGAACGTTTCTAATATGCCTGCACTATCCCTGAAGCTTTAAACTTCACAATGCCAGCACAAGATAGACCAGTCAGAAGGTAAATAAATACAATGAATACAGTAATCTTATACCACAGGTTGACTCATTTTGTAAATCTTTTACTGAGTTTAAAGTGAACTTTGGGTCTGTGTTCTCTTTGAAATATCGAACTTTTACAAAAGCTAGTGTGTGCTTCTGAGCTTTTGGCGGTGGCGGTGTAGTTCAAAATCTGAATCTTTATTTTGACTGGAGGAATCCGATGAGCTGTGAAGTTCTTTTTTTACAATTTACAGAGAGGGCCCTGGCAATCGTGACTCCCTGCTCTCACCATGGAGTGTTCAGTTGGCACAGTTTACAATTTGCCGACCTGTTAAAAATCAATTTTTTCCACTGTTGATTTTCCTGTATGTTGGTCCATATTTGTACACGGTAAACGATTCGCCAACGGATGTGAATTTTTTTTCAAGGTTTGAGACAATTAACCCATACAACATTACTCCCAATGAACACGTTTTAATATCCCATGCGTATGTTGAATTTATTTAGGTTTTGCTGGAGCATTTAATGGTTTCTTGGTTCGCGACCAATATCCATAATAGAGATTTTTTGGGTTAGATCGCGTAAATATGTGTCGTTAACACCCGCCACCACCCGACACAGCCAACTAGTAAGGGTTGTCACGTAAATAGAACATGCCAATTCGTCACTAGTACAGCACACCGGTATGTTGGAGAGCAAAGCCACAACATTTACACTCTGAGTACGACGTTTCGCCAGTAATTACAACTAGCTTCTTCAGGCAACAGCCAGATTTGTGGAGAAGTCCACCTGTTTCTTTCCTCATATAGAGGCGCAGATGTGGTGACCAAACTTCTGCGCTTTTGCGCAAAGTGTGGGGGGGGGGGGGATTTGACAAGGTACATAAAATACAGAAATTAATATCTGGTCCAAAATATGTATTACTGAAGCTATTAACAGAAGGTGTGCACAGGATTAACTGCACGTGTGGCAAATGTTATGTTGGGCAAATAGAACGAATGATCAGCACGAGACTAAAAAGGACATCAGATAAATATTCAATACTCTCAAATACATCTGTCATCAGTAGCAGAACACCCGTGCCAACAATGAAAATCAATTGATTTTCATAATGTTGAAATTCTGTGCAAAACTAGCTACTGCTGACCAAGACTAATTAGAGAATCTATCGAAATTGAAAGATTTGCTTCGACGCCTTAGTGAAGCGAATCATCAAATAATACATTGTTTAAATGCATGCCTATACAGGGCACCATACTTCAATAGGGATTACCGTTGGTAATGCTATTTTAATACACACAATAGACAGGAAGGACAACATCAAAGGGCTCGCATAATGCGCACGCATAATGTACATTAACTCATTAATCCCCCCCCCCCCCCACTTTGTGCAAGAGCGCAGAATTGTGGTCACCACATCTACGCTTCTATACAAGGAACGAAACAGGTGGACTTCTCCACAAATCTGGCTGTCGCCTGATGAAGCTAGATGTAATTACTGGCGAAACGTCGAACTCAAGAGTGTAAATGTTGTGGCTTATCTTTCCAACACACCGGTGTGCTGTACTAGTGACGAATTGGCCACGTTCTGTTTACGTGACAACCCTCACTAGTTGGCTGTGTCGGGTGGTGGTGGGTTTTCACGACACATTTATATATTTACGCGCTCTAACCCAAAAAACCTCTATTATGGATATTTTTTGCACATTACTCACCCGGGTTGGGAGACTGAAACAGTATGATATGTAAGTGTGATTCAACAGTGCACATATTTCTCAGAACTGGCACGTGCTGTGTTGTCTCTCCCACAATGGTCTCTTGGCCGTCTCTGCAGGCTCTGCTTCCTGCCTGGCCGATGATGAGCCTACGAGCAATGAAGACCTGTTGGCCGGGCAGGAGAACGTGACACTGAACTGCCCCATTAACGGCAACTGCTCCAGCCCCCAGTGCCCGGTGGTCTGGCTCAAGGACTGCCAGACACTCAACCTGTCCGTGGAGGGGCACGTGCACGCCATCGACGTGGGCCTGCACTTTGTGAGCGTTGCTCTGGCCGACTCGGGGAACTACACATGCCGCGGCAGCGGAAACCTGGTCAACTCGAGTCACACCATCATCCTCGCCGTGAAGGGTGCGTTACTCCTTTTTTAAATTCTTTATATTAAGTTCACTTGCTTGCTTGCGCACTTACGACCGTGCAAATCTTTCGGTCGTTTTTTAACCCACTTCCCGTGATCCAATCGAGCTGACATTTTGCACACAGACTCGTTGTGCGTGACAATTTATTTTCGTGAAAAAAAAATTCCAAAATTTTACACTTTTTAGGAAAAAAAAATTTAATTACCAATTGCTTAATGGTGGCAGGCAATCATCTGACCCATAGGTGGCAGCCATCTCAAGCTAGAGGACGAGAGGACTCTAGCCGCCCGTTTCAAAGACCAATGTGGGCTGGATTGTGGCCCATTGAACACGTACTGTAATTTAAAGGATTTATAGTGAAAAACTTTGTTTTTACGGGTAAATTTTTTATTTTGTACGTCAGGGGGTGGGGGGTGGGAGAGGTTGATCGGCAACATTTATATGTTCATGTCGAGATATTCGACCCGGCTACTCCTGAGGCCTTCCACTGGCTTGCCAACCTCGCCATGGAAGGTTGGTTTACTCACCAGGACTCTTAAAGAAAAATGTGATTGCGTTTTTATGTTGTTTCTGGTTTCATTTTCTACAAGTGTAGCACTTTGCCTCGACATAGCCATTGGCTTGGTGTTTAATAGTCTCACCCCTCCAATCATTCTCTGAAAATATTGACTGCACAGTTGTGATAAATAGAAATTGGTACTGTGTGACCATGCATATCCGGAGTAAAATTGTAAGAGTGATGACTTTGAGTTGAACTTCCTTAGCTATTTATTGCTGTCTTCTCATTGGTCATCCTGTAGGAGTCACCTGATCTGTTGTGAAACCACATTGGGCCCACCCATCAGGCAACGGCACTTTTTTTGAACAGACCCTTAGCTGCTGGGTTTTATGTTTTATCGAGAAAAGATACAATTTGTTGAAAGACAAACATGGATATCTTTTATTTAACATTTTACTAACAACACAGTCCTCGTTGCACCATCAAGATAGACGATTTCTAATAATTGGCAGCTCATTTTGAATTGGCCATGCTCAAAGAATTTGGCCAATTGGGCTGACACTACATTTGGTTTTTCTTTGATTCACAAAAGTGCATAAAGAGTGTCATTGGTCACCTAAATTTAACACAAAAAGGGCTTCGTAACTAACCCTAAGATTTAATATTCCTTCTAAAGTAGAGTACACGCAACCCTTTGTGCTGTGTTATCTGTCCACCCGGCTTCAACCTGTCACGCTGTCAGGGGGCTATGCTGAACAAGTTCTGGTCAGGGCAAGGTCTTCGTGCAGCCAACTTTCACCGTTGGGGTATTCATGACAACCCATACCGCAGCTTTAGCTCTGTACAAACAATTTCGCACATTGTTGATGACTGTCCACTGACTACGAGAACTACATATGTCCACCGAGGAGGCTATCGCATGGCTCGGCACTACGCACTCGCTCAATTAATGAATCCTGCATGCCACCTTTGTCCATAGGGCAGTGCACGATTACCGTTTTGGTCAGTTTTTTTTATAATTTTGGAAGATAAAAATTCGAAACTTAAGAATGCATCAGAATAAAGGTGGTAATGAATTGATTTAAAGCACTATCAACCATTATTTAGCTATCTATCTTATTTATATATTTCAAATTGTTACATAACATATCATGGGCTATGTCAAGATATCCATGGTTTTATGGCAACAAAGCAACTTAATCTTGTGTTGCCTAATTTAACGTGTAAAATCAGTTACATCTTTATGGCCATGTAACTGCCAATTTAATTGTTAGCAATTCGATAAGACTATAGGAGAGACACCAACCACACTTAAATGTTAGGCAGTGAATACGCTTTATTATTCATGAATTCTGTGTGGTCTCATAGGCCGTGAAAAGCACCATGTGTGTATGTGTTTGGTGACTAACATTGCAGCCAACTTATTTTCTCTTTGCTATTGGTTTTTTATGATTACTTTCCACTTGTCACAGTACTAAATTAACTCAACGTTTAATTTCACAAGTCGAAGAAGTTTTCATTTAATACCACAACTGCTCGCTTTATTATGTTTACATAGTGACAGGCCTTATATGATAGACGTTTATGAAATTGGCTCATGGGCAGTGCTATCTAATGATATAAATTACCACCCACCCCTACAATTGTGTTCATTGTTAATGCTGAAGGTCACGGTTCAAGTCAATATCATATATTTTTAGTCCCGTTTGGATGGTCTTCTACTATTTGTAATATGTTGAGCAACTGTCCACTTAATTCATATAACATTTTAAATGATCATGAGCATAAATGGCTAATAATTCTCACACGCGCTATTACAAAGCGTCTTCCACGAGCATAAAGATTGATTTTAATGGGTGCATCGTTAAATTGCCTCGTGTTTTCCCTTCACTGGTTCTAACGTTTTTAAATGCGTTGTGTGTTTTTTTTGCACCGCCTGTTAAAGCCGTCGCCCTGGCAATGATGATGAAGTGAATGCTGTGGTGTTGCTTTGTGTTCAATTCCAATTCTCACGTCTCAAATCCATGCCCTGAATCAGCCAGCCACCCGTGATCTCTCCCGTCGTTCACGAGAACACACTTCTTCTCCCAACTAGCTCCAATCTCCACTATCGATCAGAGTTCTCGCCCTGTGACAAATGTAGAAATTGAAAAGAATGATGTGATGAATGTCCTACTGGGATGTACAAGTAAATACGGATACCAATTTGTGTGTGCGTCCAATGGTCCAGTATTCAGCACGGTTGCTGCTAGATTGAAAACTAATTTCTTTATGACTGCTTTTTGTGTTTACAATAGTTATATTGTCCTTCCCCTGCACCTCCGATTAGCATAATTGGCTACGTACGGTGCGAAAAAAATTCTAAGTACATACAAACAAGGCTTGACTTATCTATGTATATAACTCCCACCTATGCCTCATCATCAATGTATTTTTTTTCGGATGACTGATGTTCATTTTAGAGGAGCAACTATAAATTTTCATTGAGGCGGTTGAACCCGATTATTTCATCAGGAGTGCATCACTGTGATGCCTCCGTAATATTTGTGAATTGGGCATTGAGTCGTTTAGTTCTACGGTGATTTATGAAGAGGAAGGTCCTATTTGTAAAGTACCATAGCCAAAATTTGACATCAGTCAATGAGCTATATAGCATCTCTGAAACCAATATTTGAATATGAATAATAAGTATTCGTGTCTGTCATAATATGGGCTTCTATGGTGGGCAGAGGCCTTTCCCCATGTTCTTTCATTCCTTTCCTTAGTTTTGTGTCTCCATCCCTTCCGCTGTCTTCCTCTGTTTCTTTTGCCATTTCTCAGTATCCACTCTGTCGTTAATTTTTCCATCTCACTTGAAATTATTATTCCAGGCACATAAGAGCACGTCTGCGTTATTCACAGCCAATTCAAACACATCAACAATGAGAACAACCGGTATTGAACTTCATTGCAAATCAGAGAGCACATGGTATAGCTCACGAATTGTAGTATTGTCTTGAAATCACATGGTCCCACCTCCTTCAAGCAGTCATTCCAGAGGTTTACAGCACAGTGATGTTTGCGCTGTTTTGAATAAAAGTTTTTAATTAAATGATAGATTCATAAGAGTGTGCATGTGAGCTGGTTTAATAGGCACTGGCTAGCAAATGCCACGAGTTGCTTAATCTGCTAGATATATTTAAGAACACTTTTTTTTCATCAAAGGGAGTTGCCTTCAACATTAGTGCTTCTTTGCCTTGTAAATATGTTTAACATTTTGAAAATGAATCTTGGTCAAGAGCTAATGTATGCGCCACATTTGCTAAACAGGTGCATGTTGAATTAAAGGTCATTTTATATGCAGCTGAAGCAGACTTGTGAGCGCTTAGCACGCTTGCTCTGACTATTGCACTTCTAATCTACTTTTGCTTTCTTTGTGGGATCCCAGTATTCGAGGTGGAAGTAACAAAAGTAAGCATAACATCGGCCTACTTGGTGGGCATCTTGCTAAATAGTCCTGCCATGGGGTCAAAGTGAAAATTAGAACACACCAGGAAGGTGAAGGTTTCTGGAGAAGAAAAAAGTTGTGCATACATTTTGTCCTCGGAGGTACTGTATTAGCAGTGATAATGTTACGTTCCAAACTGCACGAGTTGATGTCACATGATGCATGGCCCCATCGGGAGGGGAATCGAGGCAATTGTATCATTGGTGACGTCATCTCGCGATGTCGTGTGCTATGTTATTTAATTCGCCTTTTAGCACTGGTTTTATCACCAAGCTTTGGCCAACCCTTTGGTCAAATTTCATAGCGTAACATAATTTAAAGAAGCGAACATTTATTAAAATATTGTGAATTGATTAATGTTTATGAGCGCTGTGTTGATCCTGTCACCACCCCCCCCCCCCCCGACTCATTACAAAGAGACATAGGGATAGAGCGAATACGTCAAAGCTTGATTTCATCGTCGGTTGGAATCGGTTCGAAAGCTAAACCTTGAATTGAAGGCAATTACCAATGGCCATAGAATTTGTGTTACTTCACTGCCTTGTGACAATGCACGTGTTCACTAAGCACTCAGCACTTGTGCAGTAAGAGAAAAAATAGGCGAATGGTAAAGGCGCCGCATCATCACGTAGATTTTTCTCTTAGCGATTTCACATTTGCTGGGCCTTTTACAGCAAGGCGTGCACTCTAAAAAACAGACTATTAAGCTGTTACATTTTATTATTCCCCCCATTTTGCATCGTATATGGGTTCCAGAGACGTCTGGATAATTGGAAAGCCATTCCAATAAATTACTCTTAACCGTTTTAGTTTTGAAAAGCAAATCCTCTAATATTCTGTCTGGGCCATCAAAACATGTTTGATTATTCTGCTGTGCAACCCACATTTGAAACAAAATGCGGTATTGTGAATTCAAGTTACTTGAATGTGCAATACTTTTTGAATGATTATCTTTAATAATATCCATGAGACTAGCATGAAACTTTGAATGGGCACTATTGCAAAATATGTTTAGAAAGTGTCTACTGAAACTACAGCATTATATTGATTTATTGAAGGTCAGCGTCTGTGTATCTTTTTTATTGCTTTAAGCGCTTTTATATTCTGAATAGATTTCTATTGTCTCTGTTTATGCAATTCCTTTTTCAATTAGTTTTTATGTTTGTTTGCTAAACACAGCAATAAATACTTCGGGGAAATGCATATGTCAGGTGGGATGTTGGTGGGAGGATAGAAAAGAACATGAAAATATATGAAATGTCAAGTTTAGCAACAAGCAAGCCTCTTCTGTCAGGTGTGTGGGAGCAGTACAATGCTATTGCATGTGAAGCAGGATTTATGTAACAGCATGAAACTGATAAGTTTCTCACCACACAGGGATGCACAATCATCCATAACGAAAACTGCTCTTGTTCCCGTGCTTTTTAAAGATGCTTTGCCTCATTGATCCTTCATATTAGAGATTAATTTCTGATGGAAAATGGGATGTTTGAGAGAAATTTCGCATCTTTTTCAGATAATTTACACCTTGTTTTACTCTTTGTCATGAAGCTCACAACATTTACATCATTCAATGCTTTGCGACAACATTTTTTGCAGGAAAACGGCATCATGTCATTGATCTCACTTCTCTTTGAAAAATAATCGTAAACAATATTCTTTACAGATCGTCTGAAATTTCGTGTCTAGGCCTACAATTTTTTGTGGGGGGTTAATCTGAAAACTGGGAGCACATGACTAATATATGTATTTACCATTTATACACACCATTTCAATACCCTCGACACTACACCATCAAACAATGTAAAATAGTTGGATTTTTCATACATTTCTACGATATTGCGAAAGCACACTTTGAGCTTGCTGGTGTGCAGTTGAAAAACCAAAGCTGAGTAATGCAAATCAAAGCGATTCAAAGTTAATGTATTCAAACTGAAACGTCCACCCACAGAATTGACAGCAGCTCCATGCATGACCTCCCCTTCGCTGCTTTCCCCACCTGGGCCGGAGCGGCACAACATGCCGATGGGCGCATCCCTGTCTCTCAACTGCACCGTGGAGATCGGCACCAACAGGAGCGATGTCACGTGTCCGACCTGGGTCGTTTGGCGCAAGGACGGCATTGCGCTGCCTTCAAATTCGTCTGCTTACAACATAACCGTCCAAGACGCCAGGTGATAGTCCTATTGAATAAATAAATAGTGTTTATATTCTGAAGAGCATTGTGTTAAGAACAAGGTATGGCATTGGAAAACTACCACAGAAATACATCTGCAGTCAAATGGCTTACATAATACAACAATTGGGGGCCAGCTGTTCAATTTCCCAGCGTTCAAGGCACCGCACTTAAAATTGTGATCTGTCACTTTAAGCTAATCAAGCCTACTTCAATCAGCTGCGGCCCAAAATGTTTGCCTCCTGTATTAATTTATGTTATAAGGCAGTGTTAATAATGAAAGTTCCAAGTTGTATTCATTATTCTGTAATGACGCAAGATAATTCAGTTTCATAAATGTCCCACTTAGTCATGCCATGTCAATTATGTTTTGCTGCATTGTATCCATTTAATTAACTGCACTTTAAATTTCACACACAATAGCTGAGTTATGCCAATTTAAGTAAAAAAAATTCTCCTGCCCAAGAACCACTACATCGCTCTGAAACTTTGGATATGGCTTAATGACAACAGGTGGTTGTGCTGATTTCAGACCTCATTTCTCAGTGGTTCTTCCTCAGGTGTTGTCATTTGTGCCTTGAGCCACTGAGCCACGCTTGGTAGGCCGATAGTTGATTTAAATGTGTGTGTGTCTGTTCATGCGACAGGTTTTCAGATGAGCTCTCAGCTGTGGTCATCACAAGCCGCTTGTCTGTGAGCACTCTGGAATCTTCAAACTTTGGGGCGTTTGGATGCCATTTCCACACTACGGCTGGAAATATCAGTGCAAGCTTCGTTGTGGCGATGGAAGGTGGGTTATGATAGCACGGTGAATAGAGGTACAAAACAAGTCCAGCCAAAACAACTACAGCCAATCCATGAGGATTTACCCTGACTTGGAAAACGATCAAGCATTTTGGCATCAGAATTGCCATCAAAATCCATGCTCCTGTACCGTTCCCATTCTACTGTAATGTGCACTGATGCCTACTTTATTGAGGGTGATATTGGCACATACAAAAACATTTGATTGATGGATCTGCTGTAAATTATGAGATTTAAAAAAAAATCTGAACTCTTTCAGTCTATGGGGCATGGCATGATGTCAGGTACAGCCCTGGAAAATCACCTTCCATAACTAATGCTGAAGTCTCTTCAAAAGGCTTGTCTTACCCAACACCAGAAACATCGTAATTAAATTAATGTAGTTCAGCACATTTCCATAATTAGAATGGTTATGTAATTGTGTGTCTTCGAATTAAGATAGTTAAAATTATTAAACTATTAAAACTATTTTTATTTTACCATGTAGGCCCACTGAGATGTTAGCTCTTTTTCAGAAGTGACCTGACCATAAATGATAGTTCAACGAAAGTGGCTTATCACGTGGTAATGTATGCCATCCAAATACTCTAAAACGCGTGTTTCAAAAAATTGAAGTGAAACCCAAAGTGTAAAATTTTGTAATTTTGCGCATTTGACGAGCAGGTCAGAGCCATTAACTTGCCATCTTTAGTTTGTGTTTTAGGGTAGCGGGGTGAGCGTGGGTGTTGGCCTCTGGGTCGATCATTTGGCGGTGCTGTGTGTGCAGATAAGGGCCTTGCTCCGAGCCACGTGGTGAGCGCCGTGGCCGCCCTGGTGCTGCTGCTGCTGCTGGCGCTGTCCGTCGCGCTCTACTCGCGCTTCAAGCTGGACCTGCAGCTGTGGCACCGCAACACTTACGGCGACTTCGAGACCAACGGTGCGCGCTCGTGTGTGCGGGGCAGCACACTGCGCTATGAACGCGTCGACCGAGTTCATTCCCGCTCACAGCATCATCGACGATTATCTGAATCGGTTTTGGGCCTTCTCTAAGTCATCTCAGCTTTAAAAGAATACCTGGTGAAGTGTTAAACATCATTGGAGAGACAAAGGTGGGCGGCTATTGTGCGGGCCACCCACCCCCTCGTGTGCCATGGCACCTTTTGTAGGTGTTCGCTAACAGCACATGCCCCTACAGTCTGTTAAAAGCGATACGGGAGATCTTTATAGCTTTGGGGTCATGAATAATAAGTGGCAGAAGAGCAATAGAGATAGGGGCAAGTTTTGGTCATCGTAAACAACAGCGGTCATTGATCCGGTAGAAACATTGGTACTTTTAAACTTTACTTATTTCACACCAACACCCATTGTTAATGATGAAATATGAAATGGTTACTTCCTGGCCTATTGGATGTAGCTTATATTTGTGTGTGCGTGGCAGCGACACTATACGGGGAGAAGTGGTGCAGTGGTTAGGGCACGCCACTAAGATACTGGCAGCCGAGTTTGATTCCTGACCATTAAGATAACATCAGTGGCAAGTGTTATAGGGTGTAAACATTAGCAGTGAGGGAACAAAGGTCTCCGGGCATATTGTTGACCACACTAGCCCCTCATGTGCCTTCCTAGCCAAATTAGGTCCTTGCTATCCCAACAGTTGTTCATGGCTGCACAGGGAGTGTTTGTCATTGTGCGTGCATCTTTCTCACTTCCTTATTCTGAAATCTAAAGCGGAAATGTGCAGATGTGCACTTTGATTAATGGTGACATAGTTGAGTGGTTCGACCTCTACACTGCGATCTATCTCTGGCAAGGTGAATTTGAGTCCGAGCAGCGCTGCTGGCTCTGGGTTAAGCGTGAAACAAACGACAGAGGGTTAAAACAAAAGTGAATTGCTGTTATTTTCACTGAGCATTCCCAACAATAACAGGGGAAACCTGACACCCCCCGTGCGATGGCGTGTGCATGCGCTCGGTATCCCTTGCCCGCTTGCCCGCGTGCTCGTCCCCGCAGACGGCAAGCTGTACGACGCGTACGTCTCCTATGTCAACACCGAGTTCGACCGCAAGTTCGTGCACTTCACTCTGCGGCCTCACCTGGAGATGTGCTATGGTTACCGCCTGCACACGGATGACAAGGACATCCTGCCGGGCTTGGGTATGTTCTCCACTCGAGCAGTTGTGTACCCGTTAATATATGCACATGTAATGGAGGAGCTTGTGCATGCCCTACTATTGCACAATGCGACCTTGCCTTCGTGGCTGGAATGTGGATATGGTCTGTTGCTAAGTCTATATTACCCAAGTACTAAGCCGACGCTGCTGGCTTCCATCCATTGTTTGAATCTGATCAGCATTTGCATGAATAAACCACATTTTCAAATGTCGAGTGTTTGATACTCTCAGCCTGGTCACCCCTGCCAAGGTCGGTACAAAAATAATTTGTATAATTTTATTTCATTTAAATTAGCACAAGCTAGGATTGGGGCTAAAAATGTATAAACACGTGAAATTATTGACGTGCAAAAGATAGAGCATCCCATTAATTATTAAAATGAGCCGTGTCGTGTTGCGCGAACGAGTCCTATCCACATTACTTCGCCACTAGTTCTGCAGCGTCTTATTCTGGGGCCTTTCCATCGCTGGGGCTTAACATCGGTCTCCTGCTGTGTCGTGGTGGCAATAACATTGCCTGACTTATTGGAGAATTGGCAGGCACACCCACACAGTCATTATGCATGGTATGCACTTGAGAAGGAGCAGGGGGATAGAGGCTTGAACAACCACGCTGCCGTCACGAGCCATGTGAGTGTCATTACGCAAACCCTTGGTATATAGCTGGAGGTGTTGCTGTAACCGGAAACTATGTTGTTGGCGTAAAATAGATTCTGACTTTTCCTTCCCCGCACCTCCGATTAGTGCGGTTGGCTGTGTACGGTGTCAAAGAAGTGGAACACACACACACACATGTGACGGAGGTCATGGTGACGATGAAGGGGCACGCAGGGCAAGATAACTAACACAGGGGATGTAGACTGATAAAGTCAAGGCACCTGCACCAGTCATTGATCTAACAAGTGGTATGATGGACACAACATGATGATGACCTGTATGAATGAGATCAATTTCGTCAGCAGCAGCTGATTGGACACAGAGTTGACAAGCTGAGGATTTGCTGTATTGAAGTTGTACATCTGTGAAACATGCTTAGTTATTTATTTGAAAACAATTTAGTGCTGCAGTCCGTTAAGGAGTTCTTAGCATGCCAGCAATGCTGCGTCCCCATCGCAACTGTTTATGGATACTTTACTGTGTATGGCTACTGTATTGTACTGAACAGGATTTGTAACATGCCACAGAAATAATATCTGTATAGGACGTGGAATGACAATGCGAGCGCAGAAACGCACAGCAGGTGCAGGCTTCGAATTAAACCTTTATGTTCGCAAAATAAAACTTACATCGCTTGGTGTGTGCGGAGTGGAGAGCGGTGTCACCACAAGTGACCATTATCTGAACCGGTTCCAGACCTCCCCTTGGTCGATTCGGCCTCAAATGAGAACCTGGTGCGGTGTGTATACATCGCCACTCTCGTGTGCTGGTGCCAACCTATACGGGAGATCTTTGTCTTTGGAGTGGAGAGAGAAGGGTCGCAGATATACACGCATCATGCTGTGATGCTGTTGACCTAAGCTTGATTCCCGGGCCACAGACATCGTCGGTGGCAAGTGGTGCCTAAACCTATGGTCGGCCTCCTTTCCAAAGTAGACTAAGACCTAATATGCGCACTTTGTGACAAAGGTGCCGACCACATTGGGTTTGGCTTAATATGTCATCGCTAACAGCGTTTGCTCCGACAGTTTGCTCCGACAGTTTGTGTGGCTACGTGGGAAACAATTGTCTGTGTGTGCGTTTACTGTGGGGAGATATGTGTCCTTGGTTGTGACTCGTTTAGAGGAGTTCAAGTAAGAGGGCTCAGGAGATTACTCAGGAAACCGCCCTCATGTTATAATTCAATATCGCACCGCTCCTTTTAATGGGATTCTGTCAGTTACGCTTACTTCGTTTGGCCAAGATAAGCGGGCAGCTGTAGGTAGCGGCATACTCTTCTATAATTATCAATGCATTGTTTTTTAATGTGCCTTTACTGGAGGATTAACGCATTAATTTTTTTGTGAACTTAACATATCAGCTTCTTGGTTCTTTCGGTAAAGTCACGTAAAAGGGAAGTTAAAAAAAAATAATACAATTCTCACGATAGGTCTGTCTGAAAGACAGCGTCATTCAGACGCTGTCTTTCCAACAGCCCTGTTCTTCACCTGAGGAACGGCTGCTTGCGTTGTGGCCGAAACGTCGTGAGAATTGTATTTTATTATGTTTTTTCCCTTCTACGTGACTTTACCGAAAGAACCAAGAAGATGAATCCCTGCAGTCACGAAAGCTTTCAATCGAAATTCAACATATCAGCGTTATTCTACTGTACATTGGTGAAAAAGAGCTTTATAGCTCATCGGATTCCTCCAGTGTAGATAAATATTCTGATTCTGATACAGCAGGAAAGTAATGAAGGTCAGCATTTCGTCTGGCGGTCGTCATTGTTATTGTGATGAAACCACACTCTAAAATTGTTTTTATTTTTTCGGATGCACATCTTGAACAAATGAACCTTTTACTGTAAGATTATGCGGCATTCATTACGTCGAGAGCGCTGTGGTGGCTTAGAAATGCGCTTGTGCGCCGGATGGTAGGGATTCCGCGGAGATTCGATGCCCTCGTCGTTTTTCGCTCTTCACGTGGCAAGTTTCCATTTACCGTTCCATTCTCTCCCGGCACGGAGGACTCGTGCTGAATAATTAAGCAGCTCGGCACCAAACTTAAATGAATAAAAGACCCTCTGTTAATACTCATGCCATCACCGGCCCTTATTGGCACCGGTTGCCAAGCACTGTATATTACGCTTCACATCGGTCTGTAAAGAAGGATGTGTTTTGTTACTCGCAAAGGCTCTGTTAGGGCAAAGTACACCGTGAGTTTATCACAAGCACCTGTCCCCCTGCTCACTCGCAGCCTTTAGTCCTGTGGGATTACTTGCATGTGCGCGTGAATCCGCGTGTGCGCAAGCTGCAAGCGGGCGTTCACATGTCCCTGTTTGTGCAATGATGCGTGTGGCAGCCTGCCATGTGGATGAGCCTCATGCACTGTTGTCGCGACTGTCGAATTTATAATGAGTGAAAACAAACAAAAGGACGCAAATAAATAAGGTTAAATTCTTTCGAGCAATTTAAATTGACCTTGACGCATCTCAATATGGGTGGGTGTTTTGCTGATTTTTGTGGGTGTATTGTGATATTGGGCTGAACCAGTGGCGCAGTGGTTAGCGCTCTTATCTATGTAATTAGCGAGTGATATTAATCCCCCTTTACCAATCCGCACTGACGACAATTTGTTCAAACAACCTCCGTGATCAACACGGCGTGGGGATTCGTTCTACAAGCAGTTGATTGGCAAAGTACGGTAATATTTTGATTGCTGTCATATACATGCGTGGCTTTATATATTTGGTTATACCTGTGAATGGAAGCTTGTCTTATTTCAAATTCAAAACATGCCTTTTTGACTTTGCAACATTACATAATCTCCTGCCACAGTGGCAATCCTATGGATTCTGGATCACTGTCATTGTGGATGATTTGACTTAGCTCGAACTTTCCCAGTTGTGCAAGTACCATACTCCGATTAGCATGGTTGGCTCCGTACGGTGTGTGGAAGAAGTTCAACATACATATGTCTATACATACTCGTTGCTCATACAACTGCTTTTTAACTTTTCCAGACAGTTGCTAACGATGTACGGGCTCTTCAACGTTATACGAAGCGTGACGATCTTTCTGTGTTTATGTGTCTTCGTGTGCACGTGTCTATGTTCACACGTCCCACACGATGGCAGAGCCGTCGCCCGAGCTGCTCATGAACCTGAGCCGCTGCCGCCGCCTGATCGTGGTGCTGTCTGGCGCGTACCTGGCCCAGGAATGGTGCTCCGAGGCTTTCCGGTACCCAAGCATTGAAATTAAAATCAAAGCAATCCTTTGGTCATCCGAAGGAGTATGAGTTTCAAACTGTAGATTGAAATTGGAGAAGCTACCAACATATTGTGACATCATAATCGTCATCAAACGTGCTCAATCTATGATAATTGGTTCTTTACCCTTCTATCTGGCAACAAAACTGACACCGTTTTGCAAGGAGTCATGTTTGCATAGACCGCAATACCTGCAGTCATAACACAAACAAAAGAACATAACTCTGATAATGTGCACTGTCCTTGAAGTTGATTGGTCCACACCCGAGACAGCTTTCCTTCGAGCCTAGTCTCATATGGGTTGGACCAGATGACGCCAACCCATATGAGACTAGGCTCGAAGGAAAGCTGTCTCGGGTGTGGACCAATCAACTTCAAGGACAGTGCACATTATCAGAGTTATGTTCTTTTGTTTGTGTTATGACTGCAGGTATTGCGGTCTATGCAAACATGACTCCTTGCAAAACGGTGTCAGTTTTGTTGCCAGATAGAAGGGTAAAGAACCAATTATCATATTTTTACTGGCAAATGAGGTCCCCATAGTGTGCTCAATCTACTCTTGGATGAATTCCTTCAAGTCGTTGCTATCTCTCATGGTTCTGTGATTTAACAATCCACTGAGCGCTACCACAAAAGTGTATTTACACTATTCTATTTTCTAAGTGGACATACTCTCAAACACATTCCATTCCTTGGCAGTATTGTGCATCAGCAGGCTTGTCCTATGTTATTTTCTGTGGTTTGCAGTGGCTTACAGTTTTGTAGCGGTGCCTCCATGCCCAAACAGAGAGTTTGCTGGTGCTCCTTTGCATTGGCAACCGCTAAGCCAGTCATAATACTCTTTGGTTCTTTCGGTAAAGTCACGTAGGTAGAAAAAAATATCACATTTCCATGGCAGGGGCCAGTTTTTACAAAAAATAGTGGTGCACATTCTACGAACAAACCCCCAACTTGTACTTCACACACAAAGTAGCTAGATTCATACACTGGCCACTGTGAACAATGTATGGCAAAAATATACAAGTGTTTCAATCACCAACAATTGGGCAAATCGCCAAGGTTGTGTTTATTTAATGATGTGTTTATTTCGGACTTTTTTTTTAAATGAAATACCAATGTCCATCTGGCCCTCATTTGCAACCTACCATGGTGCGGGACAGTTCTCCTTCCTTGCACTGCTTGATTTGGAATGCCCTCCCACTATCTTTATTCCCATATCTCTATGACCTCACTCAATTATAATAAATATGTTTCGTTGTTTTCTGCTACCCTGTACAATAACCGTCTCTTACTGGCTGTCTGCTTTGTACGAAACACCTTCAGGCCTGTACTTGGCAACTGTAAAAAAAACAACATCTGTGTAAATGAATCTACCCAGGGCCGGATTAAGGTTATTAGGGGCCTAAGGCTAATAGGAGGGGGAATACATGTAATACATATTGAAAAAAAATATAACAACTCATCAACATAATGTATTTGACTGAAGGTAGAGCTGTAAAATATAAATCACTCACTGCACTCATATCTGCAAATAAACAAAACAATTTCCAAGCTTTAGCTGTGGCAAAGTCATGATGTCATTGTAATTCAAAGACAAAAAAACTTCCGATGGCTGCGCTACCATTGCTCACCTCTTACTTCAATATCGAATGGAGGGCCTAACAGAGGGCCTACAAAACATGAGCCTATGGGTTAATCCGGCCCTGCATCTACCACATTCTTTCCTCCCAAGGCAATACCGACCTTTCTTTCTCTTGTTTGCCACGTGGTCACGATCCCGGCGTCTGCCAGGGAGGGCCTGCTTCGCCTGCAGGAGCTGACGCCACGGCCTGTGTTCATCACGTTCGACGATGGCCGCCGTGCGGCCCCCCACCCGGCCCTACAGCTCTTGCACCTCTCCCGCCCGCACCCCGTCATCTTGCCATGGGACTCCACCTCCGCGGTCAGTGGCAGCGCTAGGCGCAGGCAAACCGAGCGACGGCTTGGGACACCCCAAGTATAGCAAGGGGCCTCGGATTCACGACAAAAAAGGGGCGTCTAATATCGGCTCAAATTCAGATCCTAATAAATAAGAGAGATCAATTCTATTATCTATCATCTCGCTACAATTGTATTTTTCTCGACGTTTGTCGTCTCGCCAGGATTTCATAGATTGAAACAGGAGTTCCCAAAACTAATTTCTGTTTGGGGTCCCTAATGGGGCAACACCACCACTGTCTTCGATACTACGCCTCTCCCCCCACCCGCTCTCACTGTGGCGGTCCCTGGTCCCACTATCACCTTAACCCGGTGTAACAGGCTAAAATAACCTCTGCCCCGATTAAACCCGGGTATAGTTTGGCCCAGGCCAGAGTATACCCGGGGGGATAAAGTGTCCTCGGCTAAACTAGACCCCCCGGGGGTTTAAACTAGACTGGGCCAGACCATACCCCTCCAGGCCAGAATATTTCCCATGTGAAAGTTCAAAGGCAATTATCCATACAGAGAACAGCCGACAACGAACTTCAATCGATATCTAAAAAGCATATAAATGGAAGTAAGAATCTCAATTTGATCAATTGAAGCATTTTTAGAAGCAGTCGAAGCCAGTGAAGTCGAATACGCGTGCAATTCCATTGAAGTGTTGTCGGAAGTCACGGAATAGGGTTAGGGTTAGGAACTAAGAACTACACGACTACTTGGACCGAGATGTCAATGAATATGTAAACACCTCTGGCATCTCTTGTGATAGAGTCTGGGCAACAGATGCTGAGATCATGGCCACAGAAAATTAATGTGTATATCGCTCAACACTATTACTATCATGGGGGTATGATTTGGCCTAGAGGGGCATCATTTGGCCTAGGCCATAATATACCCCAGCGTATAAATTGGCCTAGGCCATAATATACCCGGGTATAATCTAGCCTAGGCCGTTTTAACCCCGGGTATACTACGGCCTGTGGGTATACTACGGCCTGTTACACCGGTCCCACTTGCTATGAGCGGTCTCTCAGTGGTGAGACACAGAGCCTGTGAGCACAGTCGAGAGGGAAGATCATAAACCAGATTTCTTGAGACAATTCCTTTCTGGGCCTCACTGTCAAATGTGGCTCTGCTCTACCAGTTATGCTGGACAGTTACATTAACATTGACACTTGTGGTCGGCAATAGCTGTGAGTGTCCTTGTACTTCGTGTCCATGATGCAGTTATTGGCGATGCCTGCAGATACTGCATTTGTAAGAATGTTAGGTATTTACGTTTTCTTGCTTTGTTCAGAGTCGACAACACAATTGGCATTGTTCAATTAATATTTTACTTTTATGGACTTTCGTGTTCAGCCCAGATACAGACAGGAAAGTGTGGCTGGTTTGGAAAGCATAGAAGACTTTTTATTGGCATAAAATATTTATATAAGGAAATAGATTTATGTATTTTTTTTACAAGGAAGTTTTGTTTAACCATTACTATCTCACAGAACTCGTAGGGTGAGCAGCAAGCATTCCTTTGGCTTTGGCAGAGTAGCAATGGGGTGGAATGTTGCAGCTGTACACTATCATGTAACCGAGTCGGTGTTTCATCGCCATCAGGGCCCTTAATTGGGGTGAACATGAATGAGAGGGTCTTTTAAAAATAGTGCACGGTGCACCCTGGGATTGAATGGGTAAAAGTATTAGGTTGAACGAACAGGATCGTACTATAACTTGTTCAATATTAGAAATAATAACAGCAGTTGGGGCACATTTGGAAAACATAATCTTCGTCTATTGGGGTCCATTGATATAATTTCACCTATTAAAGCTTTTTGCAGGCAGAAACAGCACGGCTCGTTTTTCATTACAACAAAAGAGAAAAGGTGGCTTGCCATTCCTCTAAAATTACCTGTGCATGATATCACGGCTATTTTTAGACATTGCCTGTGAAATATGCTCTACCAGAAGATTATGTACCAACTAGCTTTTTTGCCCGTCCAAGGACGGGTGTGAATTGCAGTAAATCTGAAATATTCAATAGAAAAATTGTTTAGCTCATAATTATTACCTGCTAATGGTTATTGTGGAGGGGTGCGGCATGTGGAGTGACGTCACCCGCTCATGATTATTAATGAGGGGAGGAGTGCGGCATGTGGAGTGCGCGACCTTCTTGTGCGTTAGTGTAAATGTCCACGTGGGCATGAATATTAATGAAGTGGGGTGGGCCTCATGTGGAGTGACGTCACGCGAGGGGGTGGGCCTCATGTGGAGTGACGTCACGTGAGGGGGTGGGCCTCATGTGGAGTGACGTCACGCGCGGGACGGACAGACATTTCTGGGTGATTATAGTAGGTAATGAATACAAAACCCCACTGTACCATATCATATGAGACATCTGATGAGAATTCCAAAACCAAGCCTCCTCCCTCCCCCTAACCTTCAAAGCAAAATACCACATTTCACAAAAAGTAACCTTTTCCAGTGCTGTCAAGGTTATGTGCGTGGCCTCGCAGGAGTTGACGATCATCAAATGGGTGTGAGCAAACGGTGTGGAAAAGTTTTGGTTTTCTACACGTATTTTTAGTTTGGAGAAAACCGACCTCCACCGGCCACTCGAGGGTTGTACTTCTGTAAATAGATTACGTCCTGTAAAACGTGGGGCAGTTGTAACGTAGGCATTGGTCCTTGTACTTTACATGAATACTGCGGTACACACACACACGCACCTTCCCTAAAACCATGTCAGTAAAACGTTTAGGCTCGTGACGATGTGCATATTCATCGTTTAAAATGTATTCTTATCTTCACGTTAGATGCATAGAATCGTGTGGGTGAGAATCAGTTGTTTCAGGTTTATATACATTTTATAGTTTCCCTACAGTCAGTCGAGGCACTGCATTCCTGATTTTTTATTATTATTGTTGAATTCAATCGTGACCCCATATCATAATGTATCTAATTACTAAAAGTTTTCAGGCGTGGTTTAGTGACTTTACGTTTGAGAGCTTGTAATTTATTGGTAATTTGTTGAGGAAATATGTACTTTTGCATTCCTGTTCCAGCAGTCCACCAGCCCTGCCCCCCCCCCCCTCTCAGCATTGCATCACCTTTTTTAAAAAAATGTTAAAAACCTCATCCTTGTGAATATACCTTTTTTTACTCAAAAGGCTGAATCTGACTGGTATTTCCAGTTTTCATTCCAGGATGTAACTTTGTAGAGTCAAGACTGACGTGTTCTCTCTTTGCGATAACAGAATCTGTGACATTTCACATCCACAGCGTAAAAGCTTAATTTGCAATTTTTAAGTGGAGCAATGCATGCTTTCAAGCTTGGCTGAGCAACTATTTAAATATGAAGGCATGCTTGGGGCCATAACGAAACTTCACATTCATAATCACTTCCTCTTTAGAGACTACTGTCGTAATTAACACCATGATACATTTACTTCCAGCAATTAGTCGATCGCAAGTTGCGTGTGGTGGGGTAAAGTGTGGGTAACTCGATTATTCCAGGAGACGTCTGCCCAGTGTGGAAAAGTAGGCCAAATACTCCCTAGAGGGGCTGTCTCTAGTGGAGGCCCTTCTGTCAGCAGTGGGATGAGTCAGCAATTCCAGGGCTACACCATTACCAGCTTTTTTACCCAACATTTACTGTAATTAACACCTAACTCGTTTGGTAATGAATGCCCGTGTTGTTTTATTTTTTGCATAAATAATTGCCAAACTTGTTTAGCGTTGCAGGATTTGAATATCGGCTTTGAATGACGCATGTCGATGCAGCATGTGTGCCAAATTGAACTCGGTCACCATGTGAAAATATTTACAGGCATGCTGGGCTTTATTTAGCCATGGAGAACATGATATAAACAATGCCTTTTTACAGAAATTATATTGTTTCTACTTTGTTTCGCGAAACGTCTTCGTTATTAAACTGTCTTCATTATGCCAGCGGTAATTATGACTAGTAATACATCAAATGTCTGTGTATATGTCTGTAATTAAATTCTCATCCAAGCTGAAAGTCTCACAAATATCAAAGCTCATCCAAATCTTTAACGCTGCTCCTTATTAGGGTACCTCGGGAACGTGTTGATGCACATTTATTAATTGGCATTATTAATTTGTCTATGCTCATTACGTCTTGGCTGGCAGAACAACACACCACCATGTTCCCCCCCCTCCTTCCGCCTGTAGCCTTAAGGCTCACATTTCTACACAGTCGAAATATGCCATCATGTAAGGTGCCGTCCTCTGTCATTGAGTCTGCCACTGAGGTATCCGAACCTGTCTAACCTCCAAAACAACAGATCCTGCTCCTAAAATAGCATCAGCTAAGGCGTGCGCACGTACAGGTGTGGAATTTAACTACAGTGCATTCCTTTTGGTTGTTAACGCCTGCTCTCCCCAGGGCTCTCAAAGTTAATTACACACAAATACAACTATGCATGAAACATCTCACTCGAATTTACCCCGGGGAGGGCAGTAAGTATCATATGCCCACGAATAGATCAGATCGCACACTAGATTTTGATCAGCCTTAGGTATTAGCTCTGAATGTCAATACTGTACTCCTGTGTGCTACATATCATTCGGCCATATATTTTTGCGTGCATGCTTTTGTGGGCATGTGACAAGAGGCATTGTTGTCACATCAGCCAGTTCTTAGCCACAGCACGTTGTCAGTACACACTGTCAATATGTATACTACACAGCATCCTGGAAGAACCCACTAACCACCTCACAGGGGGTGGAGTGGGGTGGCAGCGATGAACACACTGCGCTCTGAACCGTAGCAACCCGAGTTCAATTTCCAGCCACAGCTAACGTCAGTGGCGGGTGACATCTGAACCGGTCCCGAGTGATGTGGAGACATACTGTGAAATAAAACCCCCATGACCCGAAAGGCATGAGAAGCCACGGGCTCGAACATATTGTATCGGTATCGTTAATAAATACTGCATCTGTGCAGATAACTGCATGCTGGTTTTACCCATTTGTATGGAAACAGAAGATCACAGCCATGCCGTTGTGCTGTGTCATGCTTGTGCACAGGGTTTGTTACATAAAACAACAGCACTCCCTTAAAACCAATGTCGCCATTCAAATAGAATGTGTGTATCCTGAAGGCTCTGGCACCCCGCTATATTGATTGCTTCATTGCTGTACTTGATACTGGTAGGAACCTCCTGGTTACACCAGCCCACAGGGGATTATTGTGTCCGTCGTGCAGGGAAGGCTGGGTGGGGAGGGAGGGGCTGGGTGGGGAGGGGCTGGTGGGGAGGGGCTGGGTGGGGAGGGTTGGGTGGGGAGGGGCTGGGTGGGAAGGGTGGGGCTGGATGGGGGGTGGGGCTGGGTGGGGAGGGGCTGGGTGGGGAGGGTGGGGAGGGGCTGGTCACCCCGTGGTGCCCTTATAAAACTCAACGTTTAACCTACTCACGCCGGCTTGTGCCCGCCCTCACAGTCGGGCATATTTGCGGAATACACCACGCCGCCGTTGACCCTGGCTATTGACCCTGGCCATTGAGTGAGCAACCCAACGTTCCTACCAGCTCCCTCCGCAGGATGTGTTTAAATTTGTTTTGCACGTTGCATTTTTTTTATTACACGCTTTCTATTAACTCACTCTGTTGTTTTTGTCGTATCCTCAAATTTTCTAACTCAATTTTAACCCACTTCCCATATTGATGCCGATACTATATTCTATCAAGAAATTAAAAATATATTTTTAAACATTCATTTTTAATATGTTATGTTTCGGCTTGGGTCTAATTGTCCACGCTCAACTGACGTTGGCTGTAAATCACCACGGCCCCTTACGTTGTGGCAAGCCTCGCGGCCACTTCATAGAGTCGTGGAGTTCTGCCATTACGAGCACGGTACATTTCATTAAAGCGTGTTTAAAAAAAAGTATTTGTAAATATTACTTACTAGAGACCCAGGTGACTCTTGCAAATAAGACTATCTCCTGGTGTCTTCAGTTCTCACCTGGTTCAACAAAGCGAACGTGAAACTCGATTGAAAATCTGAATGTAAACATGCTTACTGCACGAAGTAATGAGCAATACAGGTGACCTTGACAACACGCTGTAAGCCACATCTTGATAGCAATGCTTAACTGCATCAGGAATTTAACGCCAACACGTGCTAAAAATAATTTTTTGATTGTGACTCACCTGCATTGGCTTATTGAAATGAATAATGACACTATAAATATTCTTAGTTAGCATCGCTAATTATTTACATGAGGAATTCATACACAGTGATTCCCTTTAGGTTGGTAATCCCCAAGATAGGCATCCTATATCTGTCAGTCAGTGGACATTTTCAAAATGCATCTTAAAACCTATTTATAAGCTTCCGCTTATTCAACGTTTAGTTCATTAAGTAAATGGATTCTTAAAATGTATTTAAAATATTATTTTCATGTTGAGTGTCTACTGCTGCTGCTGCTGCGTCCGCACTGTGCAGTGCAGCGCTTTGAGATCCTTGATGAAAAGCGATATGTAAATTAAATAATTATTCTATTGAGAAACACATTTGGATGTATGAAGTTCAAAGGCCATCATGATCCCAGAATTATATTGGCATTGCTGGCATTTAGTGATCTCGTTGCTGATATCACGTAGCCTGTGGAGATTGCCAATTCTGGCATATTGGGCACTGGGTATAATGCCAAATGGCGTCTCAGCCCTAATTTCAGCTCATGGTAAATCTGTGTAAAGTGAGATTTATACCTGTGTGTATGTATATACACATATGTGTGCATGTATGTTCATGTTTGTGTACGAGTGTGTGCTTTGTGTGTCAGTTGGAGTGGTGGCACAGTGGTTAGCACAATGTGATGGAAACTCGGTGACATTTGTCTGATTCCCAGCCACAGCTCACATCAGTGGCATGCCGGCCCTGCATTACCGACCTGTACTGATGAGCATGGTGAAATATCTTAAAACAACCTCACGTGACTGACATTAAATGGGGGAAGCCTTCATCCAGCAGTGGATTAACAAATGACTATGTTATTTAATACTCTTTGGTTCTTTCGGTAAAGTCACGTGGGTAGAAAAATAATAGATCACGACGTTTCGATCGCAACACAAGCAATCGTCATCAGGTGGGACTACTACAGCAAGAAAAAAACTGCTGAAGTTGTGTTTTGTGAGTCTACATGTATTTGTGTATGTATGTATGTGTCGTGTGTGTATATGTATGTGTGCATCGTTCTACTTGTGTAGGCCGTATGGATATATATTTTTCGTGAAATTAGAGAACCCATTTATGCTGTGATGGAGCATCATGAGTAACATAAAAACAAGAAAAGACAAAAGTACTTCTTTGCTCATAAAAATGAAATATTTCTTAGTTTATCAGGCTACAAGCCTTCTGGACTATTGCTTGTGAGTCATTACTTGTGCCATGAGGCCCATTCAGCAAAAAAAACACAATTGTAAGTAAATTGTTTACGATTTTGCTTTTTAGAGTTTTGATGTTCTTTGCTGAATGGGGGCCATGGCTAAGAAAATGGCTTTTGCCAATAATATCTGGAAAGACGGATTACTTTTTCAATGTACGTAATGCATCCAATGAGTCTCAGGAAGCTGAAACCCGTCCAAAGTTTGTTGTTTTTCACAACATGCTGCTGTAAAACATTGGTTTACAAGGCCATGAAAAGATTTTATGTTCACATATCGAGACTGCTTTTCTGCGTTATTTATTTATCATGCGCATGTGTGTATATATGTTGAACTTCTTTCGCACCGTACGTAGGCAACCGTGCTCATTGTAGGTGCGAGGGAAGGACAACAAACTAAACACAAAAAGCAGTTCTAAAGAAATTAGTTTTCAATCTAGATTTTAAAGTGCATAGCTCCAGTGGCTTCCGAATATCAGAAGGAAGAGCGTCTCAGACGGCCGCAGAAGTGCATCTGAAAGCACGCGATGCAGTGACCGTCTTTGTTCGATGGCTCGCCAAAAGCCGCTGTGAGGATGACTGGTTTATGCTCCTTTGCATGTGCGTGTGGGTCTCACCAGACTGCAACATCCAAGTTCTGGAAGCAGCTGTGCCTTGCGCTGCCCAAGACTGTGGAGATGCGTCACTTCTCGGTGGGTGGCGGTGGCGCGGGTGACCCGCAGGTGCAGGCGGTGGGCGACCGCGACCCCATGCTCATGCTGAACCCCGAGTACCTGGACAGCCGTGGGGACGGACTCGATGGTGGCGGGCGGCAAGGTACGACCCCGGCTACGGGCACAGCGACACGCACGGGCAGTGGTAATGGGCCCCTGGTGCAAATTACAAATTAGCGGCCCATCATACAATTTCGCCCAACTTTGCAACCTGGTGCTTGAGCACCTCCAACCGTTGTGCATTTGCACCGCCTGCACACTTGATAGCTACGCTATTGCACGTGGGAAAAAACACGACATTTATGATGTTATAACTGGAGGCTTTTTACAGTGGTAGTTCCTAGACATGTAATTATTCACCCCCCGCCGGCAATATGATGGAATGTCACGGTTCGTGGTCGTTATACGATCGAGTGACATTTTCTGTCTCATTGCGTACTGTCTGTTCTGTATTAAATAATAAATATTTATTGCACTCGCGTGTGCTATCCTGTGTGCACACGCGTGTTTCATACACATAGTTATCCATTTGTAGATTTTTTTGCCGCAAGTGATTTCAGGCTTCTACAAAAGAATTGTAAGGTTAGCGCGGATTTATATGACAATTATGCTCTTCTTTTAGAAAAGCTTTTTACTAAAAATTGTAGTGTTTCTGCCTTTTTTTTCTGTTTCACATTATCGCCCACATGGCCTAGTTTTGTTGAACTATTACTCATGCGCTATTTGGCTTCTGAGGGGAACAGGGAATTTTGTGTTCTGCCACCAAAATATCTCGATTGTCACATGGTGAATGCTCATTAATTGGACCAGCTTGCCCAGATTTTTGATCATATTCAAACAATAGGGGTGGAACTCTTGTAAAATGTACATTTTATGTTTAAATTCCTAAGCATTTCACATGCATTATTACAGCAGTGAAAATATTGCTGCCTTTTTATAACTGCACCTCAACCTCCAATGAGCATTACTTTTATTAATAAGTCAAGCGCTATACATGCAAATTCTTCACACAGATGGCAACCTACATGTGTGCTCGCAGGCCTCATTCTCGACCATTAACGACCTCGCTTGGTATACATGAGGTCGTGGGTTCGATCCCGACCCGAACGATACTTATATAATTGGAGTTTGCATGTTCTCCCCGTGGTCACGTGGATGTTTGTCCAGGCCCTCTGGTTTTTCCCTTCACATTCAGAAATATGCTTTTAGAGTATTTGGCTGATGCAAATTTCCACACGATAAGCCACTTCGTTGAGCTATCATTTGTGGCCAAGTTGCTTCTGAAAAAGAGCTATATAGCTCAGTGGGCCTTACCTGGTAAAATAAAAAATAGTTTAGTTTAGACTGACTATAAAAGCACTTTCATAAGCAACCTAGCCATCGTAAACTTTACGACACCCAGACCGGGCTGTTGATGATGAAATCTATCAGCAGATTATGGCAAGATGGAGCAGTGCACACTGCCCCTTTTGTTCTTCCAGCTCTCTAAGGCAGCCCACCGTCTTTGTTCAACATGAATGTATTCTCTCGTGTTATAGCGTGCCCTCGACAGGTCTGCACAATGCGGAATGGTGATGCCGGGCAATGTTGTGTACCCACCATCCCTGTAGGGTCACGGGGGCTGGAGGCTGAGTCTTCCTGTTGAAGGCCCAAGCCCTCTTGAAAATTCTCATAGTCAAGGCTTCGCAGGCTTTCCTCATACACATAGAGGGGGTGAGAGCTCAAGAAGAATGCACGATAGACAAAAGGAGATCATATAATTACTCATTTTATTTAGCTTATAACACGTATTTAAAGTTTTCCTAATATTGACAGTGTCATGCCTCCTACCCTGAGTTCTGGTATGCCCCCTTTTAAACAAGATCACGCTTACAGGCTCGTGTGCCTCTGCCCTGACACAGATTCCCGGCGTGGGCGGGCTGGCGATGGAGTGGCTGAAGTCGCCATCCTCTCGCTGTCTGAATCCACGCAGTCATCGGCGGTGGTGTCACGGCCCAACCGTGGCCCCGACGAGCTGGATCCCAACCTCGACATCGAAACCCTGGAGTCACGCAACTATGGCGTGCGCAGGGACTTCTACTGTCTGGTCACCGAGCAGGAGATATAACCTCCGGCCGGGGCTCTGTGGGAAGTGATATTGATGCATCATCTGTTCAGGTCTAGTCCTGTGAGTGGACGAGGACGTCTGTGGTCCGTAATGCGAGCAAAATAAACTCAATCTGGAATTGTGGGAGCTATCCAGGTTACAGCGTACCGGGTCTTCGGAAGAATAATGAAGTCTTTGTGTTGTGGCGTCTAGCAGACTTGAAAGTCCTTTGAGTGACCTTACCTCTGCCAAGGGAAACTTATATATAACAAAAATGCAGTATATTCATTTGAAGTCTGAGTCGAACAATGTTTTAGTTTGTGGAGCTTAATCCAGAGCAATTTACTACGATAATGAGCCAAGAATGTCTGTGTGTCCTGCACGTGACGTCACTCCACGTCGGCCAGCCCCCCTCATTAATAATCATGAACATGTGACGTCCTCCACATGGACCCCCCCCCCTCATTAATAATTATGAGCGAGTGACATCATTCCACATGGAGCACCCCTCCCCCCCTCATGAATAGTTATTAGCAGGTGACGTCACTCCACATGGGGGGGGGGGGCGAGGCGCCTCCTCCCCCCTCTTCGGTGTCAACTTACAACCCTCACTACAAAGGCAGAACCCTCACGTCACGCGATCTCCGTCACGCTACTGAGACATAACAGTTAAAAGGACGTCATGGTGAACAAGGGATTATAACCTTTAAATGAAATAAGTCTGTGTCACCGCGGCCTTCCAAATTGCACACGAATTGATGCAATAGCACGTTGCGGGCTGCTTTTCGTTTGCAAGTTTCAGATTTACTGCAATACACCCGTCCTTGGACGGGTAAAAGGCTAGTAGACTATACTTACAAGAATGATGGTGGCCTTTTAATGTCATCTATATTTCTAGAACTTAAAATTGAAGGGACACATACATTGTTGATTGTAAGAATGTGAAATTGTTTTTGCCTGTCAATTAATTTGTAAATGAATTATGTGCCTGGTATACACAAGTATATTGGATAAGTATCTGTATGTGGCATTGTGTCGTTTCACATGGTATTTTTACACTGCAAAGGTAAGCGTCAGTGTTGAGGTTATGTATAATTTTATGCAAAATGCTACCTTCGTTTATGAATGTTTTTTTTGCTAAGCGTGTGCGTGTGCAAGCATGTGAGAATTCTAATATGTCTGTGTGACGTGTAGACCAGGTTTTGGAGAGAGTTTAATATTTTAACTCTTTTTTTTAAAGGGAGAATTCTCCCATATTTAATGCTGTGGGTGAGCATTTGGCTCTTTGAGAGTGGCGTCTGGAGAGAGCGACAGTTGAGCAGCTTTATTACGGGTACCTTGAGCACCACGGTGCCTCGGCTCCAGCACAAATATTTGCATTCTTTAAAATGTCGTATCTGCAGTTTGTCAGATTTGTTTATGGCTTATAAAAAGACATTTTAAATTGCAGTTGAGAAATTTGACTTCAAAGTGACCTAGATTGTTAGTTTAAAAATTAAATCGTGTAGTTAATTTGGTGAAATCTTTTTTTATTCTTATGACAAATCGTGACTCGTTTATTCATTTCTGAAAAAAGGGGGTATTGCAAAACTGAACCATGTCACTACCGCATACCAAACTATGGATTGTGTTCAGAACTGTGTGCCTTCATGTGCTTTCGTAATACCCACGAGCGAGATGGTGCACATGTGCTTCACGCTCATTCTCCATTTCCTCTGCTATTATTATTACAAAGAGACTAGAACGTTTTAGGTCTTAGGACGTCGAGTAAACCGACTTGATTGAAATTAATTTAAACGAAGCAATGCAGTGGGGGAAAAAATGTGTTTAATCATGACGCTGCTGTATATAATTTGCAAATATATTGAGCATAAAAATGCAATATAATGTAAGTCAAAAATGTTGTACTAAATATGCAGTTTCTAAGCACAGAAAAAGCACCTCATTTCCATACTCTGATAAAAAAAATTATTTTGTCTTGTCCATTAAAAAATATTAATATTACCTGTAATGTTTGTCCCTTTTAAGAACTTTAGGAAGTTTGTTAATTGTTTTGTATGTATAATAAATGATAATTTAAATAAAGTGGTAATTTATCAGTCGTGTTGACTTGCACATTTTCTGAGGCATACATATATCGATATAAACGTCGTAGTTTTTTGTTATTTTCTTTGAACCGATCTATACGTGACTTTGCCAAAAGACCTAAAGAATATGAATTTCTGCAGTCACGAAAGCGTTCAGTCAAGATGCACTTGCGTTGTCCCAGTTATACCCTTGTGCACAGGTATGATCATCTTGGAATACTTAATATTTTGAGTAACCTACATGAGACAATTGAGGTAAAGCGCGCACATGTGAAAGATGCATAACCATCGCACCATCGTCAGTGTGAAAGTCACTGCCGCGTTTGGAATAGCGATCTACAAACGAAAGTGGGAGATACATCCATTCTACAAGGATACACCCTAGAAAGCTCCTCCTTGGCAATGCGTATGGTCAAAGACAGCTGCGATGCAGAGCCTGAAGGTCAAATATGCCATGTGGCGGCACCAATTATTCATTTTTGCCGATTTGTCAACTGCGCCTTAAGACGTCCCGTGCACAAGCGCTAAAATACAAAGCAGCCGTATAATACAAAGCAGCTATATAATACAAGACAGTCTTATAATAAAAAGCATCTATATATAATACAAGACAACTAAGACGAGGCAGATGACGCCGGCATCCGCTGGATGACTTCTGCCAGTGCCACTGCGGCATTGAGTCGACAACCACAACCACTCAGGAGTCTGGTGGGAAGAGGGAACGCGCATTGCAGCTTATTACAAATCGTCGCGGCAGGAAACACTGCCGTCTGCTGGAAGGAAGGATTGGAATGATTGCTGTGTGCACAGTGGAGTACTTGGAGAAGAAACGAATTTGCCTTGCCAGCGTGGTAGTTGAATTGCTGCACATTTGAACCTGAACACACAAAATATTCCTGCGGAGGGAGCTGGTAGGAACGTTGGGTTGCTCGGTCATGGGCCAGGGTCAACGGCGGCATGGTGTATTCCTCAAATATGCCCGACTGTGAGGGCGGGCACAAGCCGGCGTGAGTAGGTTAAACGTTGAGTTTTATAAGGGCACCACGGGGTGACCAGCCCCTCCCCACCCAGCCCCACCCCTCCCACCCAGCCCCTCCCCACCTAGCCCCTCCCCTCCCACCCCCCACCCAGCCCCTCTCCACCCAGCCCCACCCCACCCTCCCCTCTCCACCCAGCCCCACCCAGCCCCTCTCCACCCAGCCCCACCCTCCCCACCCAGCCCCACCCAGCCCTTCCCCACCCTCCCCTCTCCACCCAGCCCCTCCCCTCTCCACCCAGCCCCACCCCTCCCATTTTTGGATGCACGACGGACACAATAACCAGGTGGTTCCTACCAATATAACATGTGTTGTGTAGTACTTCTTGACACCCAGTAGACTTGTAGAACCACACTCTGTCCACTGCACACTCACTGGTTGGTTTCACTCTATGCACTCGACGCTGACACCCGCTATGGCGCATGTCAGAACTCTGTCCTTTAGGGGCCGTCCATAAATGACGTCACACACCTAGGGGGGGGGGGGTGGTCAGACATTTGTAACGATTTGGAGGGGGGGGGGTTGAGAAATGTGACGTCACATCAAAATGCGCACCTTTAAATAAATATAGACAACACGTTCTACTTAATTAAATATACTTTCAATAAATGTTTTCTCCTACAACATCAGTGTGCAGCGCCACATTAAATACGCACTACAACGACAATAGTTTAAAGCAATTTGAAGCATGTTTTATTTGGGGGGGGGCAGAGCTTTGTGACGTCATATTTGAGGGGTGGGGGGGGTCTGACTTTTTGTGACGTCGTGTGACGAAGGTGGGGGGGGGGTCAAAAATCGTCCAAAATCGCGTGACGTCATTTATGGACGGCCCTTTCCCTTCAGCTGTCTACCCCCTCGTGTGCACCGGGCGAGACGTCTCCATCTCGAGCCCTTCTTCGGCGGCGGCTGGGGATGTCGTCCACGCAGGCTCTCGTTCCTCTCCCTACGGCGACCCCGGCGTCGTCACGGGGTCCCCCTTCAGTAGCCCCGAGCTCGGCGGACCCGCCTTTGTTCCCGAAGGTACCCCCCCCCACCTCCTTACAGCACCCGTGACATGACGTCATTCTCCGCTGTCATTGTAGCTCTACACGTGTACAACAGAAATCAGTGCATTGTCTGTGAAGCCACCGGGCGAATATTGACCAAGTGCAAGACGCGGTAAATCAAAAGGACAAGTTTGAATTAAAAAAACCGCCCCAGCGTTTAATTGTAAACATATTCCAATCTTCCCAGCCATGTTTTTTGTTTAAACCAAACCACACCCAAAAAACGATTCATCACTCCTAAAAGTCAACATTAACACATTGAAATGTAACATTTACATTAACTTCACATTATCGCGTACAGTGTACACACATGCAGTGTGTATATATTAACATGTCAAGCAAAGTTTGTATAGTTACATTCTCTAAAATATTCATTTCAATTTGGCACCATGCAATGAAACACCATCACGTAATTTTCTTTTATCACCCATATCTTATTGTTAATTATTTTAATAAAAACAACACCGAGCAGATAATAACTATATAACATAGTGAAGTTACTTTCATTTCCCGGTCTAAATTGCACTCCTAAAAGTAAATGGGTTCTGTACAATTGTTCAAATGTAATCTAACCCCTCCGTTTGACGATTCATTTTGGTATTGAGCGAGATTCTAAATCAGTGGTTCTTAAACTGGGGGTGCACCATTGCACCCCCTGGGAGTGCGAGATGCCCTTTCTGGGGGTGCGAGACACGGGCAGATTTTTGTTAGAAGGTAAATAATCGAAACACAAATTAAGCACAGGCACCAAAAGTACAACTACCTTGTTTCGTCAAACCCTATGTATTGATTAACATTACAATTTTTTTTAACTATTGAGATCCAAAGTGGGTGCAAGGCTTCAGTGAAGGTTAAGAACCACTGCGCTAAACCAACCTCAGTGTAACACGCAGGCTTTCGCGACCAATATCTTCCATAATACGGGGGGGGGGGGGGGGGTTAGATCGCGTATATAAATGTGTCGTTAAACACGCCACCACCCGACACAGCCAATTAGGAAGGTTCGTCACGTAAACAGAACGTGCCAATTCGTGACTAGTACACCACACCGGTGTGTTGGAGAGCAAAGCCACAGCAATGCAGGCACGCTGCGAACTTGCACATTAACTCGTGCGCGCGCGCACGCGTCACCGTTGACGTGCGAACGTTGAGCTTGTGACGTCACAAGACTCGTGCACGCGGCTTTTGCTCCATCGGTGACATTAGAGTCGAACGTCGATTGTCCAGCTGAGGCCCACTGAGATCCATACAAATATTACATCCAGTACATTATACACTACATACAGTAGGAACAATGTCACACTCTTGTATGACATTGTTTTTAGGTTTTGTGTATGTTGCGTTTTTTATTTTACTATGAAATTGCCATAGATAAAAATATAAGCATCCTACTTAAAAAAGTGACTGTACTGACTGTACTATACTTACCACTCCAATCTCGAAGACTGCATGGGGTTATGTATATATGCAGTATTTTCATTAAGTTGTATGTAGTGTATAATGTACTGTATGTAATATTTGACACAAATCAACCATTGCTACCTTTTTGTCATGTACATGATTCCGATCGTCGGACTGGTTACAGCTTTTGGCGCAGTTTTGCCGCTTTCTCCGGGACCGCCAGATAATGTTGGAAGCCGGATAATCGCTTGCCGGATAATTAATCGATGATCAACTGTATTTGCCAATGCAATAACTTAGCATTTGGCCCGCATGCCTCGAGTTCACAATGGACAATGTATAACGTACTGAACTGGCACAGCAATGTATAGCGCGTCACTGCAAGGTAAGTTTTTAGTATAACTTTCTTTCAGTACTCGTGGTCAGTGCTTATATTCTGGTAGGTACTGTGGTAACTATTTTTTGTGCGCGTGTACGTTGAGTTAAGTTTCCGTCACAGTTGTACAATTCCCCAATAGGCATGCATTTGTGGCAAAACACATCTTGCTGTGTGATTTGAAAATGACATGGAAAAGTGTCAGAGCAATTAGTATCGCATTCAGTTTCAAGCAAATTTGCTTTACTTGTTTTTTAAATACTGTAATGGATAGCTAAAATGATACCATGTGTTAATGATAAAATGTTGGGATTTCAACTGAAAAGTGCATAACACCGCAGCAGGAGATTTTGTTCATATGTATTTCTTGTGATAAAGGTAGCAGAGGGCTATTCAGAAGATGGTTTAACGAGCAATGTTTTGCAAGTATACAATGACAGTGCACTGGCAAATGGTATTTGGTGGCATTAGATACTGATTAGACTTTAGTAGTTTTTTGCAACCTTTTACATAACGTGTTTATTAACACGTTCCTTCGGAGTGGGCAGGTAGGAACTTGGTTGGACAGCGCATTCGTGCACGACAGACAAATATGCACGACAGACAGACAAATAATCCCTGGTGGGCAGTGTGGAACCTGTTGTTCCTACCTGTATTAGTGTTTTGCACCCCGAGGACTGAAAACTGGAACACTTATCCTCCTGCTGCAGGTTACACACACTCTGGCATTCCACAACTGTCTAAAAGTATAATTGAAAGCAAAATTATCCATAAAATTAGCTGATTAGGCTACAGCAGCACTGAGTTGTTGGGGAATGTTGAGACTTCATTGGGTTTCGAGGTGCGTCGCTCCATCTGCGTGCGTTTTCCTGTGACGCTTTGGAGGAGGGTCCTCTTTACCCTTGGCCTTCTCCTTAGCCTCCTGCTTCGATGGGGCGAGCTCGTCAACTGGCGTTGTGATGCGGCGCGTTTTGGTTGTCCCCAACCTTGGTTTTCTCGTTAGCGTCCTGCACGAACAGAGCAAACTGGCGGAAGGCGCCCTGACCTCCACTGAGGGTGCTTTGGAAACGAGCATAAGACTTGGCCAAGTCGCTCACCGCAGACAACGGCACCCCGCTCAGCCCGGCCTTCTGCAGGCAGCCTGCATCCGAGCTGTCATAGCCTGAGTTTGGTATCAGAAGCAGAAAAGCAAAGGGGGTTAGATTAATATCTGCCAGCAAAAGTGTTGAGAGGATAACTTTTGAAAGAGAAGTTCATTACAAAAGATTCAACTGTGTACAATGGTAACAATCGGACTGTAATTGTCCTTTTAAGTATTTTGAGGGTCCTGCAATGGAATGTTTGGTCAATACCATTAATGAGTGCTTGACACGTGAGAGAAAAAACAGATTCTCCTGAAAAAAAACCCAACACCTGATGTGAACACTCCAAAGTGTTACACTCGGACTCGCAACCCAATTGTGATACTGCCATCATGTGGTCATCTCTCAGTCCTGTCGGTTTGGCTTGGTGGTTACACAAACCTTCGCTATTCACCATGAGCCACCACGTCCAGCTCCATTATGAACAATAATGGGATAAGTTATTCTCGATAACAACTTACAAACTATTTTATTATACTAGATCAGGATCTCCCTGGTATTTTTCTGTACACAGAAGAGTTTTAAAACTATGTCAATGTTGGTAACGGTTCCTTACCAAAGTAGGCAACTTGCTCCCAGCCGAGGCCAAGCTTCACTCTCCACGAGTTCAGCTGGGAGAGCTTGTCAGCAGTGCCCTGCTTGAGCTTGCAACCAAGCTTCTCTGCGAATTTTGTGTGCACCGTCAGATTAAGGTCCGAGAGAAAACGCACCTGAGGAGAAAGACAGTGACAAGCAAATAAAAAATGGGTAGCTCACTCCTCCCGAAGTCTTGTCATGTGACACTGTCAAGGGCAGCGAGGTGCCTGTATGAACCAACACAGCAAGTAGGTTGTCGAGCAATCCATAGCAAATTTGCATTTCATAACCTGGAAAGTATACATTTATCTGGGCATTCACTTTTCCTCTCGCACGTAACAATACCCAGGTGTAATAATATTCATTAGATATTGAGCGTTAGTTTTTGTTTTAAATAAGTGTCATTGATGCGATGAGCCTGGCGCCCGTCCCCATACCTCCACGCCCTTCCCCTGCAGGGTTCTGATAGCCGCCATGTCGCTCGCGCAGAAGGTGCTGTGCTCCTCCCCCGACGACGACACCCGCAGGTGGTCGTCAGTTAAGCAGCCGTCGATCGCGCTCACCACCAGCTGTATCCCTGCGGCCTGCTGCTCCCCACAGTACCCGTAGCTGCCGCGCACATCACATCAAACGGTTGTATAAACCCCACCGGTTTAACACGCGGATCACGATGTCCGCGGCGGAGCTGCCGAGCAAAAAATTGTTCAGATGTTGACGAGCAGGGATAATGAAGGTTCTGCGTTGGCAGTGCGGCGCAAGTACAAACCAAATATATACGAGCAGGCTAATGTCCGTTTTAAGGCGGGTGCTTCATACACCGTGTGACACACAGGGACAGCTTCCACTGGGGGTACCCTTGGCTAAACTACAGCAGGGCACTGGAATGGTTGAGATGAGAAATGATGGTAGGCGCTTTGTGTTGTTTAAGCATGGTTTGAATACCAGGATGTCAAGAGTAAAAAAAACACTTAAGATTAAGCAACACAAATGATGAAAACAACAAACGCTACAAATGGTTATACTGCCATTTAAATGTAATGTAGCCAATAACATAACCAGCTCTAATGTAGCTATGATTTATTGCAACTGACTAAGCAAAGAGTAGCCAAGGGTGGTTTGGAAGATGTGGCTCTTCAGAGAGAACCTTAATTGGAAGTGAGACTTTGCAGTACAGTTTGTCAGGGGGAAAACAAAATAGAATGTAAGGCTAGCAAAAGATGAACAATTGCTAACTCAAGGGTGGTTAAAGTTGGGATAGATGAGGAAGCAGTGAAAGCTGGACAGGATAATTCAGTAGTAGGATGGAGCATGTATGTTGAACTTCTTTAGCACTGTACCGAGCCAACCATGCTAATCCGAGGTGCGGGGTAAGGACAACAAACAAAATACAGCTCTAAAGAAATTAGTTTTCAATCTAGATCATGTCAGACAAAACGTATCCATGTGTTCATATGGGCTACCTTACCAAAGAACACGCTGCTCGGCGATGGGCCAGTCAATGTCGATGTCAATGTCCACGCTGTGCTCTGCCTTCATCTCATAGTAGCCAACCTTGCCGTGCTGCAGAGATGGAGGGGTTAAAATATCAGTATGCGCAGATGCAGTAAAAGCCCCGTGCATTGTAATGCAGTGCATTTTATCACTGGTGGAGTCGGTAGAAACTATTGTGTGAAATAACCACATGTAGGATTGTAGCACAGTAAGTATGCTGATAGGCTTATGTGTATGAATTGTATCCCGTGATATATGAACCAGTCCCGGACACCATCCCCCCCACCAAACTCCCCAGAAAAAACTCCCTCCAACAACCCACACTGACCAGTGTAGTGAATTATGGTCAAAGATTGCCCGCGACCCACACGGTATGGCAAGGCCTTTATCCAGCGGACATACAGAGTCCACAGCGTGCTTTTATATGTCGACTTAACTCATTATAAAGCACTGCAGGCTCAGGATGATTGGTAGGCGTTCACCTGCAAGTAGCCGTCCTCTATGATTTTCCGTGTGGCGAGATAGATGGAGCCATTCTCACACAGCTCCCCGCTCCAGTCCTGGCGCCGCAGCCTTTTGGCGGGGTTGTGCCCCAAGGGAACCGTCACCTCCCCTTCTGCTCACACAGCGGAGAGGAATTAAGACATCGCTGAGCCAGTGCAAACCTCTATTATTAAGCACTGCGGAGGTTTTCGCAGTTGCGCTGTGTTGCTCTCAAATGCGTTTTCGAGTTTGTGCCGAGTGTTATTCGACGTGCTGTCCGACGTGAAGCCATTAAGCAACGGCGTAGTGGCTTGGATATTCATCACAGAGTCCAGCTCCGATTAGTACGGTTGGCTACGTACTGTGCGAAAGAAGTTTAAAATACATACATGTTGCTCCATGCACCGGGAGCTTCTTCAAGAACAGACGCTCCCAGCACGTGGAGCAAAATGTAGGACATGACGCAGAAAAATACGTGGTATAATCCGCAAACACATCAGGGCGCTATCGTTACAAAACATCAGACGTCTAGCAATTCACCCTCCACCCCCAGGGATCTATGAATTGTCACAACTGAGACTGAAAATTCAATTCAGGAATCAATCATTTTTCTTATCCCGTGGCGAATTTAGTGGCAGCTTGGTTTCACGAGAACCCATTAAATTCAACAAATCGAAAAACATTTATTCTTACTCACGCCATTCGATGTATTGTAAGCTTAGGGACTGATGTTACGCCTACACCTTTAACATCTTATTTTATTGTGGTCCCGCTAAACCTGTAAATTAATATTATCCGACTTAATGCCTTGCTGACGCTGATGAGTCGGCATGTGCAGGCAGCCCACTCATGGCGAATCGAAACCATTCCTGTCTCTGCCAAGTCTGTCTGGTTTGGGAAATGTGAAGCCCAGATCCAACCCATCTTCCTCAATATTGTCCAATCATTTTTTCTGTTGGTGACCTCTAGTCATTGCTCCACTGTTGCTATAGGAGGATGCTTTGCAATCTCTCTTTGTACATCTAATGTCTTTATTCCCAGCTCTTTTTCATTATCAGTATTTTCATCTCCTGTCTCTCCTTGATATTCCCATCATATATTTATCAGTATAGCCATAATGAATATGAAAGTCAGACTAATTTCAAATGAATATTGGATATTTAGAATGTGATTATTTGTCTCGACTCTCATCAAGACTGATCAATTGTTACAATTGGGGGTCACAATTTAATTCAGAAATCACTTTTTTAAAAATCTAAATTCCTATAACATTTGTATTTTTCTGGCTTGTTGTATCTCATTATCTCCATTGACCTAAATTGAGCATTTGGTAAATAAGTGTAAAAGTGTAACGAGTTTACTCTTAGAAATATAATTGGATGCATGTTACAGAAGCATACAAATCAAATCGAAACACAAATCGTTGGCTATTGAACAAAGACTAAGGTTGCAAGAAAATGTAAGAAAATCAGTTACATTCATAAAAATGTCCAAAGACATTGATATCTAGTGTTCCAAAAAAGTGGTTACCAATATATTGCAAAAAAGCTTTTCCATTCAGTCGTAAGATGGAGACGCACCTTCAATTAGCATGGTTGACTGTGTATGGTGTGAAAGAAGTTCAACATACATACAAAAAGCTAATTGCTATTAAGTTAAATTGCTGCTGAGCCTCCGAGAGGCTTCACCTTTGATGTTGACCTCCTGCCAGCGAAAGTGATGTCGCCGCACAACTGAGAAGATTGAGTCGTATTGTCCACTGCGGAACATGCTGATCACCTCCTGCAGGTGCTCAGGGTGAAGGCAAGGCGAAGTGGCTTGGATATTCATCACCGAATCCACTTCTAGGGAATCAAAAACACACACACGTCATATCTAGTCTTAGAGTTGAGTGGCGTAACTATTGAGTGCGTAGGTGGTACAAAAGTGCTGGGACCCACAATCCAGAAAGACCCAGGCACCGGATTACGAAGAGGGACAAATTAATACAGGGGGCCCCATCCATTTAATTCCTTGCACCAGGAACCACGCCAACCATGCTACCCCACTGATAACAGACTGGGTAAGTCAATTTCTCCTTCCAACATTAGGAAACCACTGGAGCTATGCACTTTTAAACCTCGGTTGAAAACAAATTTCTTTACCCCACACCTCCGATTAGCATGGTTGGCTACGTATGGTCCGAAAGAAATTCAACATACATTCTCGAGTACGTAATTATGGCTGACATAACACATATGATGGCTGTAGCCTGTACCACGAAACTGGTGTCTCCTAACTGCTCTTGATGATCACACTACCTACCACACCATGCGCATTGAGAGGCAATGCCATGAGACCTCTCCCCAAAAGTTTCGGGAAAACTTACATTATCTGTGATAAGTATTTGTTTGTTTTTCCAATCAGAGTATGGGACACACACAGTGGAAACCACTCACCGTCATGGTGTTTCAGAAACTCCTGAATAGTCTCCAAGGATGAGGTGGAATCCTTGGACACTTCGGGGGATCTCCGGTGGACTTTGGCTCCAAATTTCTTCGCCACTCGCTCAATGTCGTCATTGTCAGTCGAAACCCAAATGCTGTTGAGTCACAACATTTAAGACCTTTAAAACTAAAGTGTGCTCTTATCCACCACTGTTTACTTTGTGGGATTAATCAGACAACTGCAGATCAAGCAAATACATCTTACCACGATTAAGCCCACAGTTAAGTCTCGATTATCCCTAGTGGGCGGATCATCCGGGTTGCGGATTGGCCGTGATTGATTAAAAAAAAACCTAAAGCATTGCTACACAAGCCCCGGGTTTATTAGATGCTCATCACCCGTTGGGGGTTCTGTGCTCACGTGGCCACAACTCGACGAGTCAACCGATTCACTTTAAAAAACAATTAAAACAAATTCTACGTCTTCATTCCCATTCCACGTAGGCTAACAATAATTAGTTTACACCCCACTTTAAGCACATTTTGTAGAACCCGAGTTGTTTTTACCAGGCCACTCCTCTTCCCATTACCCTAGATAATCAATAGGCGAATGCTGGTATCAATTATTTTTTTTCTAAGTCTTTCGTATAATCTGAGTGATCTTTGAGCCCAAAATTGATAAGCCTTATCTCAAAGCAGATGAAGGCCTTTATATACTGCAGTGAAAACAGTGCCATTGTAAATGACAGCAAATGCTTGTACATTTGCAACGATGCCTGCTTGAAGTAACCTTTGAATGGTTTATTGCTCAAGTAAATATTTTAAATAGTTGCCGAGAACACGCAAATGGTCAGGAATAGAGCCCCTCAAAGTGGGTGTGACACCTTGAGTGGTAGAACTATAAAACATTTTAAACGAGTTTCCATTCGGCTAGTTATTTTTTGTTCTTAGGGGCCATCCATTTAGTATTTACACAAAAATCTGTCAAAACTTGACCCCCCCCCCCTGCTGCTTCTGAAATACCGTATCACCAGTACAACTACACACTGCATACACATTCATTCACACTCCTGATGTACAATACACATACCCCCACGGATAGACGCGTCAACACACTGACACGTCGCTCACAAGCACACCCCCAGAGTACACAACACAGGGGCCCCACAGTTTACACGCATAACCTTACACACACCACACGCCCCACACATAACCCCCATACACCACACACATACCCCCCCCCATACACCACACACATACCCCCCCCATACACCACACAGATACCCCCCCATACACCCCCCCCATACACCACACACATACCCCCCCATATACCCCCCCCCATACACCACACAGATACCCCCCCATACACCCCCCCCATACACCACACACATACCCCCCCCATACACCACACACATACCCCCCCCATACACCACACATACCCCCCCCCATACACCACACAGATACCCCCCATACACCACACACATACCCCCCCATATACCCCCCCCCCATACACCACACAGATACCCCCCCATACACCCCCCCCATACACCACACACATACCCCCCCCATACACCACACATATACCCCCCCTCGCCCCACACAATCCAAAACGCGTACCCTCCACACATTTCCCAAAGTGCACACCACTCCACAACGCGCAACCATCCCCAGGCCGCCCAACTGCCCCACCAAACAACAACCCCGTCCCCACCACCACCACCCCCGTCACCACCACCACCACCCCCATCACCACCCCCGTCACCACCACCACCCCCGTCACCACCACCGTCACCACCACCACCGTCACCACCACCACCGTCACCACCACCACCGTCACCACCACCACCCCCATCACCACCACAGTCACCACCAGCACCACCACCAGCACCACCGTCACCGCCAGCACCACCACCGTCACCACCACCACCACCCCCGTCACCAGCACCACCACCCCCACCACCGTCGTCACCACCACCGCCACCCCCACCACCGTCGTCACCACCACCACCCACACCACCACCACCACCCCCCGTCACCACCACCACCACCCCCACCACCGTCACCACCACCCCCACCGTCACCACCACCGTCACCACCACCCCCACCGTCACCCCCATCGTCACCACCACCACCACCACCACCCCCCCCCCGTCACCACCACCACCACCGTCACCACCACCACCACCCCCACCACCCCCACCACCACCACCACCACCCCCACCCCCGTCACCTGTCAAACACCGCCGAGTGTTTGGCCGCGCGCAGCACCCAGCCGACGAGCGGCACTCCGGCGAGCGGCTTGATGTTCTTGAGCGGGATCCCCTTGCTGCCTCCCCGCGCCAGCACCAGCGCAGACAGGTGCCCTCCGCTCGGCATCGCCGCTGCTAAGTAGTTGCCCTCACACCGCGGGGCCGAGCGAGAGACGCGAATTTTTGTTGTTTTCTTGACGGAGCAGCCGCGGAGCGCTCCGCTCCACCGGTGCGATGGAGTTGGGAGTGTGTCGATTCGGCGATTCGCACGAATCGTTTGTGTCGATTTTAGAAGAATCGAAAGCTTCGATTAGAGGTTGTTGGGGTGTGTTTTTTTCTCTTCTGTGCGCGAGAGAATTGTTTCTAGGCCGGCGAATCGTGGGAGGATCGGTGCGGGCAATTCAATCTCGACAGGGTATAAGTGTTTCTATACAAGCGAGATAACGTTAATCGATTCTTAAATCGAATTGGTGGAGCCGCAGATCGGGAATCGATCCGCCGAAGGTGCAAACGTGGAGGCGGGCGAGGCCGCGACGGCGATGACGTCATCTCCACAAGCCGAGTTTGTATTTCCCAGAGCATACAAGCACCGACACAAGCCATCTCATTTCTGATTGGCCAATACTCGCCCGGAGAGGGCGTGTCCTTCAAAAGTTTTGACCAATTGAGGAGCGCCGTCGCTTATCAACACTGCGGAATACAATCGTGAGTCACGAGTGTTGCGAAATGTGAACCCCCCACCGTGTCAAGCGGCTGCGAATGTTGACTTAGTGGGGGGGGGGGGGTCCGTATTTCGCAACGTTCTCATGCGCAACGTGTTCAAGTTCAAGTTCATTTATTAGGTATAGCCCTGTGAGCCATTCAGCTCTTGAATCGGGTGCAACCGCAACAAACAAAAAAACATGAACAAAAAACATCTTAAAGTGAATATGTGACTAAGTGCAAACAGAAAATCCAAGAAAAGACAGCAAAAATATTGCAGAAAAAACACCGTACACCATGTGCAGGCACCCGCCTTGCTCACTCCACTGCAGGATGAAAGCCTCCAGACGTGGCGGGCGCCGCGGTGGCCAGATGTCATCTTATATTTATAAAGCGTCTTTATTGAAGGCGCTTTTACAAGGGATATGAGTGGTACAGTGGGGTGGGGGGTGTAGCTTTAGGTCAGGGGTCGGCAACCAAAATAACAAGAAGAGCCATTTCTTTCCAATTCGGTACAAAATTCAGTATTTCAAGAGCCGCAATGCATCTGAGTACATACTGTACATACGTACATATCGTCAAGAAGCAGCCCGTAAAGAGCCGCATGCGGCTCCGGAGCCGTAGGTTGCCGACCCCTGCTTTAGGTGATACGGTGAATCGGGATGGGGTAATGGGGAAGGTGGGTTCAGTGGGTAGGGGCATCACGGTGGGGTCACCTGTATTTTTGTATTCATACTCTTAGGTTTTTTCGGTAAAGTCATGTAGGTGAAAAATAAAATAAATAATTGAAAATAAATCAATAATTTATTATTTCATTTCATTCTTATTTTACCTACGTGACTTTACCGAAAAAAACCTAAGAGTATGAATCATTGCAGTCACGAAAGCTTCAAATCTAGAATGTATATTTGGAGTTTGCGTGTCTCTCATCATCATCATCACGGTGGCTATGAGATGTTAATTACCTCGCCTGGTATACAGGAGGTCCGTGGGGTTCGATCCCGACCCTGACGTCTGCTGGATTTTTGGAGTTTGTGGGGTCTTGACTCCTGTTTTCTAACCACGCGTTTAGACTTTATTGGCTTACTGCTGTACATTTCCATGCTATAAAAGCCACTTAGTTGAGCTATCGTTTGTGGCCAGGTCGACTTCTAAAAAAGAGCTTTATAGCTCCTGGTAAAATAGAAATAAAGTGTTTAGTTTGATTGTGATTCACCACCCTGATCCAGTGTGTGCTGAAGGCGAGGAGCGAATTACAGACACGTGGATCTTGTCGCCACGTGCAACCTGTAGGACCTGTTATTTAAAACTTACAGTGGTCCCACAGACAAGCACTATCCAGGCTCGAGTCTTCTTAGTTTACGAATAATAAATGCACCATATTCTTGGTTCTTTCGGTAAAGTCACGTAGAAGGGAAATAATAAAATAATAAAAGATAAAACTATAAAAAAGGATTGTTTTTTATTTTATATTTTTATTATTATTAAAACAATTAGAGTTTTTTATTGTTTTATATTTTTATTGTTATTAAATAAAATAAATGCACCGTTTACAGGATACGCTTTTAGCATGTATCTGCTCTGAGTTCGTTTCAAATTGTCAAAGTAGTTTCACCTGTTGGCTAACATTAAACATTTTGCTGTACATAATATAGGTGCTGTACTAGTGACGAATTGGCACGTTCTGTTTACGTGACAAACCTGACTAATTAGCTTTTTTATTTACGCTATCTAACCAAAAAAAACTTATATTATGGATGATATCGGTCGCGAAAGCCGACTAAGTGTTAAACTGATTTTGCTGGACATCTGCGAAAAAGAGCTTTATAGCCCATCGGATTCCTCCAGTATAAATACAAATTCTAACACGTAGGCTTTCACGACCAATATCATCCATAATACAGAGGGTTTTTTTGGGGTTAGATCGCGTAATATTTTTAGAATGTATATGCTAACCCAAAAAACCCCTGTATTATGGCTAAATAAAGATTATTGGCACGGAAAATTGAAGCCCCCGCGCATTTACAAATCGCGTTTTTTTTTTAAGGGAGGGGTGCCTGCGGCGCTTTCCGTAGTCGCCGCATAGACACGCGATTGGTTCCGCGTGAGACGACCTCTAAGCCAATCGCGGCGCCGTGCGGCGCTCCACGTGATCCTGCCTCAGCCAATAGGACGCGTTCCGGGGTGCTGGTGGGGGTGGTGCGCGCCCACGTGGTCAGTCCAGAGTGGTCGTTCTGCCATGGAGGCGAGAGGGGAGATGAGCGACGCAAAGACGCGCAGGGGCAAGGCTCCTAAACACAAGATGCCGAGCAGCAAGCGGAGGCACGGGCAGACGTTCAAGAACCCGCACGCGGCGTTCAGAGAAGGTGCGGTGCGCGGCTTCCTCGGCCACGTGGAGGAGGAGGCAGGAGGCGTGAGGTCCGAAACGTCGCCGTCTCTTGCCTCACGTCGGGGCCGGCCGGCCCAGGATCGCGACGTGGTGGGGGGGGGGGATAAAATTAGTAGCAGTTTGTGCCGAGTCAAAATGTACAGCTGTCCTCATTTGTTTTTCCTTGGAACCTTGCTAGTTGAGTAGTTTAAGGCGATTTCCATTCGGTCCCGTAACGACAAAGACGTGAAAACTAAAGTATCAAAGTATGAAAAAATAATAGGTTTTACCCTTTCTGGCAATAAACGTTTTCTGGGAAAGGGTAACCCCTATTTTTTCATACTTTAACAAATTTTGTAGCTGCTCACCCGAGCTATAAATGCTCTCTGATAGTGGCATTGCCCTTGTACTGTTCGCATTTTGGTGTTCTGTAGTCTGACACTGGCCTTAAAGAAGGCTGCTGTCTCTGGTGTTGGGTCAATCCGTTTCAAAGACAAATATCAGAACGTGTTTGTTTACATGTTCACCACAAGTGCCGTATGTGGTTTATGCAGACTTGATTCCTTGCAAAAAGGTTTCTATTAGGTGTTTGAACACCGTAACGCCTGTTTTATTGCCAGAACGGGTAAAACCTATTCTTATACGTTAATAGCGGTAATCGAGTCATTAAATAATGCAAAGCGCTGATTACACAACTTGGGGGTCAACAGTAATCGCCCCTTTTCGGAAACGATAGCAGCTGGCTCGCTGTATCTGAACACGTGCGCTGCTACAACATCTGCAACCCCGTGGCGATGTGGGCGCGTTCTTCGTGAGGTTCCTTTAACACCAGGGGTGTGGGCGAGAGGCATTCGAGCCTGATGTTCTGTAGCGTCTAACATTTATTCAAAGTATTGTTTCATATTTATTTTCGTACTCCCCGCCCCCTATTTAAGCAAGCTCGCCCTACTGCGTTCCGTCGTCATTATGGATAGGATCAGAATCCGTATTAATACTGAAGGAATCCGATAAGCTATGAAGCTCTTATTGTACAGATGTCCAGTTTGGGGTATGTCAGAAAGTTAGAACAATAAACAATACAAACACGATAGGAGTTCACAGTATAGGAAATGTAAGCAAATCACTTTTGTGTAACTTGTTTATTTTACCAGGTAAGGCTCGCTTAGATATAAAGCTCTTTGTTCAGAAGCGACCTGGCCACAATTGATCGCTCAACGAAGTGGCTCATGTTGAAATGTATAGCAGCCCCGCCGGGGGATGAGGAATTTTCACCACTGGCTTTAGGGTCGCCCCCAAACCCCCGCAAATGATCGCGTGAGCAGGGGACTTTGATTTCGAATTAAAACTTTCGTGACTGCAGGGATTCATCTTCTTGGTTCTTTCGGTAAAGTCACGTAGAATGAAATTAATAAAAATAAAACATAATGTAATTCTCACGACGTTTCGGTCACAACGCAAGCAGCCGTCCTCAGGTGAAGAACAGGTCTGTCGAGAAGACAGTCTGAATGTTTCAGATTCTGTCTTCGACAGAATAGGTCTGTCGAGAAGACAGAGTCTGAATGTTTCAGACTGTGTCTTCTCGACAGACCTATTCTTCACCTGAGGACGGCTGCTTGCGTTGTGGCCGAAACGTCGTGAGAATTATTTAATTATGTTTTATTTTTATTTTATTATTTCCATTCTACGTGACTTTACCGAAAGAACCAAGAAGAACAGGGGACTTTGCTTAACGCAACCAAGTGAGAGGCCCAATTGGATGTGTTCCAAGGATCATGATTCACCCGGCATACCTTGAATATGTACAGATTTCGATTTAAAGCTTTCGTGACTGCAGGGATTCATCTTCTTGGTTCTTTCGGTAAAGTCACGTAGAAGGGAAGTAATAAAATAATAAAAATAAAATATAATTCTCACGACGTTTCGGCCACAACGCAAGCAGCCGTCCTCAGGTGAAGACCAGGTCTGTCGGGGAGACAGCGTCTGAAACGTCGTGAGAATTATTTAATTATGTTTTATTTTTATTATTTTATTACTTCCCTTCTACGTGACTTTACCGAAAGAACCAAGATGTACAGATTTGTGGGGAGGACATGAAGATGGCCCAGGACGGGAATGAGAAGCAGACACCACATGAGTGGGGGAATACCAGAAAAAAACTATTGACCAACTGGACCCTGCCAAGCAAATGCAGAATTTCCACCACTGGTTTTGAATCTCATCACTGATCGTTTGAACAGGGATATGCTTTAGCGTGAATTAAACCATAGATAAACCATAGTGGGCTACGAAATTAACCACCTCAATCCTTGCTAAGCTATGTGAAAGACCACTGAGATGAATTATTTCCTGTAATGATACATATTTAATGTGCATTTCGTAACCCCAGGGATTCCATAATGGTTGTGATATTGAGTCTACATATATTTAACTTATGTGTGGACTGCCTACCCCTTGCGTTTTTGAGCATGGAAACACTTCGTTTAGGCATTGGTCATTGTGAATGTGTTGTCCGTTACAAATCCCCAAAAACCTAAGTAAAATCTATTAACCGCTGGGGCATATTTGTTGGGGCCCTAATTGAACATGGGTTATCATAGGTAAATAACTCAATTATTAACTATTAAGCTTCCAACATTGCATAATGAATCTGAAAGTAATGTTCACCAGTGCTCTTGACTTGGAGTACTATTGTGGTCAGACTTCCAGTCAGATGTAACACTTAATAGTAATTATTTCACTAAATAATACAAATGTTATTGTTTCTGACAAGTTTACATTTGTTTGTACTATTTCAAATCTTAATTTCTTCCTACGCTTGATGTGGCCATTTCTCAATTTCTCTCCTATAGATATGATTGCAAAAAAGAAGGAAATTGTTGTGCATAGGTACAAGAAGATGTTGCGAAAAATGGGGCAAGGGCCCTCCCTCCAAGGCCGAGTGACAACACAGCAGGGGCCGAGCCAGAGGGCAGAACAGGGAAAGGGGACAAGGTGGGGCCGGCCGGCCCAGCCATGGATGGAAAGGGCTCAAGCGGGCAAGGGGGCGACACGACAGGCGACCGAGCAGAGCCCATCACCGGAGGTGGAGGCAGACTACCCCGAGCACCTGCGGCATCTGTACGAAGCGGAGGAGAAGGCACTCAGTGTCGCTGAACCAGAGATGACGAGTCGAGTGCGGTAGGCATGAGCAGTGGCGCAAATCTGACTTGATGCTGTCTTGCCAATATCTTTATTAGGAACGCGACGAAGCATCGATTTGTCAATTTAAATATTGTGTATGTGTAGTATAGCATGCTTGCAATTATACGTGTAAGTATTGATTGTATTTTGTTAATTATGTTGAAATGTTATGACAATTTTGGGATGGAGTGAACTAGACTGCACAAATGAGATAAAAAACTGAAAAAATATATAAATGGGACTATAAAAAGCTGAAAAAATATAAATGGTGTTTTAATCATATCATTACACCAAATCGTAACAGTTAATATCACTGAGGATAAATAGTTTTATGCCTAATGTTTGACTCAATTAAACGTAATTTTTTTTTTAAAACATTGACTTAATTATCAGGGTTGCTTGTGATAATACTTTAAACTGGCATTTATATCATTCACATTTGAATTGTTTGTATATAGTTATTTCCAAACAAATTTCTTAGAAGTTAACGAAAATAACTTTTGATGGAAGTTGATGTACAATATTATTTATGTTCTATCTTTCAGAAAAAAGAAACCAAGTTTATATCAGAAAGCCAAACAAGAATATGAGAGAATAAATACAGAAAAAGCTAACAAAGCAGAGGTAAGATTATTGCATGAATTTTACACGAATGCAACAAATAGCAACTGTGATTTACACCATTGGAACCTCCTTTGCCAGTAGCAAAATATGATAATTGTTTTTTACCCTTTTATCTGGCAACAAAACTGACACCGTTTTTTAGTTTGCATTCCGACCGCAGGTATTGTGGTCAATGCTAACATGACTCCTTGTAACATAAAAGGTGTCAGGTTTTGTTGCCAGATAAAAGGGTAAAAAAACAATTATCAACTGATGTTTATTAAGCGACATTAAGCATTATTTAAAGTAAAATGTGTATATGTCAACATGTTTACCATTATGACAGTGAAAGGGTCATTCTGCAACTGTAAATACATTACCTTAAGTAGGTCGCCTCTGTAATTTGAATAAACAAAGCCTGATTCCTTTGCATGAATTAACGCGGTCTTCAGGAAATCCAGCGGCGAAAGGAGGAGAGGGAGAAGGCAATAAAGGAGCACAAGCAGCGCAGGCAGGAGACGTTTCGCATGCTCTCGCAGAAAACCAAGAAGGGGCAGCCAAGGCTGCAGCTGCAAATGGAGCACCTCCTGTCGAAGATCCAGGCAAATCGTGATGCCACTCAATGACCACTGAAGCTTGTCACCGAAGTCATCGACTAAACGACTGATATTTAGCTTAAGTATTCTCTGCCTATATCTGATCGAGGCCAATGTAAAAAGCTTTATTTTTTTTGAGCGTGTAAAATAACCATGAAATGAAATACAATGCAACGACATCTGTATTAGTCGGAATTATATTGTAATTAAATGTAAACATTTAACAGAAACATTTGTGAAATCCACGTGTTTAAATCTGTAAAACCCACCTAGCCTAGTTCATAACAGTAAAACTTGTCTGTAATCGCATTTTTAGGAAAAGGGTTTAAAGCATCAGGTCCTGTGAGAGAACGGATGTTTGCAGAGCTTTAACTAGCATTTCTAATGTGTGAACCCGGTGCAGGAGACAATATTTCTTAGTGTGGTCCAAACAAAGACAATCTAGCTCAGAGGACACGTTGCAGAATAGCATTGCACAGCACAAAATGTGTCAGCCACCAGCATTGTGTTGTAGAAGGAAGTAAAAATTGAGTTTTTGACCTATTTCTGTGGACCTTTGTTCATGTGCTTCCCTTGTAACGTGAGCTATTCATGAATTCTGGACTATTTTCACAATTTGGTATGACATTTTTCTGGTAATTACAACCAGCATCATCAGGCAAGATATCTGAATATTTGGCCGTCTTGGGCCTTAAATAGGAGGTGTGATGTCATCAATGTGCATCCGCAAGATGGCAGAAAGTGATACAAAGTTAATTGTATATGTATTTTTTTATTCGCTCTATTTTTTGGAAATGCAAGAGTTGTGATACAGCATGGGGATGTCATCTTTTTCAACCCTCTGATTTTAGGATTCCTTTTTAATTGTGACCACAATTGACGTAAACCATTGAGGTGCATCTTTAATATTAAGTTTCTGGTGAGGAGTCCCATTATCACATTAAACAAATCAAAACTTGTATATTTGATTGGATGCGTGTATCATGAATGGAAGACGATTCGATGTAATCAGTTAATGATTACGTGTCTATTGTAATGCCTCCGAAGCTTCTTTCAAGTTATGCATATTGCACGAGCGCTTTTCAGATTTCTATTTCTCACAGTTCCTTTTACATGTATAAAACATTGGTTGAATAGACTACATAATGTATTGCTTCGCGATGTTGATATTTGTTTGGAAACTTTTTTCAATAAAATGTGGAACTCGACTTTCTCTTTTGTGTCTTATGTCAATTGTGTTATCGGTGTCTTGTGAAAACCCACTCATAACTCTCGCAGAGAAGTACTCCCCTTCTGAGAGAACAGTCCCCTGAAGAAGATATCACAGATCTAAAATAAAATTAACCCGTAAAAACAAAGTTTTTCACTATAAATCCTTTATATGCGTGGCGGCTAGAGTCCTCTCGTCCTCTGGCTTGAGATGGCTGCCACCTATAGGTCAGATGATTGCCTGCCACCATTAAGCAATTGGTAATTAAATATTATTTATTTTTTCCTAAAAAGTGTAACATTTTGGAAAAAAAATTTCACGAACATTAATTGTCACGCACAACGAGTCTGTGTGCAAAATGTCAGCTCGATTGGATCACGGGGAGTGGGTTAAAAAACGACCGAAAGATTTGCACGGTCGTAAGCGCGCAAGCAAGTTAACTTAATATAAAGGATTTAATCACGCGACCTCTTTCACACCAGGAGCGTCACTTTACAATGTACCCTACTACAGAGAGCTGCCATTCACAATAGTCAAACCGAAGTTTATTATTCCTAGCACTTGAATTTAGCGCATTAAGTGAAGAGTTAAAATGCATCTTATTTGGGGGGAGTTGTGTATTCACTGGGGACTGGGCTGAGATAACGACCTGTTGAACGGTTAATCACAACTGACTGGATTTCAAATCCACAATCTCAACAGTGCCAGCTCAAGTGTGTTCTCACCTCTTGAGCCCACCTGGCTTTGTTAATTTAGCAAAGAGAAAAAATAATCGTTTTAAAAAATGTCCATGTTGAATATTCCTGCTTCAAGAACTTAACGATTTTAAAGTTTCCACATGAAAAAACGTATATGGGTTTTGTGGACTGCACATGCCAATAAAACACCACGGTGGTAAGGCCGTTGGATGAATTCGTCCAGTATTTTCCACTTGGAGGAAATTAGACTAATTAATTGGAGATGCGCACATTCATAATACAATAGATGCACGTGCCCCTGATTTAGAACCCGATTTGATATGCTGCAGCTTAGCTCGGTGGAAGAGCATCGAGAGAGCCTTGTGTGAGCTCAGTGTTTGTGAATAATGGGAGGGGGAGACCTTGGGACCTTATTGAAAAGGCCCCGTTGCTGGGAAAGTCAATCTCGGCTGTAACCACAACACTGCAGCCCCCTTCCAGAGGGAGGAGGCCGTGCAGAATAGAAGGGTGTAGATTTAGATTTTGTATCTCACTAAAAACGAGTATAGTCGTTACCCTTAAAGTGTTTCTTTAACAGTTTTCCATCAAAATGTTTTAACGTCAACAATTGTGGTGGCACTACTGCTGTTGAACAAACATAACTATCTGGTAAGTTGTGTTAAAGTGGATTAATCACACTGCAATAGACGCTCATTCAATTATTAAAATCACACGGTAGCTGTTCATTAAACTTAGTCACGACTGTCGTGTTAAATCTCAAGTTGTAAAGGAATCCATTCTGAGTAAATGAAGGTACAGTTGTGTATTCGTGCCTGTACCAATATGAAACAACCTAAACTGGAAGTGACGTGTAAACCTGTGAAATAAGCGTTGATGGTGTTTATTTGTTTATGACATTCATCATGCAGTTACAACGTATCCGTGGGTGTTATTAAGCACACGTGTTGGTCGTGTACAAGTTACAAATGAACCACCATCAACTTCCAGTGGGATCCCGACTAACTATATCCATAAAACCGTGCGAATCGGTCCGTATAATTTTACTGCCCATTACACAACTATTTAGTTTAATCAACAAAAATCTAAATAGGTTAAGGTTTGTTAAATTAACAGTTCACAGTGCTTTTAGTGTACAGTACTGGAGTTTTATTTGTGAAACAAATGTTGAGGGTTGACAGTGATCAATCTGCAGGCACCACCAAATTCGTTTGAGAACCACTGCAAACACGATCCTGTGCTATTATAATTATTATTATGACACACCACTCTGTCATCCACTCTCTGCAACGTGTGATATATGACTGCAGTAGATCATCTCTTGTTTTTAAAAATGATAATCTTGTTTTTTATATTAACTACAGACCCAGAGTGTATGCAGTATATATATGAAAAATACATGCTTGTTCCATTAGCATCGAATCAATTATAGCTCGTTCATATATGTAAAGTGTCCTGCAACGATACAACCAACTCGGCGACAAATCACAGTTGTATTGAAATTTCAAACGCGTGAAGGCTGCGACAGTGGGGGCGGTAAGAATCGATCCCCTTGGCGAGTCGATAAATTGGCCCACGAATTCGTTGTCACCATTTGATCAAGAAACGTTTCATTCGCATTGCGCCGATCTGCAGCATCGTCGCCAGTGGCCGCAGAGGCGACGCGCACCAGGTCAATTCCGCGTGACCCCGTCGAATTATAACAACAAATCACGGGGCCCAACGACTCACATTCTAACACACGCTCTGTGATGTTAATGCACCTGTCGTGATCCTAAGAGTCAAAAACACATTCCTCCTGCGGAGGGAGCTGGTAGGAACGTTGGGTTGCTCGGTCAATGGCCAGGGTTAGGCCTCGGCAAAGTAAGGTAAATTACCTTTATTACCGGGTAAAAGAGTAAAGATTTCGACATGCCAAGGGGTAAGGTAAAGAGTAGGGTAAAGGTAGCTCAGAAGAATTACCCGGTAGGGTAAGGGTAGGGCGAATAATTACCCGGTAAATACAGTACCTTGTTTACCGCTAAAAGTTCCGTGGCGCAGTGACGCAGTCCGTGGCCTCCATTTTAAAGTGATGGCGGAGCACGTGGAGACGGTCCACGTGCTTGAGGTCGAGGTACGAGAGGACGAGGATGCCAGCAACGGCTCTTTTGGGGTTGCTGCGAACAGCAATCGAAAGAGGCAGCGGTATGCGTTCCCGTGGGAGCACACACTCGATTGGATGGAGGGTGATCCACATGCATAGCAAGGGAAGTGGCAGTGCGTGCACTTGCGGCAGTGCGTGCACTGCCGCAAGTGGTTTTCCACCCACACGAACGCGTCGGGGTGGAAAGCCCACCTCAAGAAACACAACGTGCTCGCCCCAGGCAGCGAGGTCGGGACGTCGGCGTCGGCGAGCCGCCTAATACAGCAAATGCTGAGCCGGCCAGCAATCCCGGATCGCCTCCTGGTAAAGTTTGAGAACGCGGTGGTGGATTTTGTTATCCAATGTGCAATCTCTTTGCGAGCCGCCGGCAGCGACAAGTTCAAGACCTTGGTCAACACATTGACGCAGGGATACGAGGGCCCATCGACCCGCACCATCATTCGCAGGATTGTCGAGCATCACGCCATCATGCTGCCCATCGTCGGGGCGTTCTTCTCCAACCTGAACGTCGCCATCTCGCTCACCATCGACGGGTGGTTGAACCGCAACCTGAAGGGATTTTGGATGGTCACGGTGCACTGGATCGACAGCAAATCTGGTGCGTCAAAATCCATGCTGCTGACAATCCTCGATGTGCAGTCCGGAAGGGGTGTCGGCAAGCGCATTGGGGCCGCTCTGTTTGAGCACCTTCCAAAGCCTCGGGCACAATATCTCGACCAAGCTGCTCGCTGTCACCAGCGACAATGGCTCCGATGCGAGCAGTGCTGTCAAGACGTTGTTCGCCCTGGTCAACGTGGATGCCGGATATGAACAGTTGCGGGCTTGCTACCATATTCGATGTGCGGATCATTCCGTCCAGATCGGTGTCGTCCAAGTTCTAAAACTGATCAAGTCAACAAATGCCGAACTGCGCAAGGCGCTCGTCAATATCAGGCGCAGCAAGGTCGTCCGGCAGTCGTACCGCCGCGAGGCCGAGATCGCCAAGCTCGCCAGCAAGGAGCCGACGCACCAGGACTCGCCGACCAGGTGGCATTCGACGTTTGACATGGGCGACGACGCCATCAAGAAGCGTGTCCCATTGGACATTATCATGGCGCGCTTCCAGGATGTGATCGGTGTCGGTGCTTTATCTGAACTGCAGTGGGCAAACATCGAGGGCGTGACAGCATTCCTGCGAATGCCGCGCCAGGTCATGGCCTCGTTGTCGGCGGACCACAATTCGACATTGGATCTCGTGCCGGTGACGATGGAGCACCTCGTCCGTCATTGCGATCACGGTGAAGCCGCCCTTAGAGCGATCGATGAGCCCTTGACTGCGACGGGGATGAAGGCCGAACTGGTGCGGTACCGCCACCTACTGGTTCAGGAACCCGCCATTGTGGCATCCTACATGAATCCACAGCTGTCGAAAACGACAGACCAAGACGAGCTGGCTACACGGAAGGCCACAATCCGCTTTGTCCTGCAGCATCGCTACTCGGACGTGCTCACGATCTCGCCGAAGGCAGTTGCTGCCCATATGGAGGAGCGGTCGCTGTTCAGCACCCTGTTCAGCAACGTCGGCAACTCCATAGACGACGGCGATGAAGTCGATCGTTTTCTGAGCATGGGCGTCACGACCGCCAGCGCCTTCATTGACGTAATGCAGTGGTGGTTTCTCCGCAAAGAGCTGCTCCCTCTGCCCACTACAAGATGGCCTGCGACTACTTAGGAGCGCCGGCGACGTCAACTCCCTGTGAACGTGCGAATAGCAGAGCCAGGCGGGAGTTCACATGCGTTCGCCAGTCGCTGTCAACGACGCTCTTCATAAAGTCCATGTGCTTGCGCTCATGGATTATGGCCGGCTGCCTGAAGGTTCCGTCTAACTGGGCTGGAGCGGCGCAGGATCTTATTGCCTGTCGTCCGTCCAAGGATGATGGCAATGACGAACTTGATCGGGTTGTTGATGAGATCGCCATTGACCAAGACGACTGGGACGAGGAGGTTATGGAGGACGGTGTCGTCGACAGCCTAAACGCCTGATTTGAGAGTATTCTAAATGAATAAAGCGTCTTCTTGGTTCTTTCGGTAAAGTCACGTAGAATGGAAATAATAAAATAATTACAATAAAACATAATAATATAATTCTCACGACGTTTCGGCCACAACACAAGCAGCCGTCCTCAGGTGAAGACCAGGTCTGTCGGGGAGACAGCGTCTGAATGAAACACCACCACGCTTGGAGCGTATATTTAATCTGGGTTGGAAGGGGGGGAAAGAGCGCCTTGACAAAAGAATTTGCATATCAAGAGGAATTTAGCATATTTATGGGAAATGCAGGTATGTGAATAGTACTATTTATGCCCGTGTATTATGCAGGATTAGCAGCATCAAAGGGAGGGGATATGGGAAATGCAGGTATGTGATTAGTACTACTTATGCCCGTGCATTATGCAGGATTAGCAGCATCAAAGGGAGGGGATATGGGAAATGCAGGTATGTGATTATCACTACTTATGCCCGTGCATTATGCAGGATTAGCAGCATCAAAGGGAGGACATATGGGAAATGCAGGTATGTGATTAGTACTACTTATGCCCGTGCATTATGCAGGATTAGCAGCATCAAAGGGAGGACGTATGGGAAATGCAGGTATGTGATTAGTACTACTTATGCCCGTGCATTATGCAGGATTAGCAGCATCAAAAGGAGGGGATATGGGAAATACAGGTATGTGATTAGTACTACTTATGCCCGTGCATTATGCAGGATTAGCAGCATCAAAGGGAGGGGATATGGGAAATGCAGGTATGTGATTAGTACTAGTTATGCCCGTGCATTATGCAGGGAGGGGATAGGGGTAGCAAGCGAACTTAATATAAAGGATTTAAAAAGAGTCACGTTGACAAAAGACAAATGGTTCACTATTATAGCTCACCGGTGTATTGAGAGTGAATCCACAACATTTAACATGTTTGAGTAGTACGACGTTTCGCTGGTAATTCCATCCAGCATCATCGGGCAATTTGCTAGAATAGTGAAGCCCTCCACCTGCTCCCAGTCTTAAATAGAGCAGCAGGGTGACGTCATCATTTAACTCAGGGTTCATAACTCCTTTTAGGAGTCCCAATTCCAGCGCAGTGCAATTATAATAATATTCTGCACTATATATTAATTTTAATACTAATCACCGTGTTCTATACTCAGGAAAGCCACATTGAGATCTAAACACTTTTACTGGTAGGAACCTGGTTACACCAGTCCACAGGGGATTATTGTGTCCGTCGTGCAGGGAGGGGCTGGGTGGGGAGGGTGGGGCTGGGTGGGGAGGGGAGGGCTGGGTTTGGGAGGGGCTGGGTGGGGAGGGTGGGGAGGGGCTGGGTGGGGAGGGTGGGGAGGGACTGGGTGGGGAGGGGCTGGGTGGGGAGGATGGGGCTGGGTGGGGGGTAGGAGGGGTGGGGCTGGGTGGGGAGGGGCTGGTCACCCCGTGGTGCCCTTATAAAACTCAACGTTTAACCTACTCACGCCGGCTTGTGCCCGCCCTCACAGTCGGGCATATTTGCGGAATACACCACGCCGCCGTTGACCCTGGCCATTGACCGAGCAACCCAACGTTCCTACCAGCTCCCTCCGCAGGAATGTGTTTTTCTTTTCCGAAGGGTCCTGCATCGGAATGTTTGGCTCGTTCCGTTGATGAGTGGTTGGCTTCCCCATATTGTTACAGGCTCATGTTCAGGGGTGCCACGGTGGCTAGGAGATGTTAACTACCTCGCCTGGTATGCAGGAGGTCTGAGGGTTCGATCCCGACCCTGACACCTGTATATGGGGATTTTTCGTGTCTCTGTCTCTCTCCGTGGTCGCGTGGATTTTTTTTTTCATTCTCCGGGTCCTCCAGGGTTTTTCCTCCACATTTAGAAACATGCGTTTAGATTATTTTGGCTGCGATACATTGCCACATTGTTAAGCCACTTCGTTGAGCTATCATTTGTGGCCAGGTCGCTTCTGAAAAAGCGGCTAATAGCTCAGTGGGTTTTACTTTATAAAATGAAATATAGTTGAGTTTTTTTGTGTGATTTGCTGACCTTTCCTACACTTTGCACTCATATCGTGTTTTTGTTTTGTCTGTTGCTGTAACGTTCTGACCCGCCCCGAATGGACATCTGTAAAACAAAACAAGAGCTTTATAGCTCATCGGATTCCTCCAGTGAAAAAAAACCATGCTGATTCTAACAATGAGACCACGAGTCAGGCTCTGGCAATGACCGTCGTACAAGTGACAGATCCTCGGTGTGCCGCACTTGGCGTGTCGGTCTCATTTCATCCATGTCCCTCCACGTGGCAGGCGGCGAGGAGATGTCTCTGTCCACGAGGATTCGCGGATACACCGCCTGGACCAACCTGCGCATGGCGGCATCTGGTTGCAATGGTCTCCAACGTGCTCGCTGAAGCTCTTCACTGGGACCAACCTCCGAGCTCTACTCCTGAGTATGGGGTGCAACCCAGAACGTCGGGGAGGCACGACACAGGTTAATGTTAAACTCGAAACGAATGTGAATTGGACACAAATTACTAGTCGTGGCATGGCCCGCATTTGTTTAGCATGCCGCCTTTTGCTCTAGTTTGATGCACATACAAGGTGCTTAAATGTTTTTTTAACACTTCTTTGAATTTGCAACAATACCACAAGAAATGTGCCTTCCGGCCTCTGGAGACCACCTGGAGAAGATTCCAGGCAGCGTGTTGACAATGATGGCGAACAAGTGGAATCTCTTTGACTTTTTGAAGCTATTAACATGACATTTGTTATCATGTTACAGTGTATTTAACCGTTCTTTTTCCAGTAAAAACGATAGTCCCATGTAAGTGTTAACATTGTTTTGAAAGCACATTGTATATAAAGGGGAAAAAAAAACTTCCACTGCTGTTAAATACTGTATCGTCAATATTTGACTTGATTCAAATGTTGAAGGTGGGCTGAGGCCTGAGTTGAGACGTTGCAGGCCCGACTGAAAACTCATTTCTTTAGAACTGATTTTTGTGTTCAGTTTGTTGTCCTTCCCCCACACCTCCAATTAGCACGGTTCACTACGTACGTTGCGAAATAAATTCAACATACATACTATACATGAGAGGCAGCATTCTAGACTCGGATATTAATCGGTGGAGTTGTGGCTTAGTGGTTAGAGCGCTGCTCTGTGAAACCTGCTACTTAAGGTCGTTTCAAGACCACAGCTAACATCAATAGTGAGTGATATTTGAACCGACCTGGGCCCTCTTTAGTCAACTCCAAATGACCAGCGTGGTGAAGAATGGTCATACAATCCCCATGATCGACAGGGCATGGGGAGGCCTCCAATACAGTGGATTTACAAAGGTCTGTTAATTATATTTGTACATAATTATATGCATAACACACAGATGCAAGGCATGCAATAATGCGGTTGTTCACACGGTGTTCACCAACACCATTGACCTCAAGTCTTTTGCCAGGCACTTCAGAAACTCATGAATTAATCAAAAGCATTTGACAGATTAGCCCCTTAGGGCTTAGGGCACGGCAGGGTCCCTTAGATGATATAACACACACAAAACATATACAAATGCGGTTCAATATGAGCAGGTTTTGTGTACTTGCGCTCCCCTGAATCAACTGTGTGGGTGAAGTGATTTTAATGTTGTAAATGTTCGTGTAACCGCAACCTAGTACGAGTAAGAAATCCTGTCTTTCTAGTACATATTTAAATTTTTCGTGGTTACCCAGAAAAGCTTAATTGAGTCCCATGACTTGTTCAGCAGAGTCCTGCCAAGCTAGTTGCAGCAGTAGGCTATGGTTGCCATAAATATATTCCAATTGAGTACTTTATATATATTTCTTGTTGAGGTAACATGTATGCTGTATGTGAAATAATATGACAGAGGCGTCCCAGGACCGGTTCAGACTTTGGATATCACTCGCCAGGAATGAAACCTGGAGTCGTTGGGTTCATAGGATATGAGTGTGTGAACCACTGCACCACCATTCTGCCGGAATTAGACATGACCTTGGTATGATGATATACTGTTACATGCTTCAACGCTGATACACCTGAGTTGGGTAATTTTATTGACAGAATCTCCTTAAACATATACTGTACTGTAGATATTAAGAGTGTATATCATAATGTACATACTTCCAGACCGTTACTCAATCCGCTTCTGAAGGCCAGTACGGCTATTACATTCTTCAGTGAGATGCAGATTATAGCTGTCAGTGAGTGTAAAAGCTGTGCAACATCATCTGAAGCAGGCAGCGAGATTACAGTTTATATTAATCAAGTATGAATGTCTACGTTAGGCCAGTGAATTCAGCTCTATTGAGCCGTATCTGGCAGGAATACTGTTCGCGCATATCAATTGCAATCACTATCTGCTGTAACAACTCTCCAAAAGCCAGGTCTGAGAGACATTCAGTGTTTTTGTTTGATGATTTGCGATGCTAGGAATGGGCAAATCTATTGCTAATCTTTGCCTGCACGAGCTGTACATCTTCAAGTGTCTCCCGTAATATACCTTCATAGTAAATTGGTATCCCGCGTAGCTCTATGGTCTCCAAACTGTATCGGTAGATTTTCCTGACGGCTGGAACTGCTGCTGCAGGCAACTTATCTACCTCATCCCTCCTTGAAGTTTGAATCAAATTTAGAATGGATTCTATCTCACTTCAGTTTTAAACATGGCTGCAAATGATGAGGCACGAGGCCTCCTTTGAGGTCCCATTGGTCCTTACAGAGGCCCCCCATGGATTTGAGGCCACCTGACCCACCCCCATCTTGGCACAGCGAAGGGTTTATGTTTGCCATAATTGTCATTAGCACTGGAGCTATGCATTTTAGAATCTAGATTGAGAACTCATTTCTTTAGAACGTAATTTTGTGTTTAGTTTGTTGTCCTCCCGCCGCACCTCCGATTAGCACGGTCGGCGACGTACGGTGCGAACGAAGTTCAACATACATACATTGCCGTAAAGGAGGTGAAACAATTGTTTTCTGTCACCAAAATCCAAATTGTACGTTGATGTACATTTTTTTAAATAATTGCACCATGGACGACATAATACATCTATTGGACATTTTTTAAAAGTGATTTAACAGTTTGTTTCTGCTTTGTTGTACTATATTTATTTAACCCCAGGTCTCCCTTGAAAGATAAACTTCTGGTCTCAATGAGCCCTTACCTGCCCATAAATAAAGGTCATCTGTGTACAGTATATATCTTGAGGTTGAGCGGTAGACCATTGGTTTGCGCCCTGCGCTGTGAACCTGGCCACCTGAGTTCAACTATTGTCCAGGGCTAACACCGGTGGTGAGACATATCTGAACCATCCAATGGTGCCCCCCTTCACCAATCCGCACTGACCACTATGGTAAAGTATGGTCAAACAACCCCCATGACTGATGTGGCGTGGGGGAGCCTTGATCCAACAGTGTGTTGACATTGGGCTATGTTTTTTTAAATCTAGATCCAGTGGTCAAAATTTTTATGTAGAAGTCCCAGCATGACACCTATTTGTATTGCCGTTTCCCTCTACGTAAACATCGTAGTAGAGGAACAGTTCTTAAAAAGTGCCAATATACATGTTTGGTGTTCTGAGAAGTGTCAGTATGTCGTATACCGACACATGTTAACCACGGTCTATATCTGAATTACTTTCACTTGGCTTAACATTACCGCATGTCTCATGCCCTAGATGAATTAATTACGTGCTGCCCTTACTTGCGTTGTATGTGTGCAGGCCTGGCTGGTCATGCGCCACAGAGGTTGCAGGGCCTGGATGGGCTTACAGAGCAGCAGAAGGAGACGCGGGCCCGTTGGTTTGTGGAGGAACTCAAGCGGGCCGGGGTGGTGGCAGCCGACACTTCGATAGACGCTCGCATGTTTGCCCTGGGCAGCAACGAACATGTGAGCCGTACATTGTTAAACTGTGGTCACATATAGTGGCTTACGTGAGTGTTGCACAGCCGGTTTGATTTGTATGGTAGCCACTTTCGGATTTTGGAATATTTACTTATCTTTTAGAAGAGGAAAAAACAGCTGATGATTTTTGTTTACAAGTTTAACGTGCATTTTCTATTGATAAATTGTATCTGTTGTGGTTTTCGGGATTAAGTTAGATGGCTCTGTGGCTTCAATTTTGGTCCTCATCACCAGCATGCTGTGTAGGCAAGTGCTGTTTGGTTGGGTTTCATTCACTATCCACTCCCGGTCAAAGTAAATTGAGATTAATTTCACCTAAATTCTGAAAAATTACAGTTACTGTTTTCACCTGGACTCCATTAGTACTTTCAAACAAAACGAAGGCCCCATACTAGGATTTGTTTTACCTGTTCAATGCGGTAATAATAACGTGATGTATTTACCAGCAAAATCTCACTGAGTCACAAGACTCTTTTGCAGGAAGATCCTGAATTGGGATATGTGGTCAATTATTTGAAATTATATATTTTTTGCATGTAGGAAGAAATCAAATGAGCTGGAGAAAACCCATGCATATAAGGCAATTAACCTCAAAGGTTCACACAGCTGGGTTCGTGAGCCCATTTTCTTTTATGCCAACCCCTGGCCACATCACAACCAAATTTGTTTGGAAGTTTAACAAATCTACATGGCCCACCAACCCTTGACTCCAAAGTGCTGAATTCCAAGTTCGAGCAAATTCCTCCACCAATGTATCCTTTAAGGGAACACTTTATTGTTTACAAGAATGTGTGTTATTTCAAGGTGTTTTCTACGTGCTGAATGCAGGAAACACGTGTTTTCTTAACTTTCTGTCTTATTAGGTGTTTGACTTGTTTTGGGACCTTGTGGCACGTGACATCTGGTTCACGTGGGAGAGGTCCTGCCACCTGCAGCTCGATGACGATGAGGCACTCTGCTCCATCCCCTTCAAGGTGCTCTCTGCGTTGATGAATTCCTTGGTTTGAAACCAGGCAGCCGCATCTGATAAAAAATGTTACTCTCATATGATGAGCAAATGGTAAAGTGATGCCTTCTAAAGACGGTTACTGCATCGCTCGGTTTTCGGATGCACTTCTGCGGCCCTCTTGAACGCTCTTCCTTCCGATATTAGGAATCCACTGGAGCTATGCACTTTAAAATCTAGATTGAAAACTTTTTTCTTTAGAACTGCTTTTTGTGTTTAGTTTGTCCTTCCCTCGCACCGACAATTAGTGTGGTTGGCTACGTACGGTGGGAAAGAAGTTCAACATCCATACGTACGTAAGTGTGTGGACCAGAAGCAACTTGAAGGGACCTCAGAGGTAGCTCTGTGATGTCTGCTTCCGTGGGCCATTCTCTGTCACGAACGGTCGCGCAGCTATTGCGAGAGATCCGAATGGATACTTCGTCTGACGACATAATGCAGCGCAATCCAGATGAACTTGGTGTCAAATGGCAAAAAGTTAAGCGAAAAATAATTCACGCACAAAACAACAATTACAGCTTCAACAATGTTCATTGGCATTTGAGGGGAGATGCGAATACTCTACGAATTTTAACCTGAACCTTCTTGCCCTATACTGTGGTCTGGAATGCAGTGGACACCCAGAGTCCCTGCTACGAACAGAAGTTTAGGGTCGCTGAGCTCCGGAGAGAGTAATTCTCTCCTGCGAGGCACCTCTGGGTTTGAAAGCCTGCCAGGACATAGCCTGGGCTCTTCCCCTAAAACCTCCTTCAACATCCCTCCAGAGTCTGAGCCATTTCCAGGTAACACCTGCATGCGGCCTGTCGATGAGGCGAACAACACACGATTGCATTGTCAATGAGGCGATTGCATTTGCTTGAATTAAATGTGAATAAAGTACAACGGCGCATATATGACTGTCACATACCCAACCTGATCAATTGACTGCCTGCCCACACAGTGATGTATTAATGCATGTAACTCTCATTTTCTATAGATGTACAAAAATCTAACTTTTCACACGCAGTAAAGTGTTCTTACTCTTGCATACATGTGTTTCCTTCCAAGGCCCAGTGAAGCATTTCCCATGTTTAAAGCAGTCCGTGCGTCACTTTTTGTGCAGCAACCTATTTGTGGTGCATGGTGTAACTGGCATCTTCAGTAGGTGTCCACAAATCTGACCTTTTCACATATCCTCCTGTACATCAGGAACCATTTGGGGGTACCCTCTTACCAAACCCGCATTGACCAGCGTGGTGAAGTATGGTCAAACAGCCCCAGTGACCAACACAGCGTTGGGGAAGACCTTCGTCTGGCAGTGGATTGACAAACAAGCTGGAAATGATCCATTTCCCCAATTGTAAAAATGGGGGTTGTAACCTCGTCAGGTTTCATAGGCGGTGTGGTCTTCTCTGTAGGTCATGAGGAGGCTCAAAGGTACAACACGAAGCTTCCCAAGGGAGGCCGTGAACACTACCCATCACCGGAGAAATGCATCCTCAGCATGGTCAACGCTCACCTTAAGGTGCTTCTCAAACTCGGTCTACAGAGACACGAGACACATTTCACGTAACGTTAAATAATTAGCAGCGTCCAATATAGAGGATATAAAAAAAAATGAAAACCAGACAATGCCTTCTTCATATATTTATCTACCCCCCATGAAACAATAAACCAGTCCAGAGTTTGCTTGTGCTGAATCAATGTTGATGAAATAATACAATGCCAGAAGGCCGTGTGGCCGATTGGTTGTGTAAGATATACTTACATTTGACGTAGGGAGCGGGATATATGAAGGAGCCAATGTCTGCGTATATATTTTGCTATTGATATTCTCCAAAATTATGCTTATGATTATTTAGAGTTACGTAATATATAATTTTGAATCAAGATAGGGCCGATATCTTGCCTGTATCAGCCATTAACATGTGCCATACCTTGACCTGTAACATATGGCAGTTCACCAGGATTGATTCAAGCATGCCTGATTCTCAGTTTCACGTAGAGGTGTGTTGCAAGACATGTCAGTCAAGTATTCATTATGAAATAGAGATTTTTAAAGTTTGCGTATTGGTGAAAACATATGCTCCATTTTCACTTGAGTAATGATGAAGAGCCGACATAGCATAAAGAGAGAACAAGTCGTTTGTATTCATCATTGGTCGATTGTTTCACGAGCTTGATTACATTTGAAGAAACGGCTGATAAAGATCCATATGCTGTATCTTATCGTACACCAGAGCTACCCGATCGTAACAGCTTGACAGTAATTCTTCCTAATTACAGGTCATTCCTCGCATTTATAAATCCCCCAAGTCCCTTGTAATGTTTTAATGGCACAATTTTAGTTTTTTGCTAACAGAGAGCGCCATCGTGTGGCATAATAGCAAAGTGCACAGGATTTTATAGTTTGCGATGAAGGGAAATGTTTAACACGTAGGCTTTCGCGACCAATATCATCCATAATACAGTTTTTTTGGGTTAGATCGCGTAAATATATAAGTGTATGGTTACACCCGCCACCACCCGATACAGCCAATTGCTAAAGTTTGTCACGTAAACTTAACAGGACTTTTCCACAAATCTGGCTGTCACCTGATAAAACTAGTTGCAATTACTGGCGAAACGTCGTACTCAGATTGTAAATGTTGTGGCTTGGCTCTCCAACACACCGGTGTGCTGTACTAGTAACACATTTGCACGTTCTGTTTACGTAACAAACCTTACTAATTGGCTGTGTTGGGTTGTGGCGGGTTTTAACCACACATTTATATATTTACGCGATCTCACCCAAAAAAAAACGCTATTATGGATAAAGGGAAATGTTTCCCAACTAAAAATGTGTTTTTCTGTTCAGCGTCATCTGTGTTGCTACCTTGCTCCCAAGGGGTGTGCTTATACCCAGCTTCTAAGCATTGCGATCTTAATACGGTATCGATAACGAACCAGCAATGTGCAGTATATTAAATCTCGAGGAAGGAAAACAGCGTTCCGCTTGTTGCATACAAACGTATCCCGTCAACCGAGCGAGAATTTAAACCGTAATCACGTGTGCGCGTGTGCTTAGGTGGAGGCAGAGGGTAGGCAGGGGCTGTTGGTCTCTTGTATGGAGGACCTGCTGAACTCTGCAGTGCTCTGTGGCCTGGTCAACATCTTCATCCCTGAGACGCTCCCCACTGAGCTCCTTCCCAATGACCGGTAAGGGAAATATGGGCGCTGGGGTAACTCCACTCATGCGGGTCAGAGAGACTCAAACTAAGTTAGAGCAGTAATGTTTGGCTTCCGCAAAGTGCGAAACTCAAATATTGGGGGCCCCACCTGACCGATTGCCGCACCCTCTGAGCTGATAATGTCGTCACGCCACTGCTCCCCACAAAGCATATACACACATATACTCTAGTAATCTCAAGTCAACGCACGAATCCTGTTTACATTGCATGTGAGTTGTGTGTGTGTATGTGTTTGTGCATGTGGTGCGGAGAGTGGTGGTAGTAGAGTGGTGTTCACAGTGCACCATCAACCTGGTCACCTGAGTTCGATTACTAGCCATAGATAACACCAGTAGCAAGGTTAACCTAGCCTTTAAGAAAATAAAAAAACTATCTCCATTGGCTCCACCCTGGGTGAAAAAAATATATAAACTAAACTAAAAATAAGGGCCTAGTTAAGTATTCACTATTGGCATATCGGTACTGGGGAAATAACGGACACACCACCTTGTCATGTGCCCCAGTACATCTCCTTGCTAGCATCACTCCCCAGCCAAGAGCATGTAGGGATTATTAGGGAGTCTTTGTGGGCTAGTGCTCACTTAAGGGATACTTGCTCCACCAGTCTCTTTGGAGAAATGGGGCACCTGTGTCTTTGTGGTGTGTTACAAAGATGGACGATGAACTTGGCTCTGAGGACAATGGAGGAGATGCTTCACATCTCCACTTCTTTTGCCCCCGAAGACCTGGTCGAGGTGAGACTTCTGGAACTGCAATTGTGCCTCGTAATTGTGTCATAATTACTCTACTCTTAGGCACTAAAGCTGCGACAATCGATTCTCCATCTGTAATGGGAACAAGGTTAAAGGTGCAGCCCTGAAATGGCTCGCTCACGGCACTGATAGTGGATGGCCCTCCACTAGAGGGAGGACTATAGAGCCTTCTCTGGAGGGTATTTTGGCCTAGTCTCCCTCTGGGATTCGTTAAATGTCCAATAATTGAAATGGCCGAGACCTCCAGCAAAATTCTTCATTTAATGTTTTCTCTCTCTCTATACAAACGTTCACACTTTGTAGAGTGTGTGGTGTTCACAATGTTCAGTTAAGGAATATATGGCTGAATATGAATTATCAACATATGACCTCATATAATAATGCATTACTTTTAAAACCCCAGTTATTATGGTTGGTTCATAACATGTTTACACCATCACATATGCATGCAACATTATTCCTTATTCCTTAACAAGGGCAATCTGGGTAACATGAAGACAATTGATGCACACACAGTGTTGACAGCAGGTTTTATCCGCAAGCCATTTGACTGATCGCTTGGGGTGAAGTAAAGTGAGGGAACTCAGAGCTCCTAAAAACTGCCTGGCCAGTGTAATGAGAGACCTCGTCACGTCTCAATACAGGATGCCCTCTGCTAGCAGTGCTGTGGGCACTACGGTTGCAACCTGTCCTGGGTTGATAATTGGTCTTTTTACCCTTCTATCTGGCATCAAAACTGACACCTTTTTTACAAGGAGTCATGTTTGCATAGATCACAATACCTGCAGCCATAATGCCAACAAAAAACATAACTCTGATAATATATGCACTGTCCTTGAAGTTGATTGGTCCACACCCGAGACAGCTTTCCTTAGAGCCGAGTCTCACTGTCCTGGGTTTTTCCACGATCATCCTCTATTCGGGGTAGCTGCCGTCCTGGGAAAATTGTTGAAGTCTTCCTGGGACGTGATGTTTCAGTTGTGCAATAAACGCATCACTCGAGACAACACAATTACACAGGATGTAATTCTCCACTCCATTGGTATTGAGATATCTTTCTTACACTGTTACGCCCCAATATTAACCTCGCTGCGTTTTACCTTGGGGCTGACTCTCCATTCCGCTGTCACAGGCTGACCCTGAGGCCGTGTGCGCTTACTTCTGCTTCCTCTTCATGGGCGGGTACAGGCTGAGGCAGAACGTGGCCGTGGCCCGCCGCAAGGTGAGCGTCTCATTACGGAGGCCCCCGTGTCTCGCCGCTGTCTATCACTGCTCTCACCGGACCGCAATGTTCCTCCGAGCGAAATCAGCCGTGCATATCAACAGGTGTATGCGTGCGAAAATAGCCCCGTCAATCCTCCCCACACCGTGATGGTTCTTCTTCTTGGTTCTTTCGGTAAAGTCACGTAGAATTGAAATAATAAATAAATAATAAATAAAATATTAAATAAACAAATTAACATAAAACAGAATAAAATAATTCTCTAGTGAGAATTATTTTATTATGTTTTATTTTTATTATTTTTTTATTTCAATTCTACGTGACTTTACCGAAAGAACCAAGAAGATGAATCCCTGCAGTCACGAAAGCTTTAAATCGAAATTTAACCGTGATGTTTGTCAGGGTGATTTGACCATACTTCGCCACGCTGGTCAGTGCGGGTTGGTGAAGGCAGGGATAATAGACATTGGAGCACGGGTAGATACAACGGATATTGTTGCACTGCCCTCTACTGACAACTTGCATTTTCTGTTTGCACTTAGTCACATTAACTTTAAGATGTTTTCTTGTTCATGTTTCTACTTTTTGTTTGTTGCGGTTGCACCCGATTCAAGAGCCGAATGGCTCACAGGGCTATACCTAATAAATGAACTTGAACTTGAACCCCGCAGACGCACACACACAATCATGTACCCACAAACACATTCCTCCTGCGGAGGGAGCTGGTAGGACACGTTGGGTTGCTCGGTCAATGGCCAGGGTCAACGGCGGCGTGGTGTATTCCGCAAATACAGTATGCCCGACTGTGAGAGCGGGCACAAGCCGGCGTGAGAAGGTTAAACGTTGAGTTTTATAAGGGCACCACGGGGTGACCAGCCCCTCCCTCCCCACCCAGCCCCACCCCTCCCACCCCCCACCCAGCCCCACCCTCCCCACCCAGCCCCTCCCCTCCCCACCCTCCTCACCAGCCCCTCCCCACCCAGCCCCTCCCCACCCAGCCCCTCCCCACCCTTCCCTCCCCACCCAGCCCTCCCCACCTCCCCAACCAGCCCCACCCCTCCCCAACCAGCCCCACCCCTCCCCACCCTCCCTCCCCACCCTCCTCACCCTCCCCACCCCCCTCTCCACCCAGCCACACCCTACCATTTTTGGATGCACGACGGACGGACACAATAATCCGCTGTGGACTGGTGGAACCAGGAGGTTCCTACCAGTGTAAAGTACATGTATGTAGACACGTACGTGAACATACACACAAAGATAAATATCGCCCATATAGTTCCATGCACAGTGCTGGGGCAAGTGCTCTCAGAGAGCCCCTATTAAAGCTGGCACGGCACACGAGGGGGTGGTGTGCCCAACCCCACGCCCTGGCCAATTTTGTCTCCCCAGTACATACGTACACACAATACACAGACATAACACTTCCTCGCTGTTACAATAAGTAGTCTTCACGGTCGAGTAAAAAAAACAAACAGGTAAGGGGCCGTCCATAAATGACGTCACGCACCTGGGGGGGGGGGCGGGGTCAGACATTTGTGACGATGTGTGACGAGGGGGAGGGGGGGGTTTGAGAAATGTGACGTCACATCAAAATGCGCAACTTTAAATACAGACAACACGTTCTACTTATTTAAATAGACTTTTAATAAATGTTTTCTCCTACAACATCAAAGTGCAGCGCCACATTAAATACGCACTACAATGACAATAGTTTAAAGCGATTTGAAGCATGTTTTTTTTGGGGGGGGGGGCAGAGCTTTGTGCTTTGTGACGTCATATTTGAGGGGGGGGGGTCTGACTTTTTGTGACGCCGCGTGACGATAAGGGGGGGGGGGGTCAAAAACCTGTGAAGGTTTCCTGTCTTGGTTGGGAAGTTGGGACTGCGATCTGGGATGTGTAGTCGTCGCCCTCGTAGACTCTTTTCTTCGTGTTTGTATGTTTGTGCTTTTTGATTTGGTGGCATTACTTAATTTGTGTATTCATTTTTGTTTTTCCTTGGTAGTAGCCAGTAGGGTTGGTCTTCTTTTGCGCCGTGCGTATCTAACCGTGTGTATGGGATTTGGTCATTATATATTTCGCTGTTTTTTTTTGCCCGTCCAAGGACTGGTGTATATTGCAGTAAAAATGAAAAATTCAATAGAAAAATTGTTGAGCTCATGATTATTAATGAGGGGGGGGGGGGGTTGCCCCATGTGGAGTGACGTCACCCGCTCATGATTATTAATGAGGGGGGTTGCCCCATGTGGAGTGACGTCACCCGCTCATGATTATTAATGAGGGGGGGTTGCCCCATGTGGAGTGACGTCACCCGCTCATGATTATTAATGAGGGGGTTGCCCCATGTGGAGTGACGTCACCCGCTCATGATTATTAATGAGGGGGGGGGGTTGCCCCATGTGGAGTGACGTCACCCGCTCATGATTATTAATGAGGGGGTTGCCCCATGTGGAGTGACGTCACCCGCTCATGATTATTAATGAGGGGGGTTGCCCCATGTGGAGTGACGTCACCCGCTCATGATTATTAATGAGGGGGGGTTGCCCCATGTGGAGTGACGTCACCCGCTCATGATTATTAATGAGGGGGGGGGGTTGCCCCATGTGGAGTGACGTCACCCGCTCATGATTATTAATGAGGGGGGGGGTTGCCCCATGTGGAGTGACGTCACCCGCTCATGATTATTAATGAGGGGGGTTGCCCCATGTGGAGTGACGTCACCCGCTCATGATTATTAATGAGGGGGGTTGCCCCATGTGGAGTGACGTCACCTGCTCATGATTATTAATGAGGGGGGTTGCCCCATGTGGAGTGACGTCACCCGCTCATGATTATTAATGAGGGGGGTTGCCCCATGTGGAGTGACGTCACCCGCTCATGATTATTAATGAGGGGGGTTGCCCCGTGTGGAGTGACGTCACCCACTCATGATTATTAATGAGGGGGGTTGCCCCATGTGGAGTGACGTCACCCGCTCATGATTATTAATGAGGGGGGTTGCCCCATGTGGAGTGACGTCACCCGCTCATGATTATTAATGAGGGGGGGTTGCCCCATGTGGAGTGACGTCACCCGCTCATGATTATTAATGAGGGGGGTTGCCCCATGTGGAGTGACGTCACCCGCTCATGATTATTAATGAGGGGGGGGGGGGTTGCCCCATGTGGAGTGACGTCACCCGCTCATGATTATTAATGAGGGGGGGTTGCCCCATGTGGAGTGACGTCACCCGCTCATGATTATTAATGAGGGGGGGGGGGGTTGCCCCATGTGGAGTGACGTCACCCGCTCATGATTATTAATGAGGGGGGGGGGGTTGCCCCATGTGGAGTGACGTCACCCGCTCATGATTATTAATGAGGGGGGGGGGGTTGCCCCATGTGGAGTGACGTCACCCGCTCATGATTATTAATGAGGGGGGTTGCCCCATGTAGAGTGACGTCATCCGCTCATGATTATTAATGAGGGGGGTTGCCCCATGTGGAGTGACGTCACCCGCTCATGATTATTAATGAGGGGGGGGGTTGCCCCATGTGGAGTGACGTCACCCGCTCATGATTATTAATGAGGGGGGTTGCCCCATGTGGAGTGACGTCACCCGCTCATGATTATTCATGAGGGGGTTGCCCCATGTGGAGTGACGTCACCCGCTCATGATTATTAATGAGGGGGGGGGGGTTGCCCCATGTGGAGTGACGTCACCCGCTCATGATTATTAATGAGGGGGGGGGTTGCCCCATGTGGAGTGACGTCACCCGCTCATGATTATTAATGAGGGGGGTTGCCCCATGTGGAGTGACGTCACCCGCTCATGATTATTGATGAGGGGGGGGGGGGGTTTACCCCATGTGGAGTGACGTCACCCGCTCATGATTATTAATGAGGGGGGGGTTGCCCCATGTGGAGTGACGTCACCCGCTCATTATTAATGAGGAGGGGGTTGCCCCATGTGGAGTGACGTCACCCGCTCATGATTATTAATGAGGGGGGGGGTTGCCCCATGTGGAGTGACGTCACCCGCTCATGATTATTGATGAGGGGGGTTGCCCCATGTGGAGTGACGTCACCCGCTCATGATTATTGATGAGGGGGGTTGCCCCATGTGGAGTGACGTCACCCGCTCATGATTATTAATGAGGGGGGTTGCCCCATGTGGAGTGACGTCACCCGCTCGTGATTATTGATGAGGGGGGTTGCCCCATGTGGAGTGACGTCACTCACTCATGATTATTAATGAGGGGGGTTGCCCCATGTGGAGTGACGTCACCCGCTCATGATTATTGATGAGGGGGGTTGCCCCATGTGGAGTGACGTCACCCGCTCATGATTATTAATGAGGGGGGTTGCCCCATGTGGAGTGACGTCACCCGCTCATGATTATTAATGAGGGGGGTTGCCCCATGTGGAGTGACGTCACCCGCTCATGATTATTAATGAGAGGGGGGGGGTGCGGCATGTGGAGTGACGTCACCCGTTCATGATTATTAATGAGGGGGGGGGGGTTGCCCCATGTGGAGTGACGTCACCCGCTCATGATTATTAATGAGGGGGGGGGTTGCCCCATGTGGAGTGACGTCACCCGCTCGTGATTATTGATGAGGGGGGGTTGCCCCATGTGGAGTGACGTCACCCGCTCATGATTATTGATGAGGGGGGGGTTGCCCCATGTGGAGTGACGTCACCCGCTCATGATTATTAATGAGGGGGGGGGGTGCGGCATGTGAAGTGACGTCACCCGCTCGTGATTATTAATGAGGGGGGGGGTGCGGCATGTGGAGTGACGTCACCCGCTCATGATTATTAATGAGGGGGGGGTTGCCCCATGTAGAGTGACGTCACCCGCTCATGATTATTAATGAGGGGGGGGGGGGGGTTGCCCCATGTGGAGTGACGTCACCCGCTCATGATTATTAATGAGGGGGGGGGTTGCCCCATGTGGAGTGACGTCACCCGCTCATGATTATTAATGAGGGGGGGGGGTTGCCCCATGTGGAGTGACGTCACCCGCTCGTGATTATTGATGAGGGGGGTTGCCCCATGTGGAGTGACGTCACCCGCTCGTGATTATTAATGAGGGGGGGTTGCCCCATGTGGAGTGACGTCACCCGCTCATGATTATTAATGAGGGGGGGGGGGTTGCCCCATGTGGAGTGACGTCACCCGCTCGTGATTATTAATGAGGGGGGGTTGCCCCATGTGGAGTGACGTCACCCGCTCGTGATTATTAATGAGGGGGGGTTGCCCCATGTGGAGTGACGTCACCCGCTCATGATTATTAATGAGGGGGGTTGCCCCATGTGGAGTGACGTCACCCGCTCATGATTATTAATGAGGGGGGGGGGTTGCCCCATGTGGAGTGACGTCACCCGCTCATGATTATTAATGAGGGGGGGGGGTTGCCCCATGTGGAGTGACGTCACCCGCTCATGATTATTAATGAGGGGGGGGGGTGCGGCATGTGGCGTGACATTGTGCGTCAGTGTAAATTTCCACTTGGACATGAATATTAATGAAGGGGGGGGGGGCTCTTTTGCAGTGACGTCACGCACGGATGTAGCACTGTGCTGCGTAGATAAATTTTTTTTACCGTCACTTTCTATAAAGAAACTTCATATTTGAAGTGACTTTGCGTAATAAATGATTTAACTCAGCTCTACCTTCCTCTGCGTTAGTGTAAAAATGCACCCACTCATGAATATTAATGAGGGGGGGGTGGTGGGCCTCACGTGGAGTGACGTCACGCGGGGGGGTTGGGCCTCATCTGGTGTGACGTCACGCGGGGGGGGTTGGGCCTCATGTGGTGTGACGTCACGCGGGGGGGGGTTGGGCCTCACGTGGTGTGACGTCACGCGGGGGGGGTTGGGCCTCATCTGGTGTGACGTCACGCGGGGGGGGTTGGGCCTCATGTGGTGTGACGTCACGCGGGGGGGGGTTGGGCCTCATGTGGTGTGACGTCACGCGGGGGGGGGTTGGGCCTCATGTGGTGTGACGTCACGCGGGGGGGGGGCTGGGCCTCATGTGGTGTGACGTCACGCGGGGGGGGGTTGGGCCTCATGTGGTGTGACGTCACGCGGGGGGGGGGGTTGGGCCTCATCTGGTGTGACGTCACGCGGGGGGGGTTGGGCCTCATGTGGTGTGACGTCACGCGGGGGGGGTTGGGCCTCATGTGGTGTGACGTCACGCGCGGGACGGACAGACATTTCTGGGTGATTATAGTCGGTCATGAATGTGCAGCGTTGTGGGATGGCTGTTGGCATGAATGACGCAATATAAAATTAAAGTAGCACTATTATTAATCTTGGTTCTTTCGGTAAAGTCACGTAAAGGGAAATAATAAAATAATACAAATATAAAACAATAAAACAATTTAAAAGCACTATGATTGCTATAACCAAAGCCACCATGAGATTATATGAGCTCCCACGTGGAGTGGCATTGTATGCAGCAGAAGGGCTGCGTGCTCACCTTGCATTGTGTGCTCCACGTGTGCTCACACAGGGCTCGCTTGTGCACAAGCTCAGCTACTGCGAGCATCGGCTTGAGTCAGTGCCCGTGCACACCGAGGAGCCGGGTGACCTGCAGAGCAGACTCCAGCTCCTCGCAGAGTCCGGCAAACACCAACGAGGTGACCGACGGTGCTGTTAAATTTCGATTTAAAGCTTTCGTGACTGCAGGGATTCATCTTCTTGGTTCTTTCGGTAAAGTCACGTAGAAGGTAAATAATAAAAGAATAAAAATGAAACATAATGAAATAAAATTCTCACGACGTTTCGGCCACAACGCAAGCAGCCGTCCTCAGGTGCTGTCTCCTGGGTCTCATTGGAACGCTATCTTTCCGACAGCCCTTTTTTTCACCTGAGGACGGCTGCTTGCGTTGTGGCCGAAACGTCGTGAGAATTTTATTTTATTGGTTTATTTTTATTATTTTATTATTTCCCTTCTACGTGACTTTACCGAAAGAACCAAGAAGACAGTGCTGTTGTAAAGGATGGCTCTGGGGGACAATGCCATTGATGGGTTAGTGAATCAGTAATACCCCTTCATGGGCAGGGGTGCAAGGTTAGTGCTGTCTCCTGGGTTAAATCATAATGATTCTCGCTTTCAGACGGTTTTGTGGTCGAAGGGTTTTCATTTTAAAATAAGTCCTTTCTTTGAATCCTACCTTTCACTCTTGCCAAACTTTTTAAAATAATCCTTTGATACTGGCTCTTTCAATATCCGACCTGCTTTCTCTGTTCTGATACACCGTGCAGGCTGAGGTCAAATCCAGCCCCTCTAGTTTGCCCTGCCGCCTCCGATCAGCATGGTGCACTCGTACTCAGCAGCGGTTGCTGTACCCTGCTGTGTTGCTACAGAGCTGGACTGGCTGGAGAGCACCTACCCGACGGGATTGTGCGAGGAGTTGGCGAAGCATGTGAAAACCGTTCAGCGGGACACAAGGAGGATCATTGCCCGCAAAGCAGACATGAGATTTGAGGTCATCACTGTGCCCCGGTACAATGCATCACTTATTAGAAATTCCACATTCATGATGCAATTCGCACCTCCGATAGGCAAGGCTGGCTACGTACGGTGCGAAAGAAGTTCAACATACATGCCGCGCCAACCTGGTGTTTGGCACATCCTGGAGGAGCGTTGGTGGAGCGGTTAGCGCGCTGCGCTACGAACCTGGCGACGCGGGTTCGATTCCCGCTCACGGCGAACACCAGTGACGGTTATCTGAACCGGTCCCGGGCCTCCCCTAGGTCGACTCAGCCACAAATGAGTACCTGGTGCGGTGTGTAAATATCGCCACTGGGGAGACAAAGGCGGCCGGGCGTGGTGCTGGCCACCCCACCCCCTCGTGTGCCGTGCCGGACTTTATAGGTGCTCACTAACAGCACTTGCTCCTACAGTCTGTTAAGGCTATACGGGGGATCTTTGTGCTTCCCATGTTGTGTACGGTAATTGGTATAATAATCATTATAATGTAATGATAATGTGCGGTCCTGTATTGGTGCATTGTAGGATGAAAGCCTCCTCGTAACCGCTCTTCACCACGCTGGTCAGTGCGGGTTGGTGAAGGGGGTGTAAAAGACCGGTTCAGATATATCACTTGCCACTGGTGTTAGCCATGGCTGGGATTTAATTTAGGTCGCCGGGTTTATCCGACACTGCGCTAACCATGGCACCACCGCCTTACCCCTAACAATTGATGACATGGAGTGTCATGACTGATTTAGGAAGGCCCTGCTTGAAATGTTTGGCGAATTCCTTATTTTGTGTATTTTTTCTCTGCTTTACAAAATGTTGTTATGAATTTGAACAGAATAGAAGCGAAATTTATAATAACTTGGCATATAACACTTTCAGTCACAAATCAAAGAAATGTTATACGTTCAGATGACAGCTGGTGAATCCACGGAACCATAGCAATATGACGAGCAGCCTTATGCATGCTCACTTAAAAATCGCATGTTAGCATTGCTTAACCACCAAAAGAGTTATCTTGATTTTCACTACAAGGAATGCTATACTTCTCAAAAGCAGCTTGGCACATAATTAAATGTTAATCAAATATAATGCACCATTTAAGTTTCATTCCAAGTTTCTATTCATTTATCCATTCATTCATTCCACCATTCATTCCTCCATCCAAATGCATAAAGAATTTGGGCAAGCCATCCACTAGCAATGAGTCATTGTTCTCGTTTTAAAACCCAAACACGCGCTCTGGCATTGGTATCGACATGTTCCATTTATACCCCCGCGCAAGTCAGCGTCATGTACTCGTCTCAATTATTAACTCTTTGAGGTTAATGCCGTTATGTCGGCAAATCAATTCCCACGAGTGTAGAGCAATACATGTAAGAGGTACGTGTGCGTGCGTGTTCGCTCTGCAGGGCGATGACGGTGGCTGACCTCTCCTTGACCCTAGCCGTGGACCTATCATCCAGCTTCGGCTTCTGCTGTTGCACCGCCACGGAGAGCTGCCCCCCGGACCGTCGCATAGTCCTCCGCCAAAGAGACACCGGACGATTCTTTGACAGTGTCTCCAAAAACAAGAAACGAGGTGGATTGTTGTAACCGCCGTACGAACACCATGTGCACGTGTACATTATATCCATTGCGTCTGTCATCCCATACCTCAATTGATTTGCGGCAGTGCCTGTTATACGCGGATGGATTTGTGCAATGATTAGCGTTTTTATATATATAGCGATAAAAGGAGTCAACCAGAAGTAATGACAAATCCATTCTATTAGGCACATTTATTCGTGGAAAGAACCTAGGAGTCACCCACAAGTGTTAAAGTCATTCTTAATATCCGCATCTCAAAGTGGACGTACGTGTACAGCTCTTCGTCAATCCACTGCCGGATGAGGGCCTGCCCATGCCGTGCGGGTCATTGGGGTTATTTGTCCACACATCTCCATGCTAGTGAGTGTGGGTTGGTGGAGGAGTGCAAAACAGATGTTCCAGAACACGTAGAGTACACCAGTGGGTTCTTCTGCACTGCACTCTGCTGCCCACATCTAGCCATGGAGCCCATAATACCTGAGTTTAACAAGTAGGCTTTCGCGACCAATATTATTCATAATAAAGGTTTTTGGGTGACCTGTTATGCATGTTCGTCACCCATCCAAGAACTATTTTGGCTCATCTCCCGCTTTTAATTTTCGAGATCTGACAAGATCGGTCACAATCCAGTAGATTTCCCAAAAGCCTGTACAAACATAGTAACACATCGATACACGTGAATTTGTTCCGCGCGTACATGTCGGCAAGTGCTCAGTGTGGTTGGCAAGAAATAATAAGCTTTGGATTTCATTCCATCGAGGATGTGAAAAGATGACACGAAGTGTGTCCTGCGTAAGCCAACGCTTATTGAGAAGCGGCAACTGACTCGGTACATAAGAATTCCACCTTAGTGCATTCGCATGGGGACTGCTTTTGCACTAAGCGTCACTGGCGCCCCTTCCAGACGTAGTTGCTTGTGGACCTGATGGCGCTTGTGAGTGTTCGTGCAGCCTGCGTGCATCCGAGACTTTAGATTAGGACTGTAATGTCTGCTTGGGCCAGCGGCGAGTGATTTGTGAGCAGCCCCGCGCCTCCACACTTAGCGTGAGAGCCGCTGCTCTTATATTAACACTATTGATCCCCGTGCGGACAGGAAATTAAAATTCCACATCTCGTGCTTGGCTCGCAATAACGCCTACAGTACAAACCGTATGCAGAGCGTGGTGAAATCTCATCACAGCAGCGTGGGATGAAAGCTTCTGTTTGAGTGGGATAACATGACGCATATTGCGGAGATCATAACGAAATGCCGATCGAAAGTCTCTGCATGTTTTGAGGAGCCACAACTTTGTGAATCAAAGTAAATATGATGCACGTGTGAGTACATAAAAAAAATCTATAAAATGCACAAAGGCCAACTTGCAGTATCATTCAGCGTTCATAGTGGAACGATATTTATTTTAGATACTTTTATCTATTTAAACAGGTACTATGTGTTGGATGCCGATTATTATTCCTTACATCTAATCTACATTTAAATGTATTTCAAAGCCCATTAAGAAATGAACAACGCACACTTCCATTTTGGGCTGGTAATTCAAATGTCAGGGGTCCTCATTTGACGCAAAGGTTGCCAATACCCGAATGTAACTCTTTTTAGTCACCGAATAGTTAGTGTGGTTCTAAACCATTCACGTCAGCCTTACCGCATAGGCTTTCATGAACGAGCCTCTCGCTATCTCTCGTCGCCTCGTGGAGCCTTGCCGCCCTTCATATATAGCACGTGGAGTGAAGCGTTCATTCTCCGAACAACGCGTGGTTACAACCAGAAAACGCATCGCAGAGCGGTACAGCTCACGCCTTTGATGGGTGCAAATGTGCTCTGGCCGGGACTTGGGCCACATTCACGTCGGTTGTGGGACACCTTGGTGAAGAGCGCTGGCTCGACGCTCCAATTCTAGACAGCGGCAACAAAGTCGTCCTCGGGTTTTTCCCAGCGTCAAGTTCTCCAGTCCTCGGGCAACACACGCAGGATGTTTATATTGAAGACATTAAATGTGACAGTTGTGTATGTATGTTTGTTTGCAACCGTTTTCACAGACCAAACCGGGACACATATCTCAATTATCCGAGGCCTATCACGCAGTATACGTGAATAAAGTAAATAAATAATCCAACCACATCTCGGTACGAATCCATTCCTGCCACCCGAATCTAGATGCCAATTCCCGAATTATCCGGGTCAAACTTGGACAGATGGCAACCCTACAGTCGTGGTTTCACTATCCCGCACCTCCGATTAGCACGGTTGGCTATACTTTTAGTTTTTTCGGTAAAGTCACGTAAGTAAAAAATGAAATTAAAATTAATAAAAGTCCTCTTCTTCCTAGCGTTGTTCCCGCTGTGGCGCAGGGTCTGCTTTTCGGCATTGTCTTCTCCATTTGGCTCGGTCCAGGGCATCTTCAGGGGATGCGTTGACCGTCTTCATGTCTTCCTTTATTCGATCCATCCATCGCTTCTTCGGACGTCCGCGTGGACGGCGGCCCTCTGGCTCAATACGCACGGCAGTCTTGGCCACTGATGACTCTTCCTTCGCATCACATGGCCGTACCACCGAAGCCTTGCCTCAAGCATCTTGTCCGCAATGGGGGCCACACCAAGTCGCTTCCGAACGTCTTCGTTCATGACACGAAGACGTTCGGAGGCAACACAAGTCTCCGTCATCAGGTGGGACCGTCACAGCTAGATTTGCTGTATCAAGACCTTGATACAGCAAGACCTTGATACAGCAAATCTAGCTGTGACGGTCCCACCTGATGACGGAGACTTGTGTTGCCTCCGAAACGTCGTGATTTATTATTATTTTATTTTTATTAATTTTTATTTCATTTTTTACCTACGTGACTTTACCGAAAAAACTAAGAACGGTTGGCTATGTATGGTACGAAAGAAGTTCAACATACATTCATACATCAGAGCCTTCTTTACCAGACCAGCACATACAAGTTCACAGAGATTCCCAGGAGAGCTGATCTGGTCGGTGCTTTGAGCTAACATATAATTACACTTTGCAATTCCCATCAGCAATTGAGCTATTCCAATTATGAATTATGTCAATTCAGCAATTAGGTTTTCCCAGCCACTTGTAATACAAGTGTGGCCTTCCAGGTTAGGGTGCGTGTTGAGAATATCTTCTCTCTGTGCACTATCAAGGGCCTCTTCAGGAGTTGAAGGGTGTGTGGTGACAGCTTGAGAGAAGAAATGCTCAACCCAGAAGATCACACTCCGATATAAATTAAGTCATCCGAAATTCCAAAATAATTGAAGTGGAGATTACTGCCTTCTGAAACTGTCGTCATGATTTGAAGCCCTGTGAGCTGCCGCTGGTCATGAGGCCCCGTCAGCGGATTTTTGTCGTGCTTATAGCGCGAGTTGAAGAGAGAGCTCAGCTTCTCGCCGCCACTGTCCCGCTTGCTGTCCTCTCACTGTCAGTGTTGATTAGGAAGATGCTGAAGCTGCCGCTTTTTGGAGCAGTGGACCTGAACCCTGCACACCACCCACTGGTATGATGTGAGTATCGTTGGCTTGGGAATCATGTGGGGACACACATTTAAGCTCAAGCCCAGTGCTTTATCAAGTGGGATCACTGAGCTGCTTTGTAGATGATGCCTCTTCCTTTTCTCGTATGGTGTCTTGCAGGGATAAAGTAGCAGGTTTTTGGAAAAGCAACAAATGTTATGAATTGATCTCAACGTTCTGTAGCCATTCACTGGCGCTGGTTGTGAGCTGATGGATTGTTTTGGTGCCACCGTTCAATGGGTTTGATGGGCAGCAGTTATGTGATGATGCCTATGCATCGAGTGTATATAAAATATTAAGATCCCCCGTATAGCCTTAACATAATTTTGGGGCTAGTGCGTTTAGCGAGCACCTATGAAGGCTGCCACGGCACACGAGGGGGTGGTTGGCCAACACCATGCCCAGTCGCCTTTGGCTCCCTAGTGGCAATGTATACACACCGTACCAGGTACTCATTTTAGGCTGAGTCCACCTTGGGGAAGCCCAGGACCGTTGAAGATAACTGTCACTGATTTTGGCCATGAGCGGGAATTGAACTCGGGTCGCCGGGTTCGTAGCGCGGGCACGCTGACCACTGCACTACCGCGCTCTCCAATTTCTCTGTGAGCGTATATATGACATCCACACGCTAAGTCAAGTGCTCCAGTACAACGTTGGTACCTGCACGTGAGATATTGCAAAACGCCGATGCTGTCGCGCGCCCCGTGACCCCCAGAGTAGTGCCGTGTGAAGAGGCACTTTGATTTCACAGCCCTCGCCTGCCCCAAGCAAAGTTCTGCGCAGCGGCACCAGTCACACGATGGCAGCAGCGATTAGTGACGGTCACTCCGCCGCTAAGTTGCCGCGCGTGGGCGGCCTACCGGCTGATCCTGCATGGCCCAATGTAGCGTTGTCAGCTTGATGAAAGACCAGCCAGTCGCTTTTCTCACCCACGGGGTCCCAAGTGACATGGCAGCTGGCTATTAACGCGCGTGAAAAATGACCCCGTTGGGTTCACGCTCGCGGTCGTTGCCGCTTTGTGACTGCAAGGGGGCGCCGTGTCAGCCTTGGCAGGCGGATTAACCGGCTGAAATTAAAATCGAAAACTTATTGTATTCCACTGTCTGCATGACAAACGCTGATTAATGTTTTTTTTTTATTCTCGTCATGAAACTTTAATGCTTAGCACACGAAAATGGCATTGTGTGCGCTTGCAAACGTGCGTTTTAAACGTTTAATGTTCAATGTTCGACGTTTTTTTAAGCTTCTTGAACGTCCTTAGATAGTTGTTGGTATCAGTGAAAAAATTATCGAACTGGCTGTGAGCAGTCCGAAGCTGCTGGCACACCACCGTGCCTTCGAACTCAAACGCTCGCCTCTCTGCCCGTGCTCTTGTCAGTGCATTCACGTGAAGGGCCAGACCGATTCAATTCACACACGACTATTTCAAACTGGAGTTTTACAACTATTATTACGAATCCCTCTTTGCCCCAGCATGACAATTGCACAGGTGTTCCATTTTGATACCGCACAGCGGCCGCTGTCAGCCTCAAATGTATGTAATTCACGGCCACAGTCCCTCGTAGGTATATACAGCCTTTTCGATCGGACGTAATTTCTAAACTGCATTCTTGAGTTGTTGTGCAAAGTGGAGAAGACATTTCCGGCAGGAATTATCTGGGCAACGCAGGAAAATATGTTGGTGGCTGTCAACTTGAATGAAGCTCTGCTTTAACGCAAAAGCAGCAGTTGGCATTTTTTTTTCTATTCTTGATGGTTGTACTTACAACAGTTACAATTTTTTTGTAGGCTCAAACCAATTATTTGGGTGCACACTGAAAAATGTCAATATTTATTCACTGCTGGTTGCAGTGTGATTGCCCCCATCAAAACGATGCTTTGTGTGCGACATTGCAACTAGTGCTTACGGTTCGTAAATATTTTACTCAAATAAATAATAGTAACAATAAATTAGTAGGCCTCCCCACACTGCATCGCTCATGGGGGTTATTTGACCATACTTCACCACGCTGGTCATTGTAGGTTGGCAGCAATAGTCCAATATCTAACGTCAAACATTGTACATAAAACAACAAACCACAAATAGGACCTGTATATTGAATATGAATGCTTTGAAGGAAACGAGAGGCTATTTTTTTGTTCTCCACCTTGCATGAATTTTCACCAACATGACTGTGATAGCCTGTAGTTATTTTGGCCGAGAGACATGATGGCATAAAAAAAATAACCCCATGGCAGTTGTATTATTTATTTACCGTATTTATTTTTACGCGAATCGAACAAAACGGGAGTGCAGTGAGCGATCATTAAAATGTATAAATATGGGCGTCCCAGTCAGGGCCCGCCAATTCAGAAGCCAGGATGGTTATTGTTGGCGGTGAGGGTGGGCGATTAAGAAGCAGGGGGGCTAAACAGCAGGAGCCCATCCCTCCGTAGCAATCTCACCAGCGGGCCGTTCTGCTTCGGCGAGTCGTGGGAAGGTTCCCGCGGATAGAACCATTGGCAAAACAAGGGCGGCGCTCGGTCAGCTCCACACAGATGCGTCAACACCTATTATTGATCACAGACTCCTGTAGAGTAAAATGAGTAAAATTTTTTTTTCCTCTCCATTTGGTCGGCTCTCAGGAAGGTCCGATGTGCTGCCGTGTTATTGGAAGGTTCAGGAATTGTGGAAAGTGCGTGGCTGGTGCTGAGGTCGTGCCATTTTCCCTGCGACTTAAAAATCTGAGTTGTTATTTAATGTATTGTAGCATGTATCCGCATTCATAATCAACGTTTTTGGGTTTAGATCGCGTTATTTATAAATGTGTCGTAACCCTCCACCACCCGACACGGCCAATCAGTAAAAAAGTGTCACGTTGACAAAAGACAAATAGTTCAACGCTTTAGCCCAATTACTAGTGAAACGTCGTACTCAAAAATTGTAAATGTTGTGGTTTCACGCTTCAACACACCGGTGGGCTAAAGCAGTGAACTATTTGTCTTTTGTCAACGTGACACTTTTTTACTGATGGGCCTTGTCGGGTGGAGGAGGGTTACGACACATTTATATATAAATAACGCGATCTAAACCCAAAAACGTTGATTATGAATAATATTGGTCGCGAAAGCCTACGTGTTAAACTGTATCCGCATTATCAATGGCTCCGATACATTAAACCTGATTTGATACGTAAGTATCTATTCATGGACTCTTTGTACTTATTAGGGGTGGAATGGATGGATTAATCAATCTTAAGCGCACAATATGTGCATCAATTTGTATGTGTAAGAATCAATGTTTTTATTTATTGGCGTATGTTATATGTAATTGGTTACGTGACCCCTTCAGTAAAAAGAAGTGCTACAATTCACCATTATGTTACAGAAAATATCCATCCTTGAATCAAATCACAGCCCTAAATTGTAATCACTGAAAGAGGGTTTTTTGGCCAAAGTATTCCATTTTCATGATTCATATTCAAGGCAAATGATATTACTTCACACTACTTTAATATCCTATGCATGGTTAACTGACGCTTTACCAAAGCTGGCCAGAGCACTTTAAAATTATGTACTACTCTGTGAGAATGACGATTCAAAGGGGCACTGTAGGAATAAAACAGTCAATACTTTGCTTTGTTAATAGATGGGCCTCGGGGGCATAGCATGATTGGAATGGGCCCTGCTACGAGGACCCCTAATCCACCTTCCTCCCTCTTCGTACCCCGGTACCTGGGCCCTTCCAAGCCAATTGCGCCCCAGGTGCAGTTGCACCGCCTGCATACGATAGCTGTGCTCACATGTCAATACCGTGGAAAAGGGCTCTTTAAATGAAATCTAGGAGTTAATTTGAGTTTGATTGAACTCAATTCCTCACCTCCTGGCATGGCGTTTGTAACAATGGGCACATTTCTTAATTGCCCCCCCTCGCCTCTGTCCACCCAACGAGTATAATGGATACACAACAGTTAGTCGACCGGTATTTATGTATGTTGAACTTCTTTTGCACCATACATAGCTAACGGTAGGTCGTCGTGTGTGGTGGGGTCAAGTGTGTGTGCTCCCACCTTTTACAAGATGTCTGAGCAGCGTGGAGGAGTAGGCCAAATACCCTCTACCGGTGCTCACTGGAGCTTCTTCTCGTGGATGGTGCTTCCGCCAGCATGAGCATGAGCGAGGAATTGCAATGCAGCACCTTTACCTTAACGCATTTCACGTGCTCAAAGTTATGGTCTCGTCAAATTGTGTCTCGTTTCAGATTTACTTTGAGAACACCTCGAAGAGCAAGCGTCTCGGTGCCAACACAAAGTAAGTTTGGGTACATCCGGTCATCTTCTCCAAGCCATTGGGCCGCATGATTGAGGAGCGAGATGTCCTACTTCAATATATTGCTTGTTTTTATTATTATTATACTTATTCAGTGAGGTGAGCCCTGAATTATAAATAATAATATTTATCTTCTTGGTTCTTTCGGTGAAGTCACGTAGAATGGAAATAATAAAATAATAAAAATAAAACATAATAAAATAATTCTCAGAATTCTCAGAATAATGTAAAATAAAACGTAATAAAATAATTCTCAGAATTCTCAGAATTATTTTATTATGTTTTATTTTTATTATTTTATTATTTTCATTCTACGTGACTTTACCGAAAGAACCAAGAAGATGAATCCCTGCAGTCACGAAAGCTTTAAATCGAAATAATAATATTTAATTATCTAACCAGGAAAGCCACAAAGGCTCTCTTTCGGGAGGGTCCTAATTTGGGATGTTCGGCCAATACTCATGAGATTGATGTTAGCTGTGAGAGGAGGCTGGAGCACCTGGACGAAACCCTTGCAGAACAAGGGGAGAACGTATAAACTCCACGCAGAAAGGTGCTCCAGTTGGGAATGTTACCCAGATCCTTGCTGTGAGGCGCAAGTGTTATCACTGTGCCACGGTGGCGAGACGTTAACTACCTCGCCTGGTACGCAAGAGGTCGTGGGTTAGATCCTGACACTTGGATATTTGGAGTTTGCATGTTATCTCCATGGTTACGTGGATTTTTCTCCGGGTTTTCTGGTTTTTACTTATCATGTGTGGCCAGGCCGCTTCTGAAAAAGAGCTATATAGCTCAGTGGTAAAATAAAAACGATTAGTTAAGTTTTCTGTAAAAATACCAGAGGTGTGGACTCGAGTCATGTGACTTGGACTCGAGTCAGACTCGAGTCATGAATTTGATGACTTCAGACTCGACTTGGACTTGCATAACAATGACTTTGTCCCACCTCTGAGGTGTGGACTCGAGTAATGTGACTTGGACTCGAGTCAGACTCGAGTCATGAATTTGATGACTTCAGACTCGACTTGGACTTGCATAACAATGACTTTGTCCCACCTCTGAAAAATACATTGGCTTTTTTTTGTCATTGAGCAAAATTGAACACTGGATCCATCAGCCACATTTGTCCTTGCAGTGAGGTTTATCCAGATGGGGCTTGCACAGCAAAGATTTCTGTGAAATGCGCATGCATTAAAAATGGTAAAATAACACAAAGTGGGACGGCCCCCTGGGAGTTTTTATTGACGGATCGTGGGAGTGAGCTCATGATGCATACCTACCATGGATCGGTACATCTGTCCCCTATCGATCACTCCATTCCCATGGATTCATTCAATCTTTCTTCCTTGGTGGCCTTCATGATTTGCATGCTTGGCAGTGAGTATTTAAGTGCGTGCTGCTATTTGAGACATGCAAGGTACAGTAATGTGATGGCAGCTGCTCCATCAGGCATCAGTATAGGAGAGGGATAATAAACCTGCTACATTTGGATTCCCACTGATAGTTGTTGCTTGAAAGCGAATCACAAACATAAGCTAAACACTTTATTCATATGAATTTAAAACGTGATTGTTGCTGTGTTTCATGGCCTTGTAATTTAAGCAGATGAAGCGATGATTGAAAGAGATGGACTGAGACCAAGGTGTGCAAGAATTGATTCTGTCTAAATTGACCTGGAGGAAGTAAGCACCGGGCACGTGACCCTCTTTTAGTTGTGGGTGTCGAAGCCTACCTTGAGTAGGATTACGATTATTTTTTTCGAAGGGTTCTGCTTATGATGTTTTGCCTATTTAACTTTCAACACTTCTACTTATGGGAGGAAGCTCAACTGTCACGAGCAATGCAATATAATACAAGGAGATAATGCACACATGTATTGTATTTTCATTAACCTACTTGCTATAGTTTTTGTATAGGAACCACATTACCTTGTAGGTCAGTTTCTTGAGTACACTGGCTCCAGCCCAGTGTCATTCACCAACACCCATCCAAGTCACCGGATTTTAGGCATCCACCTTCAAATCTGGCTGAAACATTCCGGTTCGACACACCAATAGGAATATTACATTGAGAGTCAACCGAAGCAAAGCTGAGTGCTGCGGTATTATTGTGTTACTGGAAGGCTTGTTTTGGCAGGTTACTGAATTAATTAATACAATAATCACATATTAAATTAAGTAACTAAGCAGTCAACCAATTAAATAATGTATTGAGTTATTAATTGAGCAATCAATCAAGAAATTAATTGATTACTTCATTACTTTATATATTTTGTTACGTTAAGGTTCATCCCAACTCATTGCTTGCAATGGGCCAGTAGGACTCTCACGTTGTAACTGAACACATTTCGTATGAACAAGACCACAGTCTGGAAGCAAGGTCTCTAAGATTATCCACATCTTTATCTGAGACAATATTACTCGGTGTTTTATGAAACCCTACGTGTAATATCCAGATCTAAATTTGTACTTTCGTTACCCAGTATACCGCTAAGCTAACACAGCCACGTACATTTACATTTTTAACATGACTGTTGATTCAGAGTGACAGATTAATTACCAGAATGAGACCTAAAAAGCCATAGCTGCCAAAACACCGATTTAATTTCACTGTTGAGCGCAGTAAATTTTTAATATTTTTTTTACTCACCAGTACTTTACGTTATGGCCGGCAGTTGAACGTCAGGAGGGGATTGGAAGCGACAGTTGATTTATGAACAACATCTTTTTTTACAAGAAATGCACAAATCTCACTAATTGCCTGCACTCGTACGTATCGCCACCGACTTCTCGATTGTACGCACTGGATTGGTGTAACTAAACAACACGCCGTGTTTGAAGTACATTGATGATTTGGCAGCACATAAAGCCAGGGGGATCACTGGGGGAGCTAGTCTCCCCGCAGTGTATGCCATACGCGTGACTTAACCTTGTACACGGACGCTTGATGGTGAATATTTGGTTATCCAGGGGGCTGCACCATCCTTCTGCACTCCTCAATCTTGACACCTCCTTCCGCCTAGAGATCCCCCCGGTTATGAATGTCTGCTTCAACCACTGGCGTATGTTCTTGGTTCTTTCGGTAAAGTCACGAAGAAGGGAAATAATAAAATAATAAAACATAATAAAATACAATTCTCACGACGTTTCGGCCACAACGCAAGCAGCCTGTCCTCAGGTGAAGAACAGGTCTGTCGGAAAGACAGCATCTGATTTATTTTATTACTTCCCTTCTACGTGACTTTACCGAAAGAACCAAGAAGATGAATCCCTGCAGTCACGAAAGCTTTAAATCGAAATTTCACTATCGTATGCTTTTTATGGCTTGTCTATTTTGGCAGCTAGATTCTCACTGGCAAATGGTAATTTTCACGGAGAATTACAGGGATTACCAGAGTGTACCATCTGCTGTAACTTGGAATTTAGAGGGCCTGTGATATAACTTGCAAGGGCTACTTTCTGATGCTGTGCACTTGACACGGTCCAAACATCTTAAAATGTGAAAGCTCGCAACACAATAAAAGTTGCACACGAAAAAACCGAAATTTTTCTCCCTGGTTTGAGCGAAGGAATCTGAACGAGCCGTCGTGCGGTGAAGTTGAGCGCAACACTTTAAATGATAGCGTACGCTGGCGTCAGCTCTGTAGCACGGGAGGGGGTGGAGGGAGCTGAGGCCCTCCTATTTAAGATTTTAGCCCCCCTTCTGGATTCTAATAGTCACGCTAAGAAAACGCTGCAACAATATTTAACACGACTGGCTGATTTTCATGGAAGTTCGGCAAATTTTTGAGAGCTCGAGCAGAATGTACGACAGATTAAAGCAGACCAAATCGTCGCTGTTTAGCGACTGACATTTATTTAAAGATTGTTTAGCAATGACTATATCACCCCGCCCCCCCCTTCGTGTTTCTAGCGCCCCAGCCTTCACACGAGTTCATGCTGCGGTGTTCTTCCCTTCCTGCCTCCCACTTGCACAAGGTTCCTGTACGAGGTGTTTGTGAGCGACGTGGACTGCGTGGCGGAGAGCGCTGTTGCGCGCCGTGCAGGAGCCCGCGCCGCGTGCCGCCCGCAGCGCCGCCGCATTCCTTCGAGTCGCCCGCCTGCCGCTGCTGGACGCTCGTGACCCATCCAGCGGGGACGCCCCGCTGCACGTCGCCGCCCGCCGAGGACATGTCGTGAGAGGGGGGCGGGCGGGCGGGCGGGCGGGCTTTGCCTCCCCACCCAGACTTTCTCAACCTAGAGCTCTTGATGCACCGAGGCAGCGGTTCTCAGCCCGTGGGTTTGTCAGATCAGAATCTTTTAATTAGACTGGAGGAATCCGATGAGCTATGAAGCTCTTTGTTTTTTTACAGATGTCGAATATGGGCGGGTCAGCAAGTCACTTGATGCAGCAAATCTGGCTGTGACGGTCCCACCTGATGGAGACTTGTGTTGCCTCCGAAACGTCGTGATTTTTATTGTTTTATTTTTATTAATTTCATTTTTTACCTACGTGACTTTACCGAAAGAACTAAGAGTAAGTTACATGCCTTCAGGGAGGGCCCAGACTGCGGAAATGGATACCGTGCAGGAGAAATTTGTAACGTCTGCTGGGAACATCAGCGCCGCATTGTGGCGACAAACCACATTGAAAATCAACATAAAACAATTATATTCTAACCCCGCATTGACTAGAGACATGCTCTGTAATACAATTCTAGAAACCTCAGTTGGATGTTTTGGGTCTGGAGGGTGTGTGTGGGGGAGACGCAAGCAGCAGTGGTCTTGATTGGGAGGCCACTATACTGAAGACTTTAAGAACCACTGCTAGTGCCTTACGCACACACGGAGACTGAAGGACATTGCCAAAGTGCGAATGTGGTGAACAACTGTCCCCTGTTACTTCTTTTCCGGAAATGTCTCTGAAATTCACTCTGGATCTCCCAAAGCTCTTGAGCATATATACAATTTTAACATAATCCTGTAAATGTCACTGTTTTTTCTGTATGATCATTCTGAATATTACTTGGGAACAATCGCTGGCAATCAACACTGGCAATGGTTACCGCACTGATCTCTATTGTAAAACATGTTGGTACCCAATCCTGGGCAAATCGCATTGCGGCTTCCCCTGGTGGGCAACTCGGGTGGCAGGTTCCAATCAGATTATAGACAGAGGTCACATCGTGGACTCGAGGTTTGTGCACTCTGTAGACCAATGCTTGGTTATTTAAACATGCGTATAGGTAAACTCTGTTTTCATTGGTTAGACAGAACATCGTCACTTTACGCCATTGCCTATTACAAGTTGCTATAGTTGCCCATAGTAAATGCATTTCAAGTGATGATTGCTGGCAACAGTTGCCTTAAATTTACCGAAATGTATCATGGCCCAGATGGGAACATCTTTCACATTGTCAGTGGCTTGCAACCTGCCATTTACCTTAATTAAAAATAATAATCGAAGCATCTCCCTATTTAAACTAACATACTTTAATTTATGTCCTTGGACCACTGTTGGATATTCAACATTCCCATGGTGGGAGCCAGCCTTCCTATTCGACAAACACAGATTATGATCTCACAAAGTGGAACTCGCTTCATCGACAATGGAACAAAAATGTAGGGCAGAGTCTATTTTACTCTACACGTTCCCCCCCCCCCCCCCCAAATAATTGTCACCCTCTACACTCGCTCTATTTCACGCACGTGTACATACGCGGCACCCTCTTTCATAACTTAGAAATGCGTGGACACGTTCAAGATGGCACACGGGGTAAAACACGCGTATGCTTCCACGCGACCTGCAGACGTTTATACTCGCCGCAGACGGCGATTACGCTCTTAACAGGATTGCTGTGCGGGCGAAGGTCAAAGTGAGACCTGCCGTGGCTGCGCGCAGGAAATTGCCGAGTGCCTCCTGCAAAATGGGGCCGACGTCGATGCGCGGAACAAGACCCGGGGCACGGCCTTCTCCCTGGCGGTGGAGGCCTCCCACCGCACCCTCGCACAGGTTACAGCTCGTCATGTTTAATTGCCAAACCGCTCGTCAAATGCTCTGTCCGGTGCCACGACTTGTTTCGTCAAAGCGAGGTGATGCATGCAAAGTTAAAATCGATGATCAGGTTTCCAAACAGCATGCGGTTTGTTTTAACATGTTCATATTGAGAAATTAAACGGGCGCATCGTTTTAGTGCTCGGAATAAAGTGTTAAATGTGGTTTTCTGTAAGTAAGCTTTGGTGTAAAGTTACTCTGCTTTATGTGGCATTACAATTGCTATTTATTGATAGTTAAAAGTGCTTTGCTCGTGGAAAAATTGCAATGTCAAATATGTATCCAGTTTAACATGCATAGCACAATAATTTCAGTTTTCCACTTCACACTAAGAAATCTTCAAGCCTATTGTAACCAAATGAGTGGCAGTACTAATAACACATGTAAAAGAAATGCTATTATTTTGTGATACGTATAACATAACGTTAATCTCGCATTGCACTGCACGTAAAATGTCAGTGCACTTCATCGGATGACAGAAAATTGCAATGTAATTGTGTGAACGAGTGCATATAAAAATACAAATCCAGTTATCGTAATAATATGAATCATTCTGAAAAAATAGTTCAATAAAGAAATATAATCTTAATACTCATCCTAAAGATAGTGACAATCAAAGCGGCAGTGTTGATTAAATCATAAACTCTTGTATTGTTCTCATTCTCATCAGGCGTAGCATCCTTTTATAGAAAAATTCTGCCAAAGTGTGAGATTGTTGAAATACGCTGACGGAAACATGCCAGTGTGCATTGAATGAATATATGACAAAGAGAAACAGGACATTGTTAAAGACAGTTGGCATGTACCGCATTTTTATAAATTGGCCTTGTCCAGTGGCATCCGTTTTACTTTGTCCTCACATGATTTATTTAAGAGTCTTACACCAATCATATATTTTACATATACTTTAAGTCGCTTGTTACTCGCCTTATGGCAGTGCGACAAATTAATTTATCTCGGCGTGAGTAAACGCACTAAATCATTTCCGTAAATGGAATTCCTTGCCGTAAAAACGCACCACAATCACCAACCCGCCGTTGTTGCTCCTTGGTCTCCCGTGTGCCGGCGTCAGCTGCTGATCGAGTGGGGCTGTGCTGCGGGTGCCGAGGGAGGGAGGGTCCCTTCTTCACTCGACGGCGGACGCACGAGACAGCTTCGGAAACAAATGCTGGGTGGGTGGCGCGTCTCCCCGTTGGCGCAAAGCGCAAACCAAAGTCGGTAGCATTGTTACAGTGGCCTTACAATGGAAATCCGATATAATAGGCGACGTTTGTGGGTGCTACGGTGATTGATGCTTTTGGTGCCGCTCTTCATAGCATGCAAACATTTTACGTGCTACGTTGAAGCGTCGTTTCACGAAATGTCACCTGTTACATATTTTTCATTTCAAGGCCAACAGTGTTATTGACGAATGTGTTGATTTTTTTCTAAATTTCATTTGCGCTTGTGCGCCGCTGCCAACGCAGCGTCGCCAAGTGAGTTAACAGTGAGATCAAAGTTTGCAAGCTTACAAGACAAATTACCGAGTCCACTTGTTTGGTGCTGGGTTGGCTCAGTGGTGGTGACGTGGGGGAAACCAGGCTGAGCTTGACAGCTCAGTTCATGAACCGAGTTGGCTCCCTTCCCCAGCGGTCAAGGAAACGAAGTTGTAGCTTCATTGAGTGCCCAGCTAAAGCAATGGATGCCACATGAGAGCATGCGAAATCACATTCCGCTAAGGGGGGATGCAACCTCTTCGATCATTTCCGCTTAGATTTTTTTTTTACTTTCAGATAAAAACAATCATCATGATTACACGCATGCACATTGTAACGTGTTTCTTGATGAACAGTGGTTGAGCTATTTGATAATGATAATCGTAATCACCATCTCTTAGATGAAAACGTCTCCTTGCTCGTTTTCACTCGAGATGTTTTGTTGTGCTTAGAAGCACACTGACTTAATTGTTTCCTCTGCTCCCCTGTTGAACGTTGTGTTTTTTGGGTGTAAATCAATTCCGTTTGTTCAGCCCTCCTCCCATAAAATTGAGGTTAATTCAGTGAACGGTGGTGTACAAAGAGTAATGAATTTATTTACCAGCATGTGCTTTCCAAATGACTGAGCTCACTGTTGCAGGCTGTGTTTACTTCATTAACCACTCGTAATGTCGTCCATACCCCTCTAAGGCAGTCAAGAAATAACTTGCTTTATCCCTTTATGTCAACGCACATTTTGAAACTGAAATTCTAAATAAAGAAAAGGAAATTCTTTGAAGACTGAAGCAAATGTTTAATATTAGGTTTCAAATAATCACCGAAACTATCGGCCTCAATATATGAAAAGCTGCAATTTTCAAAATGTGGACTGATGATTAAAGAAAGCAATGTGTGAATGTTTTGCATTTTTGATCATTTTAATACTGTAAAATTTTCCTAATTTAAACTATAATTAACATAACGTTGATCAAAGAACTTCTAATAACCTACTGACAATAAAAAAAAGTACTAATGCTCTTAAGTGACAGCCACATTCCTATGCTCCCTGACAAATCCAGGAAATTAATTCAGGGCCAAAGTCTGCTGAACGTTCTTGTTAATGCTTACATTTTCACAGTTAAATGTTTGTGCTGCTGTTACTGCATCCTCCAAGCTTTAATTACACCTGCATTCTGAGAATCTGAGATGGGAGGGCAGCCGGCCATGAAACATATCTCCATAGAGGGCTTGATTATGGAAAACCATTCAAGTATTTGTGATTGCACGGAGAATTTTAAACCAATCAAACACCACGATGGAAATAACCCCCCCCCTGCCTCCCCCCCAAACCTTGTTGCTGTGTATCGCTGCATTCTGCATTGTATTGCATTACAACATATTTCATTCACATGGAAGCCCCACTGTGACTGCTGATGTGCTCACCTAAAATTGGGTGCATGCTGCCCACCCCCAAACCACAAACAGCATTGTCATTCTGTCTCGTGTGACACGGACTAGTATGCTGCATCATTATTTCACGTGCAGCGCAGTGGATTTACCTTGAGTGATCCCTGCCACGCACACACGTGTCCCCCAGTGGAGTCTGATGTGAAGCAGCTGCTCCTGCTTCTTCCATCGCACTTTTCGGCCATTAAACTACAAAATGTATAATTACAGTACAGGCCTTTACAAAAAAAACTAGCTCGTACGGTAATTTATAAAAAAAATTACCCATTGGATAAGATGTCAGATAATCCGCCTTTTTACAATTTTTGTTCAGAGAATCATGCTCAAGATCACGATCCGATTAAGTGGCCATCACTGCCGAAGCCTTGAGATGTCATTACACCAGGCCAATGCTTCTGTTCTGCCAGGTCCTACAGCCGTTGCACACCCAACCTCAAAGGGTCACCCGCACAGAATAATACCCCCCATTTGTCCTTGGCTTCTCCTTGATCTCCGACCATTGGTGACCACTCCAATGCACGTCTCACCGACTTGTCCTTAACCCTTTTCCGATCCGAGACGACTGCAAGTTGCAGGGTGAGCGTCCCGTTCACCGCTGCATCTCAGAACGCGCAAGCGGTTCGCCGTTAATTTTATTTAGAGAAGCATAGCGCCCTTGTGTTTATAGACGTTGCACTCACCGCAGAGAGCAATAGTGACACGGCCGCCACTCCATAGCATAGTCTTGTGGGAGCCTCAGTACCGATTAAGTAATTTTATTTAAGTTTTTCTTCCAGTCCGTGTACGTCATTGGAACGGGAAAGGGTTAAGATTGTGTTTTGGAAATACAACATATGTCCAACATAAGGTTGGTGAGATTTTTTTGGTCAGTCTACCTCATTTTTAGTTGCCCTTTGGTAGCATAGCAAGATTTAGTACGGACTCATCTGGCAAATTTCAATTGATGGATGATAGTCATTGCACACACATTGGGTTGTTGTTTTAAAGGCTACTTATTGCTATGAATGGGAAATATTACTTCTGTCCATCCACGTGTTTTATTTGAAGCTACAACATCCCTAAATTATTCTCTACAAAACTTACCACACAGCTTACCAATATCACTGCCTAGATCTGTATAGCTTTGGGGCAATATTATATCCATTGTATGTGCAATTGAATATTTCCCCCTGCACACTTCTCTGTGCAGTCGAATGATGTGACAAAATGGAGTCCTCAATGCACTGCCTTGCCATATTGCTTTTTGCTCTCTAACCTACAATGTTTTGTGCTTACAGCTGCTAATCTGGATCATCTAATGTCGCCACACAGATGCATGTGTCAGCATGTTATTGTAGTCTCTAGAGAAACCCGCGTATTGTGATGCAGGTTTGATGACATTGCCAAAGCCATCTCAAAATACGTATGATACCTGCTATACCTCCGTGCCGAGCACCAAAGGCATTGACGCTATATTAAACAAATTATGGTGATGAACCTGCTTTATGTTGGGCTGTGCTGTGGAATTTATGATTCTCCAGATGGGTAGGGGTCAGAGGGCCTGATTGCATCCCATTTTCTGACTGCCAGTTTTCTAATGGGCATGCGTGTTAAATTCTCTTGGATTTGCAATTCAATGTCCAATATAGTGCTCTTTCCCATGCCTTAAACACCTATTTTACTTCGAAAAAAGCCTCAGAACATTATTTAGGTGTTAATTGTAATACTTTAAGTATATTTTAGTGTAACCGTCCACTGGGCCATGTAATTACAGTAATGTAAATGCGATTGAAGAGGCTGTTGATCACCCAGACTGAACAGCAATTTGAATTAGCTTTATTATCCTTATCAAATAATCATTTTGTGAAAACACAGGACGGACAAATACAAGTTTCCGTGATGCATAGGGAATACATTGATGTCGCAAAATCACAGATGTCCAGTAAAATCTGTGAAAAAGAGCTTCATAGCTCATCGGATTACTTCAGTCTAAATAAAGATTATGATTCTGAATTGTGACCGATATAAATATACCGATGAGGTTGTGGGCGAGGGAACAAATGTAATAACTGGCTCTACAATAAAAATACGCAACAGACACAAGATACATACGTTTACTGTGTGGTGTTGTGGTTAAAGCACCTAACATAATCCAAGAGTGGCGATTTTAAATCTCATTGAGGGGGTCGATAAAATCGTATCACTTTCTGGTGTGTCGAGGGTGGTTGTGCTGTGGATAGGGCTGGTTTCTGTCATTGAGACGGTGACGAGTCCTCACGAGATCCTGTGATGTCATTCGCAAGAGTGGGCCATTGTGTGCTGGTGTCACAGTCCAAATATGAATAATTCCCCGCAAATTACGCGATTGGAAAACGCATAGTGATAATCGCCCCCTACTGCAAAGAAATTGGTAGTAAACTACAAGTTCCTGGGTAAACAAGCTTGATAAAAATATAATAATAGGAATTTGGAATTATCAATCGTGTAATAATGGAGCTCAGTTTAGCAAGGAGACACTTTTTTGTGCATTTCCTTCAATGCTATCCCAATTGTGCTCTCAGCCTCATATTGTGCGATGAACTCTCCATTTGGATCTCTCACAGAGCAGTGCAACCCTTCTGTTAGAGAATGGCCCATGGAAGCAGATATCACAGAGCTACCTCTGAGATCCTTTCAAGTGACACGTGGTCCACACACTAGAAGTCAGCAGTTTCCCATCCCACTCTGCCAATGAGAGTATTTTTAAATACTTTATATTAAGTTCACTTGCTTGCGCGCTTACGACCGTGCAAATCTTTTGGTCGTTTTTTAACCCACTTCCCGTGATCCAATCGAGCTGACATTTTGCACACAGACTCGTTGTGCGTGAAAATTTATTTTCGTGAAATTTTTTTCCAAAATTTTACACTTTTTAGGAAAAAATAAATTATATTTAATTACCAATTGCTTAATGGTGCCAGGCAATCATCTGACCCATAGGTGGCAGCCATCTCAAGCCAGAGGTCGAGAGGACTCTAGCCGCCACGCATATAAAGGATTTATAGTGAAAAACTTTGTTTTTACGGGTTAATTTTTTGTCACGCGACAGTCAAAATTATATTTTTAATTCTCAGAGCTGGCTTTTTGCCAAATTCATTGTAGAACCAAATTTAGTCATTGGTGACTGTGCTGAGACCTATTAACTCTCTACACTTAAGAACTTGATTTCATCGTAGGCGACTGCTTGGATTTCAACCAAGGATCTCGATGGTGCCAGCTCAATTACGTTTTTTATCATGTTCAGTAATCACAAATCAACTAACTATGAAAATTCGTTTTTAACCAAATGGAGTGCCTTTTCTCCATATAACATTTCATTCTGATGCTATGATTAAGCAAAAATGTTCCAATCTCTGCCACTTCTGCACAGATTGGCAAAACATCTGAAAGCATGACTTAAACCCACAAAAGTAACCTTCATTAAATGTTTACTATAAATAGCATAGGGATTATAATTTGTAGTACAATTGCTTCCAGCTGCATATGCATGTTAGGAATGCTGCACCATATTGGCATAGACTTTGGCTACAATCCTGGCTGGATCATGAATTATGTACATTTCCCATTACAGTGAGTCAAGAAATGAAGGTTCTGTTAGGGGTTCATGAAGGCATGGATGTGGCCAATGTCTCGACGAAGGGACCATGACTTCCATATCTCAGTAGTGTGGGCATGGCATTTCATGGTGTGGTGCTGGAAAACATTGTCATCACAATTCAAGTCAAGTCACCAGCTGGAAATTGCAGACTCCAGTTTTTGACTTCAGCCACCGAAACTCAATTCTGCCATGTACTCCAGATGTGCAAATATGTTTCCATGAACTGTTTATCAAGCAACTTAGCAGGCTCAGTAGTGACTGGTCCATCTGTCTAAGTGTTTTTTTCACGTTCGTTTTTTTTCCTCTTTAGAGTATGGAGAATTTTGGAGACAAGCTGTGTCATCAATTATGAATGGAGATACTGCTGAGCTGAGAGCCATAGTTGGAGACCACATCAGTGGCAAGCGACAGCTGACGAGCCTGAGTTGCAGGTAATTAAACGGCAATGATAACAACAAAATAATCATATTGTATCACAATATTTAAACACATATTTCTTAATTTTACACTTGGGTTTTCACAGCCAATAATTTTATTCAGAATATATTTTAGGGTTAGGCCACTTAATGATCGGGACAAATTTTTGTCATGTTATCCTTCATCACCGGATATACCCAAACAAATCAAGTTGTCAGGTGTACATGCTTTTAACGCACCAATTATTGCTTTGGCTCACCAGTAAATTTAAGAACAATTCTCGCCACGAAAATGTATCAATTAGACGTGACATTTCACTTTAAACTGCACCAAGCATCCTGCTCAGGATGCTTGAAAAAATGTTCGTCAAATTATTACATGGCCTCATTGGAAATCATTATCGTGTATGTAACTACAAATATTTTCTTGCTTAAACTTAAAGTAATCGTTGAAAATTTTAATTATTGGAGATGATGCCGGTAAAAAAATGTTCACCCTTTTTCAAGAAGGTATGTTTGCAGGTGTGATTGGTTTTTTAATGCAAGATAATTACTTTGCTAATGTGTATTGCCAAAAATGTGCAGAATGCCTAAAATAATCTATAAGGTAGAAATAATTACATTAGAATTATGTACATAAATTTTAGGAAAAATACACATACAGTGCATAAATAAAAATAAATAATATAAACGCGAATGCATTCTCGTTGAGGGCATGTGCCGTGCCACCTATATTCAGTGGTGAAACATTTTTTTGCATGTTTTAATCCGAGTTTCTGCAGATTTATATTTTATATAGCAACACGTGAAGATTTAATTGGCTTAAAAATCTAATTACAGGCTCAACACAAGCAAGCACAAGGCATAAATAGCGTAGCTCGGTGTTTCATTACGACCATTAAAGCAATGTGGGTGCAGGTTTGGAAGCCGCTCAAGCGAGCCCTGCACTGTGCAGGAAATGGCGTAAAAGAGCGGTGAATCGGGTTGTTTACAAACTGAACAAAACTACTCTGAGAACATTTCACCGCCTACGCGTAGCATGTCAGCGAAACAACAGAGGGCTTGCTCTTAAGGATATAGCAACATGTCAGACTCGATAATGTCTGGAATTGACTCCAAATGTTTGCAAAACACCAACAGATTTTTTATAATTATTGCTGTTACCGTTTAAGTGGAAATTCTGTACGCTGTTTCATTCCCAAGTAGCCCTCTTAGATTGAGCTCTTTCAGAAACTTCAATTGGCAGATTTGCATAATAAAGAGACAAAATAACCCTTGCTAAACTGATACAGGTGTAGATTCCTTCACATGTTTTGCCTTTGAGCCGGTTGCTCTCATTTGGCAAATGTGCCTGGGTACACTGAGAAAATAATGTCCCAACGAGCAGATGGAGCGATGAAATTGGCTCGTCTGCAGGCACTAGGTGGATTGCTACATCGTAGGAGAGGCAGAGATGGCTTGAGGAAGCCTTCACCCAGCAGTGGATAGGTCATGACTGATGGTGATCATACTATCTCCGATTAGCACAGTTGGCTACGTACGGTGTGGAAAAAGTTCAAACTACATGCACGTGCACGCAATGCTAGAGTTGGCTAAATGAGTTCTATGCTGCCGGGGCTGTTGTTTTCCATGAGAGACTTGCCTGGTAATGACCTCATATGCCTGTTCGTGGGTGGGAGATGATTATTTGTAGAGACAGTTCCTCATGTCGTCTTTATTTGAGAGTGTGCGTGTGTGTGTATAGGTGTGTGAGTGTGGGGAGCGGTGGAGTAGCCGTTGGCGCGTTGTGCTACGAACCCGACGACCATGTCCACACATTTGTTTTTATACTATGAGATCTCTTTTACCAGTTGCCAAATATAGTAGTAGGTTTTTACCCTTTTAAACTGGTACAAAACTGACACCTTTATTCAAGGCATTATTGCCAACATGATTCCTTGAATAAAGGTGTCAGTTTTGTACCAGTTTAAAAGGGTAAAAACCTATTACTATATTTGTTTATATGTTCATATCTATATAATTCTATGGTCATACCCGTAAAGGATTTTTGCTTGGGTATTGTGCTGTGCGTGTGCACTCTGACGCAACAAAATACATTAAATCAGCAGAGTTTGTTTGGCAAGCCCGACTCTGCTTACGAGATCCCGAAAGTTGAAACCGGTCCGGGAGTTTGCAAATGTAAACAAATGTGGCTGGGTAACGCGAGTCTCGAAGGCCAGTAAACTAAAAAATATTCGAAGTCTGTGTGGAGATACACATCCGAGGTCAATGCATTAAGTATGTTTGACATATAAGCCCATGTGTTTTCTTTACACCCACAAAATTTAACGGTTCAAAACTGTCATATTTACAAACCCATAAATAAATAGTTACTAAAGAGTGCCACGTTACAGTGACCAAGCAAAGGCCGTTTCGCATTGGGATCAAACCAGTTTACACAACAAAGGCCCATTCCTAACAGCGTGTTTCAGCCGCACCGAACCTCACAATAATAGTATCCAGGTGCCTACCTTGGCTCCTCCCACCCTCAACCAGTATATATACAAGGACTGTGTTCTTGGAATTTCTCTCACTTGATACAGCTATCGTGCTGTGACGGTCCCACCTGAAGACGGAAGCTTGTGTTGCTTCCGAAACGTCGTGATTTTTATTTTATTTTTATTTTACTTTTATTAATTTTAATTTTTTACCTACGTGACTTTACCGAAAAAACCTAAGAATATGGTATCAAACCGTTTATGTGTTACTCCATTGGCAGTGGTGCACAAGCACAAACAACAGAAACTCAACCTTCGCCAATAACACCGCGCTCACGAGGAGCACACTAAGGATAGATTCTGCCATGAAGAAGGGCCACCTTTTGAAACAAACGTCGCCATGCTATGTTCTCCCCCGTATGACAGTGCTCAATGCTCACAACGTCCACTGCAAACAGATGCCACAAGAGGGAGACACGTGGGGTGTTCCCCGCACTGCACAGCAGGCACCCTCACCGTGTCCTACCTGTGCCGGTGGCACTCCCCTAGGTCCACTCAGCCTCAAACGAGTACCTGGTGCGGTGTGTAAACATCGCCAGTGGGGAGACAAGAGGCGGTCGGGCGTGGTGCTGCCTACCCACCCGGCCTTCATCATAGGTGCTCCCTAAAGAGCACTTGCCCCAACAGTCTGTTCAGGCTCTGGTGTGTGGGTGTGGGTGGTGAACTTTGTGTGTCGCCCTGCCCCACAGGTGCATCAATGGGAGCAGCCTGCTGCACACAGCCGCTCACTTTGGGGACACGGAGACCATCCAGGTGTGAGGTCACACGGTGTGGCTGGGCCATCATGGCCTGTCGTTGAACTCGGATGGGAGGGGGGGGTCTTTCTACCAAACGCTCATTTGTGGTCCGAATTTCGGCTTCGTCTGGGTTTGGTGCCACGCGCTTGAGCCGTTCTTTCTGCTCTCACGTTTTCGCCCTGCAACGTTCGTCGCCGATGTCCCCTGCGGCTGCTGCTGCTGCAGGAGGTCGCCCAGCTCCTGTCGATGATCTCTCAGTTGTGCGTGGCGAGAGCTTGAGAGGAGAGATGCTCAAACGCGCGGCTCCACCCGGAAAAGCCACACGAGGATTACATGGTTTAATAATTATATGCATTGCTACGTAACAATAAACATTATTTATACGTGCATACTGAAGCACTGCGCATACTTTGAACATGTGCTACGTACGCGTTCGCGTGTATCTGAGCACGCGTGTGTGTATACACACATACACACACACGCGACTCAGCCTCAAATGAGTACCTGGTGGGATGTGTAAACATCGCCACTCGTGTGCCATACCAGCCTTCATAGGTGCTCGCTAACTGCACTTGCCCCTACAGTCTATTAAGGCTATATGGGGGATCTTTGTCTTTGTGTGCATGCACTGGCCAATGGTGCTCGTTTAAGTGATGAGCTGCCGAGTTTAAACCATTTTACCACAGCGATTTTCAAAGGTAATCATACCGCATTAGAAAAATGTGGAATATTTTTTGACACTGTTCTATTTTTATTTGGAAATAGAAATATGCCGTAAAAGGGCTTACGGCTTAATAGTGGTTGCACACGTGTGCATCTTTCCTTTACAGTCATACGTATGCAGTGCATCGATAATTATCCATTGCATAACTGTAAGTTCCAATAACTGCATCTATTACCCAAAATAAAAAGTCTTTTATTTTTCTCTCCATCTCGAATCCGTCTATCTCAGTGAAATACAGCACAGGAGACATTTAAGCAATGCCTTCTGATTAATGTGTGGAACCAGCACACAAATGTATTTGTTTTCACATGCACTCACGCCGATTTTCACTCATGGGTTCTTTAATTATTACGTACAAATGCATTTAATTATTAATTTGCTGCGGTCCCATGCCAGCCCAGCCCCGCATTCGTTCTACAGCATAGGCAGGGAGAATCGCTATTGATTCAAGCGGCGTTACATAAAAATTTACCCCGGTTTGGCAATCGACATACATTTATAGTGATTGACCTCTGGAGAGTGATGAGCATCTCATGCTTGCGTTCTCACTGGGAAATGATGAAGGCGACCTGCATGAGCACTGAGCAGCGGTGCCTCTTGTTGTAGCTGTGTTACTCTTTGGTTCTTTCGGTAAAGTCACGTATAAAGATAAAACAAGAAAATATTATTTAATTTATTATTTTATCTTTATAAGAAATTATTATTTAATTTATTATTTTATCTTTATACGTGACTTTACCGAAAGAACCAAAGAGTAATCCCTACAGTCACGAAAGCTCCAAATTAAGATTGTAGCTGTGTTGTCCAGCATTCAAATATGTTGCAGGAGGGAAGAAAACCGAAGAGGGTCTTGCACGGCAGATGACCTGGTCCGCACTTTCCTCCCCTGCCGCTTGTGCCCGCAGGATCTGCTCGGATGGGGTGTGGATGTCAACCTGCTGGATTACAGGGATGCCACGCCTCTGCATCGCGCTCGGCACGGCCCAGCTACTCAGGTACCTACCTCGCCCTGTACAGCTGTGGACGTTGCCAGCCGTCGAGGTGGCCAAATTTCAGCCTCCCGTGACTCTGCCAAGTTGTCAAGTGCAGAGACTAAATGGTCTCGGCATGATCAACAATGACCGCACAGAAAAAAGCCTCATTACATTAAGTTTGGGGTTTAACTTGAGGTGGCTCAGAGGTCAGAACGATTCGCTGGCACCGCTGAGATCCTGGGTCTGAATCTCATCGGCCACATGTGATTATATTGCAAAGCGTTGATTATCTCAGCATGGTAACAAATTACTGCACCAAAAACCTTAATGTTACATTTTGCACCGCACTTAATTTTGCGAAATTAAGCTCTGAGAATGAAAAATATTTGACCGTCAAGTGAGAAACGTCACTCTTGTGTCGAACAGAGGTGACTTGAAGTGATCTCAGAGGTAGCTCTGTATATCCACTTCAGTGTTCCATTGTTTGACACGAAGGGCTGCACTGCTCTGCGAGAGCTCTGAATGCATACTCTGTCTCAAAAAATGACACCAAGGACAGATTCAGGATAACATTTGGGGAAAAGATGAAAAAAAATGTCACGCACACTTTAGAAATTTCTGCTGTCAGATTAATATTCATCATTCTTTGCTCCAGGGCTAAAATAAATTCTTTGATCATACAACTTCATTGTTAGGGGACTGTGAAAATCGTAATCACTGTCGTCATCATTATTCGTCACTGTCGTGAATCACTTTCATTCGCTTATTTCTATCGTCGTGATGATCGTCATCAATTGTCATCACCAAACATCATTATTTCTCATCAAACATCATTGTCCTGAGTGTGCAAAGCTGAATATGCGCCTCTCTCATGCCTATCGCCTGCTTGTGCGGGCAGAGATATTCTAAATGATCAGCCCCAGCTTGGTACGTATGGTCAGTTTCGTCTCCTTGGAGCCTTGTTCTCTCAACGTACAGGCGTTGTTAGCCTCAGCAGAGTCACGTGTTTGATTGATATCGCTGATTGGAGATCTCAGAGATGACTCACCAAGCCGCCCTGGTTGCTGCTTAGTGAAAATAAAAATACCCCCTTGACATTATTCACAAAGTAGGCCACCGTGTGCCGGTTTTCACAGCCCAAATCTTAAACCGGATGATTAACAAAACTAAAATATATTTTCTTCACACTCTCAAAAGAGCTCGGCCTGCATTGAAAAGTAATACTGGTAGGAACCTCCTGTTCTTAGGTTTTTTTCGGTAAAGTCACGTAGGTGGGGCAAGTGTTGCCTCCGAAACGTCGTGATTTTTATTTTATTTTTATTTTACTTTTATTAATTTAAATTTTATTTTTTTACCTACGTGACTTTACCGAAAAAACCTAAGAATATGAATCCTTGCAGTCACGAAAGCTTTAAATCTAGAAGGAACCTCCTGGTTACACCAGCCCACAGACGATTATTGTGTCCGTCCGTCGTGCAGGGAGGGGCTGGGTGGGGAGGGAGGGGCTGGGTGGGGAGGGGAGGGTGGGGAGGGGCTGGGTGGGGGTGGGAGGGGTGGGGCTGGGTGGGGAGGGGCTGGTCACCCCGTGGTGCCCTTATAAAACTCAACGTTTAACCTACTCACGCCGGCTTGTGCCCGCCCTCACAGTAGGGCATATTTGCGGAATACACCACGCCGCCTTTGACCCTGGCCATTGACCGAGCAACCCAACGTTCCTACCAGCTCCCTCCGCAGGAATGTGTTAACGGGCGATGCTCAGGTGGGCTCCGAAGTGAAGAGTGCTGAACTGGCGTTGCTGGGATCCTCGGTTTAAATGTGGGTTATCACCCGTGATGAAACCGGATTCTCAAGTGAAGTGAGTTCATGTTTTCAGCCAAGTCACCAATCGTCACACAAAAACACCCCATGATATGTTATTTGGTATTGCACTTGGCTTGGTTAAATTTCAGCTATGAGAGTAAAAGAATATACAGATATGAAAATCAATTTGACTGTCATGCGACAAACCATCTGTGATAATAGTAGAGCGTGTGTAAAAGTGTCACCCTGCTGTGTAATGGATAAAGGCTCTTCTGCAGTCGCCATCCTCTGATGCACCTCCGATTAGTACGGTGCGAAAGAAGTTAAACATACATACACACAGTGCAGTGCTCTCCTAGATTCCGAATCGATATTTCATCTCGTGACACGAAACTGATGGCACAGTTGGAATACATTTAGGCACAAAGATAAAAAAAGAATACAAGATGAAGAGGAAATTAATCTCAGTGGGATTTTTAAAGAAAAACAAAGGAATATTAGTAAATAATTATAATAATTATAAAATAAGACAAGTAAGCATCTGCTGTGTCCTTGCAAAGAACAGAGAGACACTGCACAACAAGCCATCCTGACGTCACTCTGGAGGCGCCAGATTGTTTTTCCAACTTCAGGAGCAGAGACGTGCTGCCGACATCTCACGTTAGTCACTTCAGCGTGACGGACATCAGTTGCCCCCACCCCTGGCCCTGCTTGGAGCATGACCTCGACAGATTGAGATTATCTCTAGATTTGAAGCTTTCGTGATTGCAAGGATTCATATTCTTAGGTTTTTTCGGTAAAGTCACGTAGGTAAAAAATTAAAATTAATGAAAGTAAAATAAAATAAAAATAAAAATCACGACGTTTCGGAGGCAACAAAAGCTTCCGTCTTCATGTGGAACTGTCACAGCACGCTTGCTGTATAAAGTAAATAAAATCAAAAGCGTGCTGTGACGGTTCCACTGAAGACGGAAGCTTGTGTTGCCTCCGAAACGTCGTGATTTTTATTTTATTTTACTTTAATTAATTTTAATTTTGTACCTACGTGACTTTACCGAGAAAACCTAAGAATATGAGATTATCTCGTGAGGTGCACACTTCGGGTTCTGGCTCGTCTCACCACTTGTGGCGAGAAGGGCACCCTGGCGCTGGCGCTGTGGCGCGGCTCGGACGTGCCAGTGGGAAATGCGTTTTACAGCGCGGTGCTGAGCTGTGCTTGCTATGTTCTTTCGGTAAAGTCACGTAGAAGGGAAGTAATAAAATAATATTATTTATTTTATTTTATTATGTTTTATTTTTATTTTATTATTTCCCTTCTACGTGACTTTACCGAAAGAACCAAGAAGATGAATCCCTGCAGTCACGAAAGCTTCAAATCGAAATGTGCTTGCTTTGTTGCTACTCACTGCAGCTGCTGCTGGAGCACGGTGGGGCCGTGAACGAGCTGGATGCGGACGGAAACTCGGCGATGCACATGCGCTGCTATGGGGAGCCGGGGCAGCCCAGCGCGCTGGACGCCGCTCGCCTCCTGGTGAGCGCCACACTGGGTTCTTTTTATTGGAATACGCCACAACTCGGAGAAGGGCGAGACCTCTCGCACGTTTGTAGCTCCGTGCTGGTTAAAATGCTGTCGGTACTGAGTCATTGGTTCTGCAGCACGTGTTGAAATGTCCAAACATTTTTTGTTGCCGAAACGTCGTGAGAATGATTTTATGATGTTTTATTTTTATTATTTTATTATTTCCCTTCTACGTGACTTTACCGAAAGAACCAAGAAGATGAATCCCTGCAGTCACGAAAGCTTTAAATCGAAATGTTCAAACATTGGTATGTAAGGTTTTTAAGCACTAGGCACAGAAAGTTTGGTAGTTGCCATTCATGAAGAAAAAATTATCCAGTGTGAGTAAGCACAGTCTTCCTTGCCGGTTCATTTCTCATTTTCTGTACACAACCCCACTGTGTGTCTCATTGTCTCATGGAACTGCTGCCAACAGCATAAATTGACAAGTTTGCATACTGGAAGAACAAAACAAACTATATTTGTTTCATGGAATGAAATATGCATTGCCTATCACACATGTATACAACATAGCCTAGTTTGGGCAGTTTGGAAATGCAGACTTTGGGAACTATTTTTAGTTTAACCGCAGGGGTTTTAACCCCCCCCCCTCCCCTTTCTTCCATTTAGACAAAATCCATTCTTTTTTTTATGCCGGAACATGAAACGTAACTAGAATGTGTTTAACCTGTTCAGCTGTCAATGCGGCTACATTCAGAATATCAAATTATAAATCCCAAAATATACGTATCATCCAAGCATAATGGGGACTATTGAGGGCAGGTGAAACATTTTCTCGTGATACCTGCCGAGTCTAAACGTGTACAGCGAAACACAGACCAGTGCACTGTAACCGCAACTTGACTCTGGCTTCAGCAATGCCTAATGCATCTGGAGATTAATTTTAAAAATCTGTTAAAGTCATGGATGTGGGTGGCAAAGGTATTATGTGATGGCTCGCGCCATACGTGGTCATCATTATCGTCACTGTATCAACAGCCATTGTCTCTCCACTGCTGGATGAATGGTCTGTCCACGCCATTGCGATCCCTCATGATTTTGCGATGGCACAATCCATATCATGCCTGCACATGAGCGTGACTCATCGCTTCATCTCCTGGGGATGTTCCCTCCTTTTGCTGTCATTCCATCATCAGTCTCATCCATCGGCTGTCATCTCTATTACTGATGCATCCTACCCAAACCCACTTTCCTGTAGTCAATAGGAATACAGTATGGCCATACACACTCGCTCATGATGCTTACACATATGATATTAAATGGCCATTCTAAGTAAAATAATGTGCAGAATTTTTACAGAAATAATAACAGCAGGTCTCTGTTGGATGAAGGCCCTCCACACATCACTGTGGTTGTTTTGACCATCTCTATATAACTATCCTTTTGCCCATCCAAGGACGGGTGTATTGCAGTAAATCTGAAACTTGCAAACGAAAAGCAGACCGCGACGTGGTATTAATTGCATCAATGCGTGTGCAATTTGTAAGGCCGCGGTGACACAGACTTATTTCATTTAAAGATTATAATCCCTTGTTCATCATGGCCTCCTTTTTACTTCTATGTCTCAACAGCGTTACGGAGATCACGTGACGTGAGGGTTCTGCCTTTGCAGTGAGGGTTGTGAGTTGACACCGAGGAGGGGGGAGGAGGCGCCTCGTGCACCCATGTGGAGTGACGTCAGCCGCTAATTATTATGAATTGGGGGTGGGGTCCATTTGGAGGATGTCAGCTTACAATGATTATTAATGAGGAGGGCTGTTTGATGTGGAGTGACGTCACCTGCTCATGATTATTAATGAGGGGGGCTGGTCGACGTGGAGTGACGTCACGAGCGTTGCACACGGACATTCTTGGGTGATTATAGTAGGTAATTATAATGGAGGAGGGATGTCCATTTGGAGGACGTCACCCGCTCATGATTATTAATGAGAGGGGGGCGGGTGTCCATTTGGATGACGTCACCCACTCATAATTATTAATGAGGGGGGCTGGTCGATGTTGAATGACGTCACGAGCGTTAAGAACAGACATTCCTGGGTGATTATAGTAGGTACTAGCTTCTTTGCCCATCCTAGGATGGAAGCTGTAATATTTACGAAAAAAATTATCAGAGTATAATTGTATCTTGTGTTAATTTAATGGCAGTGAATCTTGCACGAAAGTATGTCATCAAACACTTCACTGCATTTCATCTCATTGTAGCACTGTATTAATGGCAGTGAATCTGCCACAAAACGAAGTCATAAAACACTTTACTGCAGTTCACTGTAGCACTGTGTTAATGGCAGTGATTCTTGCACAAAACTACGCCATAAAACACCTCACTTCATGTCATTGTAGCACTGTATATAACTGACCTTCAATTTGTTCAAATTCACTGCTCTGATACTTTATTCTCTTCTGCTTTCAGTCACTGGGGTTGAAATAAATTAGAATTCGATACAATTTCTGGAAAATCACCGAGAAATGTCTATTTTACCATAATGTAGAAGCATAAATTAGACTTACATTTTGTCTCAAGTGTTGAAGAAATATATAAAGACACTAAATCCACACTGTGTTGCTGTGTATAATAATTTATTAGATTCACTTTCAATAAAGAAACATTAAACTTAAAGCGAATTTGCAGAAAAAAATATTTCCGCTCAACCTTCTTCTGCTTGAGTGTAAAAATCAACCCGCTCATGAATATTCATGACGGGGGGTGGGGCATGTGGAGTGACGTCACGCGCGTTACACACAGACATTCTTGGCTCATTGTAGAAGTAATCATATGCTTGTTGGTATTTCTGTAACGCTGGCCAGGTGGAGAGAAGGGGGGTTGATTGGGCTGAGGTGGAGGGGAGGGGCTGATGACCTCAGAGACACTGGTTACTACTATAATGAGCCAAGAATGTCTGTGTGTAACGCTCGTGACGTCACTCCACATGCCGCACCCCTCCCCCCGTCATTAATATTCATGAGCGGGTTGATTTTTTTTTTTACAAATTTCTCCTGATGACGATTGCTTGTGTTGTGATCGAAACGTCGTAGTTTTTTGTTCTTTTCTTTGAACATATCTACGTGGCTTTACCCAAAGACCCAAAGAGTATAGTGAGAGGAGTTAAGACGTCACGCAAGATTGGGGTGACGTCAGGTATGAGATGGGAGCAGCGATGACGTCATGTGATACTGGTGAGTTGTAGCAGAGGGTGATGACGTCATGCTCAATTGGGGTGCGTTTGTGATGAGAGGGGGTTGACGTCACGCGACATTGGTGAGGTAAAGAAGAGGGATTTAAGATTTTAAAAAACCTACATATTCACCACACTTTTACCGGTGGAGTTCCGCGGGTACCTGCTTGTGTTTCACTAACCTTGGATGTGGCTGGAAATCTAGTTCAGTGCACTCAGAATTTTATCAAATATAAAATGACACCTTTTAAAACAGCACAGTAACTACAGACAGTCAATATTAAGGCTAAATCTCGGAGCTGTAGAGATTATCAATAGAATGTCCGTTTAAAATTAATATAACAAAAATAACACGTGGATGCACTGCATATTTTCCATGTAATGGAATGTATAATCAATATGCATATCCTTAATTTGTGCAAAATAAGATCTGCAAGTACGAAGCATTTATACTGTGAATATATAAATAATGCCTAAGTGTGCATAATGATTCCACAATTTAACCTAGAAAATGATTACAATTTTTTATATAGAACAGCAATTATTTCCAAACAGTGATTATTTAGCATGCAGCCAAGAGCTAGTTTATTTGTATGCTAAGTTACGTGCCTCGGTTATGTACAGGGTTAGCATAAGAACGTGTTATTTCCATCAGTAATGAGCTCAGGTTTTTTTTTTCTAATTGCACATTTAAAAAAAATCGTCTGAAGAAAGATTGTAATTTTTTTCTCAAAAATTAACTTGTCACCGGGCACAGGAGTCTTAGCGCTGAGCCGGAAAAGTGACAGCATGCAATTTCAGACAAAGGATCTGATTTCGACCTTGATATGCAGCTAAGGTGAAAGTAGGCGCACAGAAATGTAAAGTTTGCTTTGCAGCGTTAGGCCTTCTGGAACGGGTTTGTCTGCTCTGCAGGTTACACTTCTTCCCTGAAGAGTTTTCATTTCGCAAAAAAAGAACAATCATCAAACTCGTATTACGGTAGTCGTGCAATTATCTGTGGTTATCGCAATAAAAAAATAGTCATTTCGCCAACATACAATTTGGTCATCTTAATGAATACTCATTTAAAATCTCCAACCATTATAGAAAACACAAAAGCCAGCATGTCACTTTGCTGGCAGAGCCAGTGCCAGCATGACATTTTTGGCCGCAAATCTACATGACAACGAAGCGTGGCTATCGAGATTAAAAACACAACATGCGAGTGCAGAACCACTGTGTAGAGGGCTCCAGGCATATCCTGTGCAATTTCTCACTGTCAGATTGTCTTGACTAATGGCAAAGTTGGAATTGCATACGTATACTTGGGAAAAAAATAAAACCCCATCATCAGTTGATGTCATAGAAAGAAGTTTCTGAGTTTTCCCCAAGATAATGACATGTTTGAAGTTTAGAGGTTGCGAGGAGGAGAGTGCTGCAGTGTTTTAGGTTATAAGAATATAGCGGAGAAACGTTTGCACTTGTGTGCTTTGTGCAAAAAGATTACTTTTATTATGTTGAGAATATAATACACTGCGAATAAAATGGTTGAAATCCCCCCTCCCTCCGCCCCCCACAATACCTTAAATGCTTGTTTCAAATAACTTTTCTTCTTTCCATTACGAACAGGAAATGTCATGTTGGAACGATGAGGATTGCTTAAATTTGGTTTCAAGAGCCATAGAGCAATAAAACATACCCTACACTGTAACGTGCAGAAAATGGGTTTAAAAAATACGAATTTTTAAAATGCGAGGTAGTTAGGTTATTCATAATTAGTTGGTTTGTCGTGAAAGA